CCGTAAAACTGGCGACCGGAACATTTAGCTCAAAACAGTGCCTAGAGCCAGCTTTCATTTCATTTCGTGCTTTCCTTTCCTTGTTTTACAATTATTGTTATTACAGGGCTAATTAAGCACGCTATGTTCTGAAGGGTCCCGGAGAGAGAGGAGACAGATGGAAATAACCAGATTGCTTTCGAATACAAAGACTTTTGAAGAAAATTTAAAAAGGCTCAATTGTAATAATTGTAGCACATTTGTTTTTTTTATCAGGAAACATTACAGTACACCAGCATTTGTGAAATCAGTGATCGTTATTTTTAATCGCGCCAGTGAATGAGTAGCACCAGAAATATGGAAAAAACAAGTTTTTTTTTCACCTCAAACTCTGCTAATGTGGTTTCGTCTGTGGTTGAATACAGTAGGTCTTTCTTTGAATATCCTCTCATGCTTGATAACACGAATGTGCGCGCCTTAACCAACGAATCACATGCTTTGATCAGCAATAAAATTTGCCGTCAGTCACCATTTTGCGCAGTTTTACATAGTCTTGCCGTTGAAAATAATCTAGAACGTGGTCTCTCATGAGATATTCGAGAGATTGCTTTAATTATCAACGAAATGAAATTATGCTATCTCAGTTAGAAGGTTCACTGAACTTTGGTGGCAACAAATCGATGGAAACTGTAGTCATTAAATGTCACTCGAAACCGCCCGCCCGTGCTACGCTAATGCTCACCTGAAAGAAAGAAATTTTATCAAATATTCTTCCCACGCCTTTTTATCGTGCGTGAGTCTGAACGTCGTAAAAGCGGGCCGGTTTGCCATTCAAATATCTCCACCACATACTGATTACGAAAAAAGATACTTGTATATCGTCATTCTAGGACTTACCATCGACGGAGCCATTAAGATCAATCGCAGGTTTCGCCAACGGGCGTAACCAGAACACAAGAGCCCTGCGTTCGAAACAGATATGGGCTGAGATGTAAAATATTCTTGCAAAAGGCAAATTCACCCAGACTTGTCTGAGAGGTAGAGACGTCTTGGTGAGTTGGTGATTAAGACCGGAAGCTTTTGAAGCCAGCAAACGCTGTAGAAAATGCAAACAACCTGAAAACGTACGGATCTGAATGGAGGTAGGTGTTTCAATCGAATTAAATAAACCACTGTTGAAATCACAGTGTGAAAGCAGCTTGAAGATTATTGAGGGAAACAAATAAGGATGCAAATCGCTGTAATCGTGCGGCCTTTGTTGGAAGCCAAACAAAACAATCTATTAGCCATCCCTGATGAGGGTAATGCGAAGAAAAGCAGGATATAACTCTCCTACTGATAGCGCGACAAGATCCAACGTAAATATGAACAAAGAGTTGACGTCTAGCTAGCGTATCCTTAACAGAACCTTCTAATCACTTTTGATGTCTGTGCGAACTATCGTCAAGAGGTATATTGATTGTCGGGGTAAGTTAGGCATCAGAAGTCGGCCACACCAAAACTAGAGATTGACTTGTGCTTCATTTGCCATGATTCGACCAATACGATCGTGATATTTCAAACAAAAATGTGCCGACAGGGCTTGTTAATTACCTGATGGAGGGAGACCGCGCGTGAAATACATGGAAGTCGTTACACTTGAAGAGTGAAAACAGCCTAGTATCCTCACTTGATGTAACGAATTTGCTGGTCGAAAGCACGAATATATGGCATTGAATCAGGTTGAAAAAAATGTTATGTCCAAAACGTTTCCTTACAGACAGTTCGTAATTCTGTACCTTATCGTCTTAATATTATGAACTGTTCATTTTAGTCGTTTCGAACTAAGATCCTGCGAGAAATTTAAGATTTACAAATTTTATGCAACCAAACACTAAGGATAGCCATCAATAGACTTTGGTTTGCCTTCCTGTGGTTGTTAATTACTTTGCAAAGACTTGGCTCTCAATGTTAAAGTCAGTCAAATTGAAAGTTTGATTTAGAGCACGAGTTGAAAAAATTTCGCTCATATTTTAGAAGAGGAAATACCGTGATGAGTGCAACCACAAAGATCTTCCCTAATTCAGAGATCTTCTCTATGCGTTTTATACAGATTGTCTCACTTTGAGAAACGAGCGAATTAAACCCGGCGCGATTGGAATAAAAAACTGGTATAAGGGCTATAAATTTGATTTTAATAATAAATTACGGTGCTACGAACCTGAGATAGTGTACAAACTACCAAAAGGTAGTTTAAAAAGGTCTCCTTTACGTATCGAAAGGATATGATAGACCACTGAGTAAGCATGCAGACAGCATGCCTGATTAGAGAGGCAGATATGCCGGATTAAGTAAGATAATATGGGAGAGACTTTACATGGGAGGTAAATGAAGTAATTTGTAACATCATTAGAAATAAAGGGTATTTTTCAGTGATGGAAAGGCATATTCATATTCAAGAAAATTCTCTCGTGGCCATAGTCTCGACTTTAATAAAACACTTAAAATGATGATTCATGATTACCTATCGACCGAAAAATCGGTTTCTCCGATTTGTCATGGATAGTGACTTCAGTTACTCACAAACTCTTCTGTTACCAACCGCCACTCCTTACCAAATTACCCTGAGTGCAGTCTTCTCCTGACAAAATTGACCATAAGAACAGACAGAAACACGGACAAGACCCAGAAAAAAAACGAAGACCAAAACTTTATTTATCTTTAGGTGGTCAAAAGGCCGGACATGAATTATATCGCTTTGTCACTCTACCCCGCCTCTGTTGGTATTTATTACCTTAACAGCGAAAGAGGCAGGACTAATGTTCTACTGTAGAAAAACTTAACAATACGTCTTTTCCGCTGGGTGCCTAAAGGACAGGTCTTGTCATGGCACGTTGACCAAATTGAAAAGGAACAAAACCTACGCAAAGACAACACGTGAGGTCAAAAGAAAGCCGACTGCTTAAAATTCAGTGCAAATTAACTCTTGTTAGCGCTTATTTGGAGCAAAAGACAAAAACCAAAATTATACAGTCATGCAAACATTCATACAACGATATTTCACTTTAAAGCTAGTAGAATAAGTTTAAGAAAATACAAACAAACAATGAGCCGAGAATGAAGGATCGGAGATCACCTATGGGAGACGAAAAAATCTTGCGCATGTGAACAATTTCCTTTAAAGATTTTTGACTATGGCGTTTTAAGGGAAACCGGCCTCGTTCCGGAAGTGATTTAGAATCAATTCAACTGGTTCCTTTGATTCATGAAGCTAAATGTGTTAATAACGTATATACTTTTCAATGTGTTGCTTTGTCACTAAGAGAAAAGCTATAATTCCAAGCCTGTTTCTTTGACTATAATGCCAAAGAAACACAATAGTCTACAAAACGAAGCTATGTAAAGAAGGCCTCGCGAATTTTTGCCTTTCAAATTAGCAAACCGCAAGTCTGCGAATAGCGAAATAAATAACAATTAGTAGCGACCTAAAATATCTGTCCTGTTTATTAGAGGTTTTTGCTTTTCAGACCCGTTTTGTGCTTGATGTTACAATAGAGTGCTAACAACTTTGGAGTGTCTGGCAAGAGTGCTAATTATACTTATGTCATTACTGTATTTATTGAGATAAGAAAGCTCGTAGTTGCGAGAAAAAGATAAATTTATCATTTCGATTTCACTGCCGTGACTAAAGCCAAGAATTGCACCATTTGCGAACAGTTGTGCCAGATTACCAGCAAAAACAAGTGATACTCAAATCCAGGTACGAGCTTAAAACAATTAATGAACCATCAAAGAAATGCATTGGCCAGAAGAATTTTAGCTGAATCAGTCGTTTCTTGACTACACTACATCTTATTCTAAAATCATTATATTGAAATGCCCCTCAAAGTTTTAATGAGTTTGCTGTGATCAGCTTATCTACCCGTAAAAAAAAGAAAAGACTTAGAACATGGCAAAGATTGGAAGTCATTTGAAATCTCACAGATACGGATTTGTGTATAGCATACATTCGTAACCAAATCCTGGTACGTTATTCTAGAAATCTTTTTTCCTTTTCTCTGTATTGTTTTCAGCACCGAACGAAAAAAAAAGCTGAAACACTTCGAAAGTCGTTATTAAACATTCTTGTGTCTTCAAAAACGTGTTTAACATCCTTACGTTCAGATCATAACCTATTTTGTCATTTAAACCTCAGTGCCTGTCAAAACAAAGACCGAGTAGTGTCTTCTGGGGGATTAATAAGCTTACTTCGGATTATCTAAAGTGGGGTGTTTTTTTTGTTAAAGAAAAAAGTAACGCTATACTCAGCTTTAAAAGTCGATAATTCAAATAAAGTTATCGGTTATGAAATAACTTAGGGGTCTGTGGGGAACCTTGAATGCTCTATAGATCATATAACATGTTTGATTATTGTGATCAATCATGTAATGTTAAATCTGTTGTAGTTTGATAAGAGTTCAGGTCTAAACTCAGGAAGTACAAAGACAGAAAAATCAGCAGCATAACTTGGAAAATCTGATTAGTCTCTAGAATTCCGAGCTGAGAGTTACCTAACGAAAAAGTTCCTTTTTCTTAAAAGTTGTCCGCCACTAGTTCTCTTTTCACTAGGGAAGAATTGCATCAGTTTCTAATAATCATCTGGTTGTTTCCGTCATGGCGGTTAAAGTAAAAAGCTAAAATTAAGCTGGCTATTAGCTGGCACATCATCATCACAACAAACAGATCTCTCACGCTTATAGATAAGCAAAAGCTTTTGGAGAGTAAAGGTGGCTGCTAGTTCTATATCTGCGATATATTTGTTCAGGGTTTCAAGGAATTGGGAAAACTGGTCTGCCAAATATTTGTTTCAAATCATACCAAAGATGGAATTAGTTGCACAGTTGAACACCTTTTTTTTTAGCCCACGAAACTCTTTTAGTGGCTAGCCAATTGTCCAACGTTAATTGAGGATATTTTGAGGCATTTGATATAATTTGCTGAACTGTGTTTTCTTTATATTGTTCTGATTTTAATTCAATTTTTTTCCATCCAAGCTGTCAACTATGAATTACACGTATCTGCTCTACGTTCATCTTCTACTCTCATATTTTACGGAGATTCACTCGTCAGCCAAACCATATAAAGAGACAAAATCGCAAAAGAAAGAGCTGAAACCACTCAAAGGACCTGACTCAACTTCAAGGACCGATGAAGACAACACCCAAAACCGGTTCCTAAGAACGTTCCTCCTCAATAGGCAGAAACGTCCACGATCTTCCACAGAAAACTCTTTTCGACGCGTCCGCAAGATAACGAAAAGACCAACAACGACCACAAACTGTAAAATATTCTGCCGCAGTGGTTATCACCTTCAAATTCTCCCCAGCGGGGTAGTGAGGGGTACGGTTGACCAGGACAGCGAGTACGGTAAGAATAAGTTGGTAAATATTACAATCATTAAGTGTTTGAAACCTCAGTGTATTCAAGAAAAATTCATTGCAGTCCATATTTGAACTTGAATGCGGCGTAAAACAAGACTGCTGAGATTACTCTAGAACCTCATAAGAATCACTCAAAGGCGAGTCGTTACAGTTTGGTACAACAATGGCAACAACCAACGAATGATGCCGAGAAATTGTTTGAAGTCGAATCGCGTTATTGCGGACACCATCGGGGGGAAGATTTAGCGTCCGTAATAGCGAGAGTCTATAATAGCAGGGTACGAGAGAAAAAAATTTGTTTTGTGTCTAAACTTTTGAAATAATATGTAACTACGCAGACATTAAGTTTCTAACGTGGCCTCGCGAACCTGAAAAAGATCCAGCCGCAAGCAGGAAATTCTCTTGTCCGCACCCAATTGAAGAATGGTTTCGCTGTCGCTTTATATTGTGCGAGTCAGGATTTTGGACGAAGTACTAAGTGTCCGCTATAGCGCGAGAAAAAACAAGTGAAATGTCGCGCTGGGGGACAAAAGTACCTGCATCAATAATAATAATAATAAAATGATAACAATGATAGCAACGGGAATCTGTTTCAGTCATTTTTTTAAGCGCAATGGCGGCGTGTCTGTACTAGCGAGGTGTCCGCAGGGAGAGAGTCGAATGAAGTAACAAATTTCTAACGAGCAATGCTAAAGGTCGCTTACACTTATTTCTTTGAGTCCTCGTTGGTTCCCTTGTCTGTAATATAACCTTTGTCCTGACGAAGGTTTGCGGCATTCAATGGAAATGCGCTGTTTTACGACCTAGGGGCGGTCTCCAAGCGAAAACCTCCTTCGCAAAGGTTTTTGGTTTGGGCGTTTATTAAGATTGCGTGTGAAGCCGCCCCAAGAACATTTAGGCGGGAAACTTACGGCCAATGAAGAACCTGATCATTACCACTATGTGTTTTTCTGCTCCCAGTGTTGTTTGAGATGCAGTCATTCGGGCCCAGTCTCGTTAGGCTGATGAGTCCAGCGACGGGCAGGTATCTAACTATGAAAAGAGATGGAACACTTCGTGGGTTGGTAAGTGAATTAATTCTTAGCCTCAAGTCAGGAACTGATGTCACAAGAGTAACCTTTAACAAGGCGTAAGTGTAGAAAAAGTCAAGAACTGATGTCACAAGAGTAACTTTTAGCATGGAAAGGATACTGTTACATTCAAATCAGGAAGTAGAAATGACTTCTGGCAAGAAAAACTTCGCGAAGCTTTTTAAAAGTAAGGGTTGGATTCAATAAGTTTGTTCAAACGTGAATCAGCGTGGTTTATCTTACTGCATTTGGATATCCTGCTTTTTTAACGTTTTTCAATCACGTGGTTATGATTCAAATTTTGTTTAGCTATTAAAATTATACATGCGGGACTAACAATCTATTGTAGTGAGAGTTTGACTGTTGTTTGAAAAAGAGAGAGGTTACCATACATTACTGACTGACTTGTGTAGGAAACCCAACTTTTCTCGGTTTCTATAGGATGAAGCCGGACTCTGGGTAATTGCTACTCCCATACTCGCATACTGGTCCATTGCAGATTACCCCGTGTACCTCTAACTTCCACCTTTTGCTCTCTTTCAGAGAAGCCAAACCACCCGAGACTCGCTCTTCAAAGAGACTCACGAAGAGAACGCGTTTCACTCTTATGCGTCTTACAGATATTACAGAAAACAGCCACACGACATGTTGGTTGGAATCAAGAGGAACGGGCAAATAAAGCGCGCCACGAAGACTTTTTATGGACAAACTGCTACACAGTTTCTTGTCATCAAATTTTGATCAAGGCTTAAGTTTTAATTGTTCTCATCCTCGAAGACCCAGGGGCTGTCAGTCGATTTCTAGTCAGAGCGTAACAGCTATGACTAGATGTCAACTCACTGCCCTCAGTCTCCAAGGATGAATTATTCTTAGCTGTATAAACAGATCTTCCTTCAAAATTGCTGCCTAAATTTAAAGCTATATATACGAAACTACTCTGGAAATTGTGACAAGGTGCATTCGGCGTCGAGTTGTTTCACCAATCCGCAAATGGAAGCAAAAGTGGGGAAAAGAAAAACTTGAGACTTAATTACGAGTATCAAACAACTTAATTTGACATTCATTCTATTCTTAATCAGCAGAAAAGACATCGTGGCCCTGAAATTACGTTGCCGAGCCGCCGTTTTGGTCGTCTCTTAGCTGTTTCACCATTTGCGTAGACATTTGACCGCGTTTTATTTCAGACAAGGTAGCGAATGACGAACTGCTAAAGTTCGAAAGGCAGCTTTGAAACTCTTAACGGTAGCCAATTTACGTTCTCAACTCAGTTGATAAAACCAAATTACCTTGTTATACTCTCTCACCGACGCAGCACCACAGTTTTTTTAGATAGTGACCCCTTTATTCATTTGTTATTTCAGACAGTCGATTTTTCAATAACGAGAGTTACACTGAGTCTATATCAGTTATAGGTACGCACAATCTGGACCAGGACGTTCTTTAGGGAATGTTTTTCATTTAATGTTTCACTTCGGTAGCTATTTTGAAGGAGTGTCTAGACAAAGCCGACGATCTGATTCAAGTTTTTAGGAAATATATTTAGCTAGGAAATAAACGCGTCCAACTCACGGACATGCAATTATGTTCTTTAGTAAAAAATAGTGTGATTAGCAGAAAGATCGCTCGCTTGTCTCATAGATTGAAATCGTGCGATTATAAAAATTTTTACTTCATAACAAATTTAAGTTTATCAAAACCTCAGTCAGATGCAAGTACGCACAGTCAGATGTAGGTACGCACAATCTGGACCAGGACGCTCTTTAGGGAATGTTTTTCATTTAATGTTTCACTTCGGTGGCTATTTTGAAAGAGTGTCTAGACAAAGCCGACGATCTGATTCAAGTTGTTAGGAAATATATTTAGCTAGGCAATAAACGCGTCCAACTCACGGACATGCAATTGTGTTCTTTAGTAAAAAATAGTGTGATTAGCAGAAAGATCGCTCGCTTGTCTCATAGATTGAAATCATGCGATTATAAAAAATTTTTACTTTATGACAAATTTAAGTTTATCAAAACCTCAGTCAGATGCAGGTACGCACAGGCAGATGCAGGTACGCACAGTCAGATGCAGGTACGCACAGTCAGATGCAGGTACGCACAGTCAGATGCAGGTACGCACAATCTGGACCAGGACGCTCTTTAGGGAATGTTTTTCATTTAATGTTTCACTTCAGTGGCTATTTTGAAGGAGTGTCTAGACAAAGCCGACGATCTGATTCAAGTTGTTAGGAAATATATTTAGCTAGGAAATAAACGCGTCCAGCTCACGGACATGCAATTATGTTCTTTAGTAAAAAATAGTGTGATTAGCAGAAAGATCGCTCGCTTGTCTCATAGATTGAAATCATGCGATTATAAAAATTTTTACTCTATGACAAATTTAATTTTATCAAAACCTCAGTCAAATGCAGGTACGCACAGTCAGATGTAGGTACGCACAATCTGGACCAGGACGCTCTTTAGGGAATGTTTTTCATTTAATGTTTCACTTCGGTGGCTATTTTGAAAGAGTGTCTAGACAAAGCCGACGATCTGATTCAAGTTGTTAGGAAATATATTTAGCTAGGCAATAAACGCGTCCAACTCACGGACATGCAATTGTGTTCTTTAGTAAAAAATAGTGTGATTAGCAGAAAGATCGCTCGCTTGTCTCATAGATTGAAATCATGCGATTATAAAAATTTTTACTCTATAACAAATTTAATTTTATCAAAGTCTCAGTCAGATGCCGAGTCATCTCCGAGAGGCGAGAATTTAATCTCTAGTTCTTTTAACTACCTCCATTGTGCCAAAGTCTCTCACAACAAGATCAACGTGTTTTTTCCCCTTTTCTAATTACGAAATTAACGCGTTCATCGAAGTATTAGCAATTGTAAATAAGCCTGAAATTTATGAGTAAGCAGACACATCGCCTCTAAATTGCAGCCATCACAACAGCTTTAAAGATTTATCATATTCAATATTTATTTATTCATCCATCTATTTAAGAGAATTAAGGGTATTGAATATCAACGTGCAGTTTTTCTAAAAAGCAATTCGAATTATTGTATTGCAAAACGATTAGGAGATAGGAGCTTCTTAACTATTCAGACATCTTGCCAAGAGTGAAATAAAGTGACTATTTCAATTCCAGTTGTTGTCAGGTGTTGCGTTTGTACCCAGTTTCCTCCTGTTTAGTTGATTTGCTTAACCGTGGAAGGTCTGGATTTAAGCCTAATGTCTTGTCAATCTCGTGCCCAGACCTTAGTACAGAAGAGGTGCAGTTCACTAGGTATTACGAACAAATGTTAAAGAATCAAACTAACATCAGCAATAACATCATCAACAACAACAACAACAAAAAGACATACCGGAACTAAGCAAACAAAAGTCAAACAAATTGTAAGCGAATAGAACAGAGGTACTTTAACCGCAGTGATTGCTAAAGCGCCTAGCTAAGAACGGGGAAAACAACAAAATCCGAAGGATACTGGCTTCAGAATGAGGGTGGCTCTGGAAAGTAAAGCTATCTTGTCTGACTTGTCGTGAACTGACGTTTTGTTAACCTAAGCGAAGGTCCTTATTAGAGTCATGTGCGTCGCTAAAACTTGTAACAGCTCTCGTCGGGACTCCCTTCGTCTAAAAGATCACACTGCGCGAACTACTGTTACTTTTCGAGTTCAACATAAACTGTGTAACACAGAAGTGCTGATCTAAACAAACGCCTTGTACACGGGTGAATACTCAGAAAGACACACGAAGCTGTGAAAAACTGTCATTTTAATATCTCCTTTCAACATATATTCTACCTAACGTAACACTTTTCTTACATACTTATCTTACGAGGCCCTTTTTACACGTAATTTTTTTTTCATATCAAACAATACCTGGCCTCCTTTTACGTTATCTCTACAGGGATAGCAAAAATGTAAAATTTAGCTTCCTTGCTTTATTTGTCAAATCTACAAAAAGCTCTTTTTCCAGAAATACTTAATATATTGTGGACGGACTCAACTTTACATATCATACAATGGTTATACAGCTGGTTAATAATCAGTGATAGATGTCTGTATCGCACTCCTGTACTACCAATAATACTGTTGCCGCAAGACGAAAGTTGTCCTTATTATATGATGTACGAAACACGATTTTCAACGAAACAAAAACAAAACAAAACATGGAAAACGGATAATTAAGTGAAAATTTGATTATTCCGCTTTCTTTCGAGTGAAGAATGCTTAAGTAGGGAACAAATATTAATGTCACAAGAGAGAGAGAGAGAAAAAAAATGAAAACATAATTTCAACATTGAGCGAATTATCGCCACGACGAGACAACTTTCGAGTCATTTTACAACACAGAAGTCAAACTTACACTGGCTTGGCCACAATTACATATACAAAACGACAACCGAAACTTCTCATACGTTCTTGGAGAACAAGAATTGTTTCTTATTGCTTCACCATCACGAAAAAAAAAAAAGTGGAATCGAGGCCAACACCGCCAGGGACGGAGGGCGCACGCGCCGCATTTCATCTGGATAAATAGAAGAGAATCTCCGCCAAATGGTTGGTGATTGTACTGTCCAGAACCCGCAAAACAGACAGCCTTAAGATCCGCTGTTGAAACGGTAAGAACAAGGCACGGTTGGAGCGTATGCGTGCCAAGCACACTAGCGTCGAGGCAGCCCGACGTAACATGTCCACACTCGTACCGCAAAAGCTCTCCGAATGAAAGCCGGCCTGCGCCAGGGCACTACCTGATGAATATGCGCTCATGCTGGACGCTGCATCCTCGATAAATTCCAACAACATTGAAATACACGCCTTGCTGTCGCCGAAACCAACGAAGGAATTCTCTCCTTGTGCCAGGTTGGACAGCAAGACAAGAGCAAGTTCACGAGTCACCGGATTGTCTCTCTCGCCAACAAGTCGAACCAACATGGTGTACAATTCGTCCACCCGCGTCAACGGCGGAGTGGAAAGAATGATGTCAACATTAGACTCCAAGATGCTCATCTTCGCCAAGGCCTCAAGAACCAGCTGCCTCGGGGACAGGGAAGTACCTGGAGTAGCTGTGGGCATGGGATCCTGAGCGGCAGCCGACGGACATATGAACCAGTGGAGAAGCCCGTCCAACAGAGGAAGACTAATGGCCTCAGGATACAGAGACAAGTCCAACTGACCGGCTACATTGGCTGTTATCACCAAAGCGTTCTCACGCAGACCTTCCAAGCAGTACCACCACCAGTCGTGACGATCGTCGCTGGGACACTCCACCTCGATCTCATCCTGCAGATAGGAATGCCTGTAGGGAACACGTTTGGAGTGTTTATGATGAAGAAGTAAAAGCCGCCCAACGATGAGTAACAATCCTGCGTGACGCGACATCTCAGCGTCGTTTCCCGGAACAAAGGAAAGTCCACGTAGAATGTTAGACACACAAAGGCAGCGCCGGGACACGGCGTCCTGGCTCTCAGTTCTTAGGCACAAAGGTGCATCTTCCTTGCCGCACGACTGCTCTTCAACAACTGCATCCTGTTTCACGTTTATTTTACTAACAACTGATCGAATATAAGCGTCCGATTCCGTATCCTCTTCATCAGAATCCAGGTCTAAGTCCAGTTCCTTTTTTAACCGCGCGGTAAACTGTTCTACTTCACTCTCTCTGTTGAACTTATCATTTTCCTGAGTTTTTAATTCCTCCTGTGATGGTTCTTTCTCTTTTTTAACAACAATGTCAGCTTTTGATTTGCCCTCCTCTACCACAGGAGAGGGCAGTTCGGTTTTCAGTTTACTAAAATTCCCATCACATTTCATTTCGTTTGCACAACAATTGTCATCTTTACACTCGGCTAATGATTTCTCATCGTCACTTTCAGTTTGATTTGTATTCTCGTTCTCAGCTTTTACCTCTCCTTCGCAATTCTCATCAGTTTCGGAAAGAATTACATCTTCACTGCACTCAGTTTCTTCTCTGCAATGAATTACCTTTGTCGAGTATTCTGGTCTCGTCTTGAAGCCAAGGTGTGTTTGAATATGACGCGTGGTGTCTCCACCTCCCATGAGCCAGTCGCCGGATCCGCTTTGAAATCCATCGTTTGGAATATCAAACGTGGATGCTACCAACAGAGCGGTAAAACTATTTTTTGCGGCTCTATTTAACTTTTCAATCTTTTCCTCGTTTTCCTCCTTTCGCGCAATTTGTAAAACCACCGAACCAACGCTGATCTCACTCTCGACAAATGTGTCGAAAATGTCAATCAAATAACGTCGGAAATGATCGATAAGGTTATCCAGGAGACCCGGCAGTTGCGATAACATGAAGTAAAGCACCGTGTTGTCGTCATAGAGCAGGATGTTAAGGGTATCTAATGCCCAGGTCGCCTCTGATAACAAGCCGGATTTCAATGACATCATTACCCTCCATGCTTCAACAGGGCCTAGGAAAAAAATAAAAGCTTTAACAACAGTTCGAGTCAGCTTACGAACTTAAGGGCCAATCTGGCTGCGGTTTTCCCAGGTTTCCATAGCAAAAAGAGACTGATCCCTTTATAACCCTACACGATGAAAGAATTGAGATAGATGGGGGTCTGGCACGAGAACTCAAACACAATGAGAGGACCAATTGAAACTCGCACTTTTGAATCCAGACTCCAAGAAAAGAAAGGATTCCTAACTTAAGAAGCTCTTGATTGTTAAACAAAATTCTCCTTGTCAGCGCCTTAGGAAATGTAGAGAGAACATTTTGGAGAAGATGATACTGAAGTTAGAATGTAAAGGATAAACCTTGCTACTCTTTGGTAACCGAACCATGTTGTTGTCAGTTGCTTTCACGGCATACCGTTTTAGCACTTATAGGGATATGAAATGATCATCATCAAGAACAGAGGCGAGAGAAAAGCATCAATTACTATTTCATTTCAATTAAAACAGTTAAAAAAAAAACATCAAAAAGTCTCGAAGCAAAACTGATATTTCCCCTGAGTTTTTTGAGACCTATTTTTGTGAAAGACAATAACCAAAATAACCAATTGCGGATAGCCAAGACAATATGCTGTGAAAAGCAATAACACCAAGAGTACGGTTAACACTGAAAAGCAGGCTAAACCCTTTAACCAAACATCAGTATGCAGATTCTCCACAATGTTATATTCTAAGGTGCTGACAAGGAGAATTTGTTTAGCAATCATGAGCTTCTTTAGTTGGTGATCATTTCCTTCGTTCTCATTACCATAATATGAAATTTGAGGATGGTATTTTAAGGAGAAATTAGACGCTAGTCACTCTTAGAGGTCAAAGGGTGAAGAACATCAACAGTGACTTGCTCCTCTCCATCTTTTGATGTTTGCGTCAAGTAAGACTTAACAAACATACAAACAAAACAAAAACATACCCAAATCTCTGGAAGTGAGTTTGCGCTTCTTAGTGAACACAGGCCTTGTGGCCTCAACACAGTCGTTTGGAAAAGGCATCTCTCTCTTTATAGATGACGTGTGAGATTGTTGTTGGTGTGACTGCTGTTGTGATGGTGGATGTGCAGTTTGCTGTACAGGATACTTCATTTTTGGCAAAGCCTGGAGTGGCGGTGCCTGTGCCATGGGCTGTCTTGACGAAGGAGACGGCGAAGGACTGGGGCGATATGGTGGTGTTGCTGAATACTGGTTTTGGCGGCCTGGGTAAGAGCCATACGGCGGTGCAGGGGAGTACTGAGATTGAGGTCCGCTGGAGGAACGCGTAAGTCTGTTGTGTGCCCCAGGTGGGTAATCTACCATGTGCTCTGGCTCTGCTGATGGGCTGTATTGAGAACCCCATAACGAGTGCACCTTATCTTGAGAGCTTGCATTGGGCACCATGGAATGGGGTGATGCCAGAGATCCCATCAATGACGGGCTTGAACGCTGCTGATACTGCGCATGCTGGTAGTTCGTCCCTGAATGGCCTGCTTGTGAGTTCGACTGCTGATAGAATTGTGACAGGGACGAAGGGCCCTGATACATGTTACGCTGCGACATCATGTAAGGAGGGAGCCCTCCACTTTGAGGGTGATTTGATAAACTGCTCCTTCTCTCTCCACCGTAAGGGTATTGGGGCATTCCAAACGGACTGGAAGGCGTGGGAGGGTTCATTGGAAAACTTCCAGAATTTTCTCTAAATTCTGGGTACATTTTGTTGGTGTCGTAGCTGGGCTCAGGGTATCCGTCCTTCCCGCTGTAGCTTGGAGGTAAATTGGGAACAGAGTCATTTGTCATCGAGCTGTAGGTTCCGTGAATCGGCGTGGAGTCAGGTGCTCTCGAGGTCTGCGTCAAACTGTTGGTTGGTATGATTGCCTCTGAGCAAGTGACTGTTGCATTAGGGGGCGGAATACCCGAACCTTCCAGAAGATTAATCTTAATGTCGTCAATGGAGTTACTTTTACTGAATTTCATCTCGTACGACAACAGATATCTGGAGTACTGATTACGAAGGTGGTTCACTACATTCGGGTTATCTGTTGGAAGGTTCATGGCCTCTAAAACTTCCTGCCAGAGTTTTCTTTTGACCACCTGATACAAAGATGAAGAACAAAAAATAAAGTTTAGCATACTGTTACGTGGAAGAGCACTGATTCGAAAAAATGATACATGGAAATAAGGACTCTCAAAGAGAGAATGAGTATCGATTGTATTTAAAAGTATGATTTAAAAACGAGCAAACAAACAAAAAAAGGAAAGGTCGAACCCTTCAGCTCTTCGATTGGATGCTGCAGTTTATTGGATGTAGGACTGTCAATACACTGTACACTCTGACGCAATTTATCTCCACAAAAAATTCGGAGGTTGACCTCTGAGCAGAGTGGTGTTCTAAGTTCTAAGTTCTAAGTTCTAAGTTCTAAGTTCTAAGTTATAAGTTCTAAGTTCTAAGTTCTAAGTTCTAAGTTCTAAGTTCTAAGTTCTAAGTTCTAAGTTCTAAGTTCTAAGTTCTAAGTTCTAAGTTCTAAGTTCTAAGTTCTAAGTTCTAAGTTCTCGTCTCTATTACCACCATGGTATGGTGGTAATGACGTTAGCACAGCAGTAATAAATAACAAAAAAATGTCAGCAAAAAGCAGCGGTTTTACAAAACTTACTTCTTGTAAACCACCTCTTTCCTGGACAACAGTGTAGAACTTAAAAAGATCCAGCGGCTGCCTCATTACTACCGGAACTTGGGCGATCTGTGTACCTATTAACAATAAAATCAACATCAAAATCTTAACCAGAAGTCTAACCCCTACCACCTAAGAGTGACTGGCTTCTCATTTCTCCTTTCAGTGTAATCCTCAAGTCAAATGTAAAGGTGATGGGAATAAAAGAAAATGGTCACCACCCGACGAAGCTTCCATTGTTAGACAAATAATCCTTGTACCAAATGAAATATATAGAGAAGAGTAGGAAGAATAAAGATACTGATGCTAGAGTGTAAAAGAGTAAAGTAGTGAAGGACCTTGAGGAAACATTGCATGACACAATCTTTCTTCGAACTAAGTTTAAAATGAGTTTCTAGGAGCCCTCATATGGGATGCAGTTCATTTACATGATTTTCATATATTCACAGTCATTTATTATAAACTCAGTTGATAATACCCCCCACTGACACAGCACCAAAGTTTCTTTAGAAACTTACCCCCTTTACTAAAACTTCACTTCATCGTTCACTGATGATATAGAGGAACTAATAGTCAAGTTTTCCAAGAGTTTTCAAGAGTACATTTATACTAATGGTGACCACATATTCATTACCTTGACTGCTCATGAAAGCCTGATACTTATTGAGAAACTCTTTCCTCTCCGGTTCATCAGAGAGTTCATACAACTTGGAGAACTGAAAGAATTTAAGAAATCACACAACAGTTATCAAAGAAATGATAGGTAAAGTAAAGTAAAGTATTTTATTTTGCTGACAAAGAGTGTTTACCCACTGTCTCACTTGCATGGAAGGAGGCTACCTGAGTTATTTAGGGAGCTTCCACTGTCTCTTGCCCGCCCCCAGATAGGGTACTGTTCACATGACTGAAAACCCTGACAGCCCAGCTATGAGCCTACAATCGAGGCACCATTCAACACTGATAAGATAAGTGCAGGGATATAGCTAAAGTTTTTAACAGGCAGGAATCTTGCAATGATAGGTGGGTATTTGGGCCGAAGGCCCACTCTAGTGTGCCTTTGGCATGCTATACCGCGAATTGAAGGTGTAAACAAATGAAATAAATAAAAAGCAATCTTCTGACAACATTTAAAAACATTTTAGAGAAAGAAGTAGTGCTTCACAGCCGGAAAAATTGAGTTCACAGCCGGGTAATTTTCCCAGCTTCCGGCTATTATCAACATCCCTGAAGTGGGAAGAAAAATTAGAGGCTGAAGGGGGTAGGGGATTGCTCGACAAAATTGCAATGAACTGCTCAGGAGAGCACATTCACCACTACAACAACCAAAATCCAACCCACACAAAGTTTCGATGTTTCACAAGAGCCTGCAATTGTGACAATGATTGGTGAACAAGAATGACTGCCAAGCTCCTGGTGGAAATCTTTACTGAATAAATTAACATTCTGAAAAATTCCAATAGCACAGAAAATAGTGAACTTGAGTGAAATGTAATAGTGTAGTAGTGTAATAATGAACAGAAGTAAAATGCATACCTTCTCATATTGCTGTTGGTTCTGTCTGGATGATGGAAACTGGTATGATGACTAACAATTAAAACATACATTAGTCAAAATCAATTGGAATTGGGATCTTGAAGAGAAAATATGCAGATCTCAGCATGATGGCACATACTAAAGAACATTTTTCAACCAAGCCTGTTAACCCGTTATCAAACAAACACACACACATGCACAAGCACATCTCAAAAGGTTAGCAGGTGCATGACCAAATGCAATGGCAAGGAAAGTGTGAAGTGGCATTATATTCCCTGTGTCTACATAAAAACTAGCTCAGGCCATCAAAATTAGGTGCAGGATTCTGTGCAGAGGAAATTCTTCAGTCCTTGATGCTTCACAGACACCATGTTTTCAACAAAATGCTATCAACAGAATTTTTGAAAACTTTTAATGGTTCTGGTTAGCTTTCCTCACAAAATTTAACTGGAACAAGAAATGCAATTGGAACAAGAAATGTATGTGGAACAAGTCTTCCCCTTTCTCAGAAAACCATTAAAAAAAATTTTCATTTTGTTGACTTCAAACGTGATCATTGTTAGTAACAAGAACAAAAGGAACTGAGCATCATTGTTCCGTAGCCACTTCCCTGTAAGGCTATCCACAAGATGGCAAACAAAGCTATAATATAACAAACATAAACTAACCATTGAGATGGAATTGTTTGGAAGTGAAGGGTTGATTTCATCCAAGTCGATCTCAGCGTTACCAAATGATGATGTAATGGAAACTCCTGAAGGAGACACTCCAGGGGAAAGGCCAGAAAAATTTGATAGAGGTGACGATGGAGCAGAGGGAGGGGAATCCCCTTTTTCTATAGCAGGGGTCAAGTCCATAGTGGAACCAGTAAGTTCACGAGAATCTGTGTTACTATTTGGGCCTAAAAAGCAATAAATAAATCATATGTTAAGCTGTTCTTACAAACATTGCTAAAATTATTAACAGTGTACATGCTCTTTCTAGGTTGGCTGTTGGCACACTGCAGATAATTCCCCCCCCTCAGCTACAGCAAAATGAAGTGAGTCTGATGTACTGGTAGCTTCATTCAAAATGATCTCTTCCAGAAGTATCAAATTAAAGCTGTTCCATTGGAGTAGGGTGCACAACAATTATGACTTGCTATGACACCTTACAGTAGCTCCCAAGACAAAGGTCCTCTTCACTTAGGACACTAAAAATGCACAAAAATTTAAATCTTACCATTTACAGGGGTTCCTTGTGGCTGTGATGGAGAGGATGCTACTGTTGTAGGCAGTGATGCCACAGATGGAGGAGCAGAACCTTGAGAGGGTGGCTGCTGTTGGTTGTCATTATCAGTTGGAAGTCCAGCTTCTTCTGCTCTCATTGATTCAATCATGGCTTCCACATCCTCTGCTGTTGGAAGTTCATTAAGTGTTGGAGATGGTACCCGGCCTACAGGGAGGCAAGATCAGAAGGTTTAGAAGACCACTTCACATATACTTCCATTAAAGTTATTTTTAAATCAGTGTAAATTCCATTGTAAAGCCCCTGCTAAATGATCAAATAATATCATTCAACATTGTGTTTATCAGATACTCTACATGTACTTCAATCAAAATTATTTTGAAATTAGTGTAAATTCAATTCTTAAGCCCCTGCTAATGATCAAACAATATCGTTCAACATTGTGTTTATCAGAAAAATATGGGATGGCTACATGCGCAACAAATGTTGTATCAGACATTGAATAAAGTGAGCCCACATAATGCTTTCTGCTTAGAGTACTTTGTCACTAAACTAAAACTGAAGTAACCACAACCACAAATCAGAAGAAAAGAAGATACTTTTAACCCTTTAACTCCCATGAATGACTGAGACAGAATTTCTCCTTACATTATCAATACAATATCAACCAGATAAGTGATAAGAATAAAGAAAAATATAAATTTGGGGATAATTAGTTGATCCAATACTAAATTCTCTGAACTAACATTATAAGAATTGTATGATTGAAAGTAAGGAGAATTACAAATTTGATCTGGGAGTTAAAGGGTTAAGAGCCAGTGAGAACTAAACGTAAAAACAACCAAACTCCCAAAAGCATAAGAAAATACCAGTGACCAAGTTGTTATTGGTTTTATTTTTGTGGCTGATTGGTGGAGAAAATAGCCCAAGTTTTCTAGACCAATTACAAAGCAATATAAAGTAAAAGTAACGCAACACAGGAATACTTTTGACACTCAATTGTAAATTGCTTTATTAACCCTGGAATTATGCTTTCATATTTTTTTCCTTCCCTGAGCTTGTTTTGATTTCAGAGATAGCTAACCAATTAGTTATTCAAAACAATTTCAATGCAAGGGGTCAAAACATTGAGGCTGACCTGTTTGAACATTTGCACCCATCATAGAACCCAATTGCATTGGGGACATCCCTGAAGCAGGCATGTTCTCTGATCCTTTACTGCTCAACATCATCTCCTGAGGACTAACAAAGGGAGGACCAGGACCTTGTGCTGCTCCAGGGTATCTTGGTCCAGAGTTAGCAGCTTCAAGAACAGCTGCCGCAGCAGCTGCAGCAGCCGTTCCACCCACAGCTGATCCAGCTGTAGAGCCTCCCACACTCGCTGGAGGTAGGCTGTTACCAGATACTCCAGAGCCAGACATTGCAGTTCCTGCCATTCCAAAAGGAGGGGGCATTTTACTGCGAGGATAAGTGGGCAAACTTCCTGTAGATGTTGGGCTGTCTGTGCCAAAATTGGGCATACCAACTGATGGAGAAGTTCCTTCAAACCAAAATTGGGGGAAAATTAATCATTAGGTTGGCCATTCTCAGTGGAACAACTTGGGTTCTTGTTGTGTGCTCAAGTTCTAAAATCTTACTCTCATAACTATAGTAAAGTGAATTATATTCAGGGGAAACCTCTATTGCATTTATGTACTTACTGACATTAACATTAAGCAGACAACTCAGTGAGAAAGTCTGAATTCCATTTTCATCACATTTCATTTCATGACTCCAATGTTCACTATCAACACTCATATTCAGGCAACTACAGCTGCAAGTGTTATTCTATTTCTCAACATGGCCAGATTTGAAAGGTTGCTTATGATTATTCAGTATGTCCAATCTGGGGCTTGCACTTTGGACAACAAATTTCAGAAGTTCCTGATTGCCAATCAAATTCTCATCTGTACCATAGGAAATGTAAAGCGGACAGCAAGGAGAATGTAAATGCTCTATTAATGTTAGGATGGAGAGGGTTTGCTTAAATTGATACTTGATACTTACCATCTGCAACAACTCTCATGGGTGAACCCAAAGTAATGTTGGGAGAAGGTGTGTGTCGGGAATGAAGAGACACTGGAAAAGATTGAGGATTATTGCGCTGGTATGCCCCTTGACTACTTCCATATTTAGCCAACATCTCTGAAGAGGAGCCCATACGACCCATTGGTGTGTTGCCATATGATTGGGATGCTGATGGAATTCCATGCTGTTGTTGATCGGTCATTCTGCTGGAGGGAAAATCTGGACCTGGAAGATTGTCTCCTACATTACTGCTGGAGTATCTCATGCCGGCAGAGCTGCCAAACATGTCCCCTGAGGCTGGTTTGGGGAGGATTGGTTGTGGATGGGAGGATGGCATCCTTGGTATTCCAGTTGGAGGTTGAGGATATGATGGTTGATGCTGTTGCTGCAATTGTCTTTGTTGCTGTTGAGCCATGTAAGACATTTGTTGTTGAAACTGAGGCTGGAAGTGAGTAGCAAATGTTAGTAAAAGTTAAAAAGTAAATGCAATAGAAATTCACCACACAAATGTGGGAATTTCGGTCTTGTTTTTAACTATCTTGGCAAAAATAAAAGAGGAGAAAAGGCTATAAATTTGAATTATTTTCTGATTGTTCAACTCTTTTAACCCTCACAGTGACCAGCATCTAGTTTCTCCCTACAGTAACTATGCTGAACCACACCATTGAGATCACAAGAATAAAGCAAAAAATTCAATTGTTCAAAGAGTTCTTACTGTCAGAACCAAAATGTACAGTGAAGAGTAAAGAGAATATGGATGCTGATGTTAGGGTGTATAGGATTAATAATGGTAATTGAACTGAGTAGAGTGCAATTTGGGCTGAAATCATACGCGTGATTTCAAAATTGAATGAGCGCGCAGCGCGAGTTCAATTTGAAATCACAAGTATAATTTCAGACCAAAATTGCACAACACGAGGTTCAATTACCACTTTATTACATCCATTTTGAAATCGCCCAAATACAGGACTTGGTCAGTTCAAATATTTATTACTACAATACTGAGCCAGTTTGGAATTAAAGTCATCCATTTTTTGGGAGGAAAAAATAAGAGTTTTGGAAACAAAAGTTGCAAAATTTGCCACATGATCCTTCATGTCTTTCATCTTCCTGCAATTTGATCGGTTACTTTAAACAAGCCTTGAAGTCTGATTGGTTGTTTTGTTTTTAGTGTAGCCTCCTCTTCAACTGGAAAAAAGATGCGATTTAAAGCAAAAAATGGTGCAATTCGTGAATAAATCGCACCAATTAGAGCCAATCAGATTACAGGGACCACCAGTGATTTCAAAATGGGTGTAATAAAGTAGGTTATCTTTCTGATAAGAGGTCTTCTCAGTCCACCAGCACAATCAGAATAGACCGTTAACAAAGCAGGTAACTTTCTAAAGAAACAGTGCTGCTGTGTCAGTGGGAGAGTATAACAGAGTACTTTGGTATTATCAACTGAGTTGATAAATTGGTTATGGTAAAGAGTTTTGAAGCTGATGTTTAACGCATTAGTCACTTGTTTGAGCAAATGGACCATCCGCCCAGACATAAGGCTAACACTAAAAATGTCAGCTTCAAAACTATCTACCATAACCAATTTATGTTATAAACTCAGTTAACAATACTAAATTACCCTGTTATACAATTAACAAGTTTCACTAGTTAATTTTAAGCTTTGAAAGATCAAACTTGCCACAGAAAATAACAATTTCATGAATAATGCTCCACTTATAGTATACATGCACACTTACTTGGGGAAATCTATGTTGCATTTGCTGTTGCTGAAAGCTTGAATAGTCTTGTGGAGGTGTCTGCATTTGATTAGCCATATGTTGTGGCTGTCCTGAGAGACTTGCCTGGCTGACAACCTGCCTGCCCAGGGGCATGTTGCCATAGTATTGCTGGGACTGTGGCAAAGCTCCTGCCTTCATTCCTCCTTGCTGCTGCTGCTGTATCATATATGATGCATATGATTGTTGAGGACCAGCTTGTTGGGACTGTGGTTGATGTTGTTGTTGTGGTTGTTGTTGTTGTGAACCACCCATCATCATGTAAGGAGACTGTTGCTGAGGAAGTCCTTGCTGCTGAAATAGAGTGAAAAGGTCTAGGGTTATTAACCTCACTATCAGCATACAAGCATAATGGTCAATTCTAAGGCCATCTGAGAAATCACTATCAAATTATTACTCTACTTCAGGAAAAAGCAATTCTAAAATAGTGATAATTGTATAACAATGCATACATTGGACCAAATTGGGGACAATTCCATCATTCTTTTTTTACCTTCATTTAAATTTAACCCTTTAAACCCTAAAATTTGTATTTATATTCACTGCACTGTTCTCTTAACATTCCCTCTGGTAATGAAAAGGGGAATTTGTCAAGCAGTGAGGAACTTCCTTAATTGGTGATCATTTTATTAATTCTCATCACCTTTTTGTTTGATTCAAGGGTGGTATTGTTGGGAGAAATCATAAGTCAGTCACTCTTAGGAGTTAAAGGGTTGAAGGCACTCATACATCTTCACATTGAAGACAGCAAAGAGCTTGAAGTTGAACAGAGCCAATTAAAAGATGCCTTATTGCAAAAACACTGTCAAAATATAAATTGAAAAAAGAAGCAAACAGCACTGCAAGCAAATCTAGTTTTCCTTGGATGGCACCAAATCCAAATTACTGATGTAAATGTTGGTCTTTAAAAAAAAAGAAAAAAAAAAGGCAAATGGAAGGAAATATTTGTTAATGAATTTAATTTTTAGGGCATATGTTCTTGCACTGCATTTTGGATGATAATGAGGATAATCCTTGGGTTGTGCCTAAATACCCCCTGACTGATTACAATCTTGACTGGACTTCAATGTAGCTCTCCTAGTCAGGACTTTTCCCAAAATTTCCATGGACTAGTTTCTTATGTGAAGAGTTTCTTCTTACATGTAAGGCAACTCCCAAATGATGTTGGTTCACTACTTGACAAAATATGTTAATTTAGGCATAACGTAAAGTTCTTCAATCGGAACTTGGAAAATTTATCCATTGGGCATTTCTCTGCCAAATTTAGTAATACTTAACAAACACTTAATACTCTGATTGGGTTTGCCTGAGGTTTGATGAGAGAATTCTATGGGCCAACATTTTCTTAGTGTTGGGAACATACATTTTTTCCTTTCCAATTACTTGACTTTTCAAAACAAACACTTGCCACTCGCAAGAGATTTTAAATGAAATCCATGGTGGGAATGCAGTAAAAGTAAAAGGAAGATGTATTCTTTGCCAATTTACAAAACATTTAGTGGTTTCTATACTTATTAGTTACTAGCCACCTACTGATGTATTCTTAGAGGGTTAAGGTAACATGATAGCATACAGAAATTTTCTTTAATGAAAAACTCATCCTTTAAGAATAATCTTTGGAATCAGTTCAGATACTGAACCGAAATAATTTCTGATGCCTTGAAATAACTATATGGCTTGAAAAATATTATCAAAGAAATGCGATGGTTCTTAAGATAACCTCTCTTAAATCAATCCCAATTCATATTATTAAAATAAAATATTTTGCAATCAGGTTACTTGTTTGTTGTTAAGCTGCGTTTATTTTGGCTGATTCAGTCTGTCGTCTGAAACAAAACAAAACTGAAATAATTCTCAGTTCTGTGTCTGAATCAAACTCTCATCTTTTATATAGCTCAGGTAAAACTACTTACTTTGCAGTAATAACCATGATTTGTCAAAAACCTATTGTATACACGTTGCTGAAAACTAGAAGTTAGGCACTTAATTTTTCTGAGCTCAGTTTTGTTTTCCTCATGGAGTTAAACTTCTGGTTCAAAACAAGGAGTTTCTTTGATACATTCAAATTAAACTTAATTTGAATTTAGTATGGCTTATGGTTAATTCCGAGCCTAACATGGTTTTACCTGTCCAGGATATGGTCCACCTTGAAAACAGATGGAATAATGTGTTGCAGCACTTACTTAAACCTCAAAATTGCATTGTCAGAGAACAAACAAGCCCACTCTTAGAAAACTTTATCATACTTTTACTGTCATCATCTTTAGCTAAAAGCAATAAGAGCAACAGAAGTGCATTTAAAATTTCTAACAATGGACGCTATTTTTTCTCCCTATTGTACTTCAACTAATACATATCTGAATAAGGGGAGTGGTTTTCTAAAGGAACTGTGGTGCTACCTTGGTGGGTGGTATAACAAGATAATTTGGTTTTATCAACAGAGTTGATGATATAAATTGGCCATTGTGAAGTGTTCCAAAAGTTCACAAAACATATCTATTTTGGGGAATTTCAGGAACATTTTGCACAAACAAGACTGATGAACTTAAATTTCATTACATCAAAGAAGCAATTTACTGTCAACATTGTAATCTCAAACCTATGTTACAGCTACACCTCTAATGTTTTTACTGAACCCTTTTAAGAGGATATTTAGGTAGACACACTTTGTTCCCCATTTACAATACCTAAAATCATTTAGTCAAAGCCATACCTAGGCAAATTGTTACCCCTGTGGACTTAGTTTACCCAATATACCGTGTATACTGAATGTCTACTTGATATTACAATCTCTATTGGCCAGATTAACAAATTACTTAACATCAGTGAGTTTAAAACTTTATTGAGGGAAAGATGAATTTTAGACTAAAGTGCTATGCCTCAAGGTCATCAGAAATATTACTTAAAATCAATATTTGAGTTTTTGGCCAAAAAGAAAAAAATGGGAAAATAGAAGTTACTGAATTTATATTAGTCTTCTACTCCTATCTAGCAGCCTGTTATGTGCAGTTTACAGTGCGAAGCTTCTCCTTCAGAGAAAGCTGTGCCCAATTTAAAACACAGCTGGACAACTTCATGTATGAAAATCAGTGAAAGGATGCAAACATGTCACTTAGACAAAACAACCAAGTTGATGACACCAGGTGTTTGCTGCTCTAAAATTGGAATAACAAGTACTTAAGTTCTTAAATAGGTCCCGGTTCAAATTATAGCCAAATCAACAAATCGGAAGTCATGTGCAGACAAAACTAAAGAGGAACTTCACTGAAACAGATGGTTTTTTTTTCTTTACAGAAAAATTAAGGAAAAATTTCAAGTTATTAGTACTGGTTGTAAAAGTGGAATATACTAAATACATTCATTTGTGACAATCAGTTATAGTATTTTGCAGGGTACCTTGGATGTTTTTCAAGGAAAAAGTTTAGAAAGTTAAATTTCTTCTAAGTTTTTCAAACAAAGTTTACTCTTGATTTTTGCACTGGGCTAACCATCATAATAAATCTGTCACAAGGAAACTAAAAGTAAGACTAATTCAAAAAAATTTGTTCTGAGAAAAATTTTGGGTCAAACTACAAGCTTAGCAATAACCAACATCCTATAATAAAAAGTAACCCTGTATTTTAAAGCATGCAGTACTTAACAATACTATCTTGGATTTTAAACATCATGAAAATCCTTCTCTTGATACTCAAAGATTCCAGAAGATTGAAAAACTAAACTTGCTCTTGGAAAAGGTAACCAATTAAAATACATAGCAATCTACATGTACATCACACCCCTTAAATACTAAATACATAGCCCTTTTTTGTCAGTTACTTGGAATTTTCAGCATCGAAGTAGACTAACTTAGCATTAAAACTACAGATCTTTGCAACAATATAACTAAAGGAAAAACTTTTGCAAGTGATTAGTAAATATTTTTAAGTAAAGAAAAAATCAAGCCACAATTAATGTGTAAACCATTTCCTTCTTTGCTATTACTTGAAATTGCTTCATGTGCTTCCTTTTCAATGGGACAATGCTGGAGAGTTCATTTATATCATGCATTTCAAATAGAAAATATTGTACTTGTATATTGGCCTATGCATTAACAAAGACTACTGAGAGAAATGTTTAACATGCTAAAAGTGGTAACAGAGCACAAGATAGTTAAAAACACAGTAGTGCAAATTGTGGTTTGTGTGAAGGAAACTCAAGGATGAGAAAAAATTTTTGCAGTATTCAGTGGTACTTTAATACAACAATATAATTGAAATTCAGCAAAATAACTACCTATTTTGAAACTGGACTACTGTTTTGGAAACTGTGTAAATCACTAGCTTGATCAAAAACCCAACAACTTAACAAGCCACCTAGACTGAAATTGAAACAGGTTCATTGCAAGGAGAAAAGAGCCAGAGGTTCAAATCACTGTAATCATGTGGTAGAGTGGTTATCAAAACAAAAGATACAACTGCCTTGAAATGAATTGCACTATTTAGCACAATAACTCAATTTCATGTTTTAGCTTTAAATGAAAATCAAACAAACCGAGATGTAACAATAGCACTTTAGACAGACAATAAAAGGCAACAGGACAAAGACACAGTAACCCTTCACATTTCTACAAAGAAAGGTCAATGAAATGTTCTCCAGATTAATCCACTGGAGGCCAATGAGTGATCTATGTCTGAAGCTGTCTGCAATTATTTATAAATTGACACTTTCACAGCCAATCAGACGAGCAGGTAGATAAATTTCACAGGTGGTGAACCAAGTTTAAATTGTATAGAAAACTGTACACAAAAAATATCTTCGCCGGCTCGAACTCGTACGTTATGGAATCGAAACTATCTTCCTTCTGAGCGCTACAGCTCGCTTCGAATCGGTTTTTATCCCGTTCATGAAATACGATCGCCCGCGCACAAAATTCAAGTCCGCCATTATGAATATTCTGATGATAAATATTTCAAACGTATGTCTGCTTTTACTGGGCGACTAGTTACCCCTACAATCTCCCCACAAATGAACGGCGAACGCCTTAAAATACCTAAAAATGTAAACAATCTCTGTATGGTAGTAATCCCCTCTTACCTGCAATTGTGCTCGACTCATCGGCGGGCCGGGTGAAGTATTTGTTGGTAAATTTGACGAACAATGGTTCGTCGTCTGCAGTCTGTTCGGCCACTGAAAATGCTGATTTGTGATCATGTTTCTCTCATCTGGTTGCGAGTTGGGCGCTCTTTGCCCAGCTTGAGGCGCGCTCGATTCCTGAGAGTAATAATTTGGATGATAAGCGCTTGTTGATTGGGAATTTAACCCTCTTTTATGTTGATTTTCACTCTGCGCAGACATGAACCTTTGTTGGGAGCCATATTGTTCGGTTGAGTTCGGCGCTCTAGGTGCGATGGGAACTTCGCGATAGTCTCGCAATAGCATTTCCTGTCTCGAGTTGAATTCATTGTACCGGGTTTGTGGTGATAAATTTGGTTGATTTGATGCCAGAAGTTTCATATTTGCGGGATTAGGGTTCGATTCACTAAGATTTCTAGACGGCACGGCCGGGCTTGCCGAGGTACTTCCTGGGTCGAGAATTGACGAAAGTTGATTGTTTAGATGAACGGAGGCGGGCATTCCCAAACCTAGCGGTCCGCTCTTGTTTGGTAGTCCCGAAGATGAATTCATGGACATTTGAAATCCATTAGCGTTCGCCGTTGGTTGGTTCGTTCCACTTGAGTTCGACGTCGCCATTTTGTTGGGCAAGGAATTTGCCTTATTATTGTTGTCAGTCGGATCTTCAGTACCCTGAATATAATCGTGTAACTCTTCCAAAATATCTTGATTTTGCGAGACTAGTGCACTAGCAGAACCATTCTCGCGGTATCTCGTTTCGGGGAAGAAATCTCCGCCCGTTGAGGGAAATTTAAAATGATGATTAGCGTGTTCCGTGTTCGATGTAGGCACCTTATTGGGATGTTGTAGGCGACTATCGCTTGTTCCACGGTTGCTTGCATGGACCCGGACAGTTTGCGCCATTCAACAGCGCCAAAACACTTTCTATGATACCATGCCGCCCTGGAGAAAAATTCTAAAGCCTCTGAGATTGTTTGTAAACTTCCACGTGTTGCTGGGGCTTGCCTGACGAAGTTTGACGTTGTAGAAAATTACCGCCTTTTCAGCTTGCCGACGGTCAATGCTTTTCACACACTAGCAGCCATCTATAGTCAGCACGTGTTTGAATGACAGGAGAGAGGACGTGACGTCATGAGGGCCCCTAACGATGCGCACGCAGCATACCGGCACATAAATGGCAGGCTTTTTGACGTGGTATTTCACAATGTGCTTTCCAATGATTTTACTTTATCGTGGTATTTATACCAGAAAAATCCTCTTACATGTTTAAAATTCGAAAACAAATCAATTTCCTTTGTTATCTTACGGAACAGTCGACAAAAAGTTAAAAATTTGAGGAAAAGCTACATTGCGGTCTTACTGCATGTAAACGGCCCCCCAAAAAAGGCCTACTCTAAAAGGGCCCTGTATATCGAAACAGGGGTTTGTATCAAATTTTTCATCTTGTTTGCTTTTTTTCGATAAGCGCATAATAAGCGTAACTCAAAACGCAAACGGCTAGTCTATGAGATTAGGTATTATATCGAATTTACTTTGTTAAATACAAGACTAACGATCAAGCGTTTTAATAAATGAAAAACACAGACAGACAACAATGATATTTCAGAACAAATTTAATCATTAAAATTATGCTGATGATGACGCGGTGTGCATATAATGACATTGTCGATTAAGTGTCTGAAACCATTTTTTGTTTGTTTGTGAGAAGTAAAATTCATTTAATCGTTTATCGAAGTGACATGTTGATTATTTGCACAAAATATTTTGTGAATCATTGTTTCGTATCCCTCTTGTTTTGGCTATTTTTGACCTGCATTCATAAAGAACACATGCATAAATTATCTTTGACGGGAAGCTTAAAATTTGATGAGTACAGACTTTACAGATATTTTCTAGCTTTCGGTTTCGAGGGCGTTGCGTTAACGTAATATTCAAACTTCGCACACAAATGCCGTCATATTCAGAAAACCGTGGCACTGAGGTAATCGGAGATGTGGAATTGAAAACAAAAGTATAGTTGTAAGTCACGTTTACGAAATTACTGTAACGCAGTAAACTTTCTCTTGCTGAACAGGTGCCGCTAACAAAGAAATTGCACATTCTCTATTTTGTTTCGTTGGGCTAAGTTAGGGAGAAATTAAACCTAAAAAAAAATAAAGTGAAAAAAGAAAAAACAGCAAAAAGGCTTGGAAACCTATCAAAAGAACAGCGCAAGTTTTGAAATGTTTTTGTTTAAGAATGTCATAAAGAAAAGTTTTGCAATGAAAATAAATACAAATGCGATAAACTTTGACTTTGCTCCAGCTAAGCTTTATGGAGTGATACGGACGAAGGTCCCGTATATAAATTCGCGTGACCGCTGATATTTAAAACATCCTTATTCTTCAATTTCACTTTAAAAGTCACACGATCGTGTTCTGATCGACGGTGGGTAAATCACGAGAGTGGTACACTGTTTCCTTCAAAGACTTCAGACTCTCAAAACCAAAACGTTAGTTACAGAAAACCTAAATGATTTGTTCTAAAAGGTAATGTACTTTTAAAAAAAAACTGCCCAGGAAGAGGTTTTAAAAATATAACGTTTATTTGAATTGAAGGTTAAATTTGCAAGGGTGAATGAAGAATTTTCTAGATGGGGTCTTACAGTAAAGTGTTGCTAGCATTTGGAGAGTTGCCAAGAATTTTCATGATTGTAAATTATTCTCTCTGGCTTAATTATGGGTGTGGTCACTTTCTCTCCAAAACCTCATCAGCTACACCCTTGATCAATCATTCTTTTTGCTTCAGAACTACAATAGCCAATCGTTTATTTGCCTGCATTAAAAATATACAAGGAACGGAAAAGTTACCAACTAAATAAGGCAATAAAAATTATTCAGAATAGTAAACACTGAACCAGCTTAGAAGCCTAGCAAAATAATAATTTCAGGGAAATTTTATAAGCTAGCATTGAAACATGAAACATCTTACAATCACAATTACAATGGCTCCTGTCAATATCTCCTCATCACACTGACTGTTACTTTTACTCAGAGAAAACAACCAAATGTCACAGGAAAGGGGGTCAGTTTTGAAAGAAACTGTGGTTGTGTGTCCGTGGGGGAGTATAACAAGGTAATTTTGGTTTCTTTGACTGAGTTGATGATGTCAATTGACCATTGTAAATAGTTTCAAGTTGACTTTTTGTCAGAACTTTGATGAAAGGCTAATGCTTGAAAGATCAGCTTTGAAACTGATCTCTATAATAGCCATTTTACATTATTATCTCAGTTGGTAAAAAACAAAATTATCTTGCTAATGTCACTGTAGCCTTGCTCAAGGTGACAGAGATATTTTCAAACAAGCCTCTGGTTTCAAATGGTCATAGTAATGCTTGGAGCTCTAGTGTCTTTAAAAAATCCAAGAATCGGCTTTGAGAAAAAGAAAAGAAGAAAAAACTTAAACCCAAATTATTACTTTACAAAATCTGATCAACATGGTTCGTGGTTCAATTCTTATTCAAACAGTATCAACACTAAAAAAATTAGGGAATCACATTTCACCTGTTCACAGACCTTCATTTTTCTCTTCAATCATTGTCCCATGCATGAGCAAAATAAGAGCAGAAGGTGAGAAAAAATCAATGTGATGGTAAGGGGTTCTTGCTCCTTTCCCTCACATGAAATACTCACAAAAAAAATTGGCTGTGGGTGGGTGATACTAGTAAGTCAGATTTGACTAACTTTCTGAAGGAAGGGAGGAGAATGCAATTGCATTCTTGGTAAGACTGGGTTAGAATTAATCCTAAACTCAAGCCTTAGTTTGAAAAGCTAATCTACTCAAGACTAGATCCTCTGCCTTGTTTAAGAAAAATCAATAATTTTCCATTAATCAGCCTATTTTGGGTTCTTTCTCTTAACTCTTTCACTCCCAGATCTCTTTAGTAATCCTCTTTACTCTTTGTAATACAATCCTTGTGATATAAGTTTGGACAATTTTAAATTAGATCAACTTAAAATCTCCAAATTAACATTTTTCTTTATTCCCAACTCTTGTCTTCTTGATACCATATTGATGCTGTAAGGAGAAATTCTGTCTTGGTCACTCATAAGGGTAAAAGGGTTAAGATACAAGCCCCAATTCCAAACACACACACTATTATTTCTACAACAGACACTAATTATATCTTAAGGAAAATCCTGCCATAAACACACATGTTCGAGAGAAGACTTGAAATCACGAATTTTAAGAACCACTAGAATAAAAAAAAAAACTTTGGTTTACATTTCAATCACGATTAGTTCAAAGGCGCGTAAGTGTTTTTCATTCAGTGGTTAAGTTCGTGAGTTATTCATCGATCTAGACACGTTAAAACTTGCAGTGGATGCCAAGAATGCGGCATTCTTCAGGCAGGTTTAGCAAGCAAGAACAGACAATCATGTAGTAGCTACTAACAGACAGACCAACAGACACTTCACTCTCTTGTTTCGCAAGTTAACAACAAATCACATGGAAAGTGAATGCGAAGCGGCTGACCGTGCGAGATAGTAAGGTTCAGTTGAAAGTGACACTCCAATTACCAGTCTCCTCTCGGTACACTTTGTTGTTTACCATTTTTGCGCGCGGCCACTGTGCTTAAAAATAAGTTTCGGGACAGAAGTTTTTTCGTGCAATTAGTTAGTTTAAGATTAAGGTGAGATTCCACCGTAAACATTTGTATTCCTGTTAACCTTATTTACCTGATTGCTTATTCTGTCGATGCTCGTCTAGGTTGATTGACATGGTTGATGATTAACCCTCAGGCGTCTGAACTTCCGCAGCATCACTAGTTTAGAGCGATTAGGGACAAAATCTATTTGAGTTCTCAAGATCAGACAGGCAAGGTAAGCTATATTGTCAAAGAATTTATAGGTAATATCAATGTTTTCTGAAAAAACGCTTTTCAAAACTGGATGTGACCACATGAAGAAAGCGGCTTGGTCGGTGACCTTTTGCCACCGGCGGGTGAGAAACAGAAATTGTTGCACTGGTTTTCCCTAAGTTTGAGTTCGAATTTGTTTAAAAATTAGGACATATTCTGAATTGATGTTCTTTACTAGGATGTGCCGGTTCTGTATGGCGCTGGGAAGGAAAATAAAATTTTTGAGAATTTTTTTAGAGATGCCATACGTTAGTTCCAGGTTAGGGCTTTTTCATTACACATTACACTAAAGATCTACAATGCCATTGAACAGACAATTGATATAAGATTTTGAGTCCAATTCTTTCCCTTCCTTTTTTTGATATAGTTGTGACATTGCTTCATTATCACTATCTGTCTTTTGATAACGACTTTGGAACTTCAACACTGCTGGATATTCAGGGGCGAATCCAGAGAATTAGAAAAAAAAGAGGGGGGATTTGGGGAGGAATAGGGTGATAAGGGTGGAACCTCACCCCACGTCCACAGCATATAAACAATCACTCCAGACACTTAAGGTTACAAGATTGAAACAAATCACATTGTTGCAATGGTAGCTTTGTTTACTAAAATTTCATCCTGTGGGATGAAGATGTTTTAGAGATCTATATCCTTAGTTTGATAATGGTAGATAAATGCTGTTGCCTTATGGATGTCGTGCTTTCTAATTTAGGACAAAAATTTTCTTCCCTTTTCAGTTTGGCAATGTTTTCTCTTCTGTGGGATGAAAAATTAAAGCCTGAAATCAATTCAATTTGATCAAATTTCTTCACCTTTCCTTAGGCATAGACCTGTGTCAGCATTTCTTAGTATCAGTGTTTTTTTCATATTATATATTGTTTCAAATATGTTATTCCTCTCTGTGAGAATACCTGTAAAGGATATATTTGGTCTAAGAGGCTGTTGTTGGGAGATTCTCATTATGTGTCAGAAATTGATTGCATTCAGAAAGTTCTAGGAATGTTTACCACAAGAACTTTTTGACAAAATGTGTAAAACCACCATGTGAAAGGGATTACTGATTTTTCACAAGCATTTCACATACAAATGTTATTTTTAATTGAAAAATGGAGTGTGAAAACAGTCATTTTTTTGGATCAACCTAACCTCGGAATCAGTACCTGCTCAGGTTCTACTAAAGTGCTTTTCATCTCAGACCTCAGACAAGATGGATTTTTCAAGCTGTGGGTGATGATTGTGGCCATGAACAATCATATAATAAGCCAAATTATCCATGCATTTTGATTAGTTCTTACTTACAATCTATTGGAAGATAGGCTCATTAAGATGACAGCATCATTAACAACATTTTGCCCTTTTTTATCATCACAAATATGTTTTTTTGATAAATGACAAAAAATGTTGTCATTGTTCTTATAAAAGTTTGAGCTCATCAGTGACCTTAATTATTACTGTCTGAACAGACCCACAGCAACATGGAATCTATTTGTTAACCCTTTAACTTCCAAGATCTGATTGTTAATTCTCCCCTCTAGCTGCTACACATTTCCTTGTAAATTAGCTATGAGAACTTGGTGCTAGATCAAGATAGCAGCTTCTACCTGCTTATAAGTTTTAATATTCTCATTACCTGATTGCTGAATAATGACAGATATTGTAAGGAGAAGTTTAATGTTAATAACTTAATAACTTCTGGGAGTTAAAGGGTTAACTAGATATATTAAAATTTTCTCTTTTTTCAAGGCGGTCTTGACACATTTTTACTGGTTAGGATTATGTTGGCCATACTATCAGGAGTTGTAGGATTATTGTTTTTGCTATGGATGTTCTATGACTTTTTATGGCCACCACCTGTATTTGTTGAGAGACAACTTGGTAAACCAGATCTGCCAATTGAGTACAATTTGGTACACACTGTAAGTTGTTAATTATTATCAAGAATTAATTATGCAGAATTGTTTTATTTTCTGGAAATAAATAAAGTCACTGGTACAAAGTCAGACTACCCCAACTTACCCTAGTCATGGGAAGAACTGCCATTTATGAGTAACATCATATATAATTAAGTGGGCCCCTCTGAGTGACCAGCATCTAACTTCTCCTGACGATTATACTGTTGAATCATTCATTAAGATCATGAGAATAAAGGACATGATCAGCAACTTAAGAAGCTTTGATTGCTAAACTAATTTCTCCTTGTCTGTACCAAAGGGAATGTATATAGAAGAGTGTGGAGTAAATGAATTCTAATATTAGAGTGTGAAGGGTTAACAAATCCAAGACTTTATCATTTAGGTTGTATGGAATTGCATAAGCCAGGAAACAACACTGAGCCATACACCTCTCAGATGTGATTGGATGAAAACATCTTTTGAACACAGCTTACTACTTTGATTCAGTTTTCAACTCTTTTGTTTTGCTTTCAGGCCAAAAATATTCCTAGGTTGGCTGGAAAACAATTGCTCTTCAGTAAATGGCTTGGGAGAACTGTACGTAAACAAAGCTAATTTTGATAGAAATGATTTTATCCATTAAATTAATATGATTATAAATAAGTTGCGATGATAAGTTATGTTATTAATTTTTCAGGGCCTGGGAAATGTTTTGAAAAGGATTGCATTTAGGTGTGTAATGACCAAGTGTGTAGTGTTGATTTTAACGTCTTGATAATAGGTTGGTCCTGTATTGTTAGATCTTACCATAAGTGCTGTGACGGCTCGTTGCTTGAGGTAGATACAGACAGAGTTAGACAGACAGAGAGATAGACAGACAAACAAAACATCAGACAGAAGGTCAAACAGACAGCCAAGCAGACACACAGACAGACAGGAAGAGATTAACTACACATGAACTCTCTAGAAAGAAGATTGCCCAGCAGGGCTGTCCCTAAGTTTTGAAGCAGCCATTACTTTGGAGTTATCACCCATAGCAGTGTAATACACGGTTAAGTGAAACCTAACAGCAATCAAAATCCTTTACTGTAACATTGAGTGAGCTCAGCCATAACAGGACTGATGGTATGCATTACAACCCTTACTGGCCTTTTTTAGTGAACAATTAACCTAACAGATATAGGGAAAGTAGAAAGTTTCTCTCCTTTGATTCCCTCTTCGTATGAAATTTTTATCCAAGAATTATGACCGTTCAGATTTTATTTTTAATAGCTAGAAATGATGCATACACACCAAGCTAAAACATAAGTAATGTGTGGGGAAGAATCAGAGAGTTTTCTGAAGTGATGAGTCCTGAACACAAAATTAAACTGACTTTACTGACAATGCTATTTTTTTAACTCTTGTAGAAAAGCAGGGTTGGACTTGCTTATAAGAATCAAAATACCTGATGCTCCAACATTATTTCCTTTGCCTGAGCCTCATCAACATAGAAAGAGCTATGAACCTGTTGACTTTGACAAATTGATTGAGGAAAGGTGTGAACCATAAATAATTTACTTTTATTAATTACCAGTACCAGTAATAGTACATGCAGATCAAAGTCTATGTTTGTACATTTTGAATCTCTTATATTTCAAAGTTATCAATTCTTGAACATTGTAAGGGAGGTGGTACCAGCCAGACAGATGCATGAAAGATATGTTTCTGGTTAAAATAAAAGGATTCAATGAAAGAATGTTTCCATGTCAAGGAATAAAATGAATTTATATAAAGGTTCTGCTTAGCCCAACTAGAGCTTCAATAGTTCCTTTTATGCACCCTAGGCCCCAGTTGTTTGAAGGTGGGATAAATCTCTACCCAGTGGATAACACTATATGTTTTGCTGTCACTTATCCACTGGATAGAAATATATTCATTGGATAGTGTTATCTGCCCTTTATACAACTGGGCCCAGGACAATAATCAGCTTCCTCTTTCCTCTTACCTCTCCTTATGACTTGGTATAAAGCTCTCAGGGAGTTCCTGCACACCCTCCCCCTCTCCTAAATAAGCTCCCATCCAAAAACTCTGGAATTTGTTGATAGCCTTAAGGGGAAAGGGGAGGGGGGGGGGGGCTTTTTCGAGTCTTAAAGTTGACAGGCTAAGCAATCACAATCTTTTTGATATTCATTTGGCTTAAGTACACCAAATATTTGATGAATAGATATGAAGTTTTTTTTGGCTGATTTTGTTTCTTTAAAATCATTAGCATTGAAAAACCAAAAGAATCTTCCTTCAAGTTTGTAACCATTCCAAACCTCATAAAGGAATACAGGTAAACTGAATATTATTTAAATTTGCATTCGCTTGGTTTAAATTTTGTAGCACCATTTTAGAACGACTACATAAGGTACAAACTCCCATTTACACTTGCAGTTAAACTTGTTTTCTTGCTACAGGTCACACACAGTCACTCCAATGCAGATAGCAGAAAGAGTGATAGAGATCATTAGTGACACAGAAAAACAGAACCCCAAATTAAGAGCCATTGTCCAGCATGACAAAGATGAAATTTTGAAGGTAGTATCTCATACCAAGTTATTTTGCAGTTCTGAACATATCAGTGTATTAGAAGCCTTTTTTCATTTGAATTTGATCAGATGGCAGCAGCATCTACCAAACGATATGCTGAGGGTAATCCATTGTCTTTTGTGGATGGGATTCCTGTGGCTGTGAAAGGGGAGTATCATGTGGTAAGTTTCTCACAAGACTGTCTATTTTCACAGTGCATCTCTCTAGTAAGGTTTTTTAGAAAGTTACTGGGGAACTTAGCAAAATACAATCAGCCATAGACTTGTCTCCTGAAAAGAGGGAGTATCAATACTCCTAATTGCTTCATGTTACAAAAACTGGTACACTCTTCAGCAATTTAAGTGAGTCGTGTTTGTAGATGTTACTGTAGCAATTCTTTTGCTTCAAAATAATTAGTTGCTTAACAAATTGGGTAAATAAAATACATTTTTTAATGAAAGGTGTACCATTTGTGCATGTAAAAAGAAAAATAGGTGTTAATTAATGTTTACATTTATGGAAAAATAACAGCAAATTGGAGCCAAACAGTGTATAGAGGGATAAGGTGATAAGATCCCTAGTGCCACACCTGATGTAATGTAGACAGTAAAATGACTGAAGCCTTAAAAAATTTCTCGTTTAATGAAACGTATCTACTGCATGACATTTTCTTTGTTTTAGGGGGTTGGAGCATGAACATTATGATATAATTACTACTTGGATATGAATATTGATTGTGATTTGTACTAAATGTTTCAAGGCGCCATACTATACTCGTTGTGGCACCACATTTATGGGGAAGACACCCTCAACAGAAGATGCTCACATAGTTAAGAAGCTGAGAGATGGAGGAGCAATCATTATTGGTATAGCTAACATGCATGAGTTGGGAATTGGGACTACAGGAAACAATCCAAACAGGTGACAATCTTGGACTCCATACCATAGTATGTGTAATCAAACAATTTATTATAATGAATCTCAAAACTATCTGTTTTATATTTCTTTTGGGTGGCCTTACAATGAGATATTAAAACATGATGTTCTTGTGACAACATATCACCTTTTTCTTGTACAAATGATAAATGGTGGATGACGAAAATTAAGTTTGAAATTATATGGGAATAAAAAAAAATGTATGGAAATATGAGTACCAGAAAATCTACTTTCACTCTTTCATTTCTGTATATACTATCACTAACCATTTATTATTTGTATTTGATAATAGTGTTATGTTTTCATTGAAATGTCATGCTGCAGTATCCTTTATTTTCATTCTAATAAAGAGGAATTTCTAGTTTATGATAATCAAGATTGTCCTGACTGACTCTGAGTCCAATCCCAATATCCTTATCTATTTGAACAGACTTCATGGAATTCCAAGAAATCCGTACAACGTCAATCATTACACTGGAGGGAGTTCAAGTGGGTCTGCTGTGGCAGTGGCTGCAGGTATACCAACGAGTGAAAATGTTTCTAATCCCGCTTATTGTTGTTTTTGATAAGCACTTTGTTGTCCATTCAGGCTTGTGCCCAATCGCTTTAGGAACAGACGGTGGAGGTTCTATTCGTATTCCAGCGGCAGCATGTGGAGTGGTTGGAATAAAAGGTTAGGTAGATATGTCTGATAAAAAACAGCGGTCGAAGCTGTGATCAATTTGATCGCTATGGCGTGTGGAAAAAATATTTATGAGACTGAAATTTCAGCAAAAGTTTCCAAATTGGTGATCAATGTTTGGCAGTCAAGTAACAAGATGTAAAGTTTTCCTTCTTTAATTTTTTTTATGAACTTAAGTTTAAGTGAAATAAACTTTTGTATAAGGTGTTAATAGTGCTCCTTTCCTGCAGTCATGCGATGTTTTGTTGCTTGTCATTCATCTGCCTTTGTTTCTCGCTTTTAGACGTAAAAAAAGCAAAAAATATATATATAATAATTGGTCTTTCTCATACTATTGGTTACACTGTACCCCACAAATGTCTAAGTTTTTTTTTACAAAAGATGTTAAGTTGCGTCAACGAATTTTGTCAATCCTCAATTAGCTCCAACACAAACTCAAGACCCTGGACGCAACGTGTCCAAAACATCAACCACGTCCACCATGAAGTGTGGTTAGAGAGCCTCCTCGTAGATCTGGTATTCCGAAAAACGTATTTATTATTTTAGCGTTTAATAATCATTATTTGCTTATTTTTCTAGCATCTTGTGGCCGCATAAGCACCAGTGGAGAAGTTCCCCTGGCACATACCGTTAGTTATGTTGGTAAGTTGTGGTATTCATTGTTAAATTTTGAAAACCAGCAATTACAAATGTAGGAATTAAATAAAACTGACAAATCTGAATTTTAACAGAAGTCGACACAGAGTTTCATTCGCACAAAAACTTTCCGAGGATCTTAAGCCCTAAAAGAAAAGTTGAACTTCTTTGGGCAACACAATAAACAATGGCGTGTCGAAGTATTCCGTAGAAGCTTATTCAGTGAGGGCAGACTACGCTTAGTGTTGCTGAAACATGTCCAGTGACGGTTAAATTCGTCTGAGGACGGTAATGTGTATTTAGTGGCGGTGCAGTAGGTCCAGTGACGGTTTAAGACGTGTTGTAACGGTGAAGTTAGCTTTTAATCAATGAAGGACTTTAAGTGACATGTTAATAGTTCAGGTAATTGTATAGTATGGTTGGTAATACTCAAGTGTTCTTAGTGACAGTTAAGTTCAATTCATCTTGTTATGTTAACGCACGTTTTTTTTACAGTTAAGTACTTCCAATGACGGATAACCTCTTTCAGCGGGGATAAAATATAGTCTATCCTTTCCTATTGTCTACTCGTGAAGTACACTTAGTGACGGATATGTTTGTCCAGTGATGCTGGAGCACGTACGGCTTCGAAAACGAACGCTTACTGGCGGTTAAATAGCCCCAGCCACCCCCCCCCTCTCTTTGCTTTGTGACAAACGAAAAACTTATGTTTTGATCCTCTTACAACTTATTTTAACAGGACCTCTTTGTGCCACTGTGAGCGATGCAGCCTTGGTGTATGGTAGGTGATCTAAAAGAATTAAATTTGTTAACTTTTGAATTCCCAATAGCCTTTATTTATGTTAATGTCACGCTGGTCAATTTTACTACCAAACCCCGCTTTCTGTCGAATTCCCAGAGCAGCAAAGATGAAAAGAATCCCCGTAAGTTGGACTGCATGAAGTTGGAGGGAGTGGGAATGATTTCATACTTTATGTTCGAGACTTGGTGATAAATTTTGTGCATCTTGCATAAGGCGTCTTCTTAAACTTTTAATATTTACACTGCTGACAATGATTATAAATTTTTTTTCTGCTTTTTGTTTGCGTTGAGTTTGTTCAAATAAACCTTTACGTTTGAATTATTTTCAGCATTTTTAGCTGGTAAAGACGAAGAGGACCCCAAAAGTAAGTTTACTTGTTTTCTGTCTGCAGTGGTTTTCGGGTTGGGCCAAAACTTATTAGAAAGCCGTCCCCGTTTTGTTTGGGTTCATGTATATTTGGAGGGGGAACTTGTTGATCGAGTGTTGAGTGAGTAGGATCCCATGATTGAACCGATTAGGTTCAAGTCCAGGCGAGGGTTGTTGCGTTGTGTTCTCGGGTAGGACTGGGGTCACTGTGCAGCACATAAGTGTCTATGCCCGAGGTAAGAATTTTCAGAGCACCTTGACAGAATTGCCAAGCGGTTGTCCTACGATGAATGTATATCACATACAGGGAGAGTAACGAAACTCTCAAGGATTTTGGGTTCAACTACGGCACTCAGGAGTCATTAGACTTATACAAAGACTTTAAACCGGGCTAGGTTGTGATATTTCAGTTACAGTCGAGCGTATTGGCTTATGGGCGTTCAACAAGGGAATTGCACCGCGTTCGCCCCCTATCGAGTTCGCCCCTTCGAGTTCGCCCCTACCTTATGCCGTGTTCGCCCCCACACTTTTCGAGTTCGACCCCATCAAGTCGAGTTCGCCCCTTGATTGAATGATATCCAGATGAATTGATTTGTGACGAAGGCACTAGCAGAATGTGCCAAATGTCACGTCAGCGACGACCATTTTGAATTTCGGCAATTGCGTGGAACCTGCTTGGGAACTGGGTTGACGGAATCAACTAAATACTATGCGTGGGATCTGGGAATACCAGAAATAACTGTATAAACTGAACTTGTGATAAAGAGAACCACACTTAATCAAAACAACATTGCTTAACTTATTATTCGGACTGGAAAAGATGCAAACCAACCTCGGTTTATCTAACGAACGCGAAATGTTCGGTAGATAAACTTGGTTCTAACTTGTTTGCAATGTTCGATAGCAACTAATTTAGACATGACTCAATCTGGGGGCGAACTCGACTTGGTGGGGGTCGAACTCGAAAAGTGTGGGGGTCGAACTCGAAAGGTGTGGGGGCGAACACGGTATAAGGTAGTGGCGAACTCGAAGGGGCGAACTCGATAGGGGGCGAAAGCGGCGGATACCCAACAAGGAACTGCCAAGAAAAGAAAGAAATCCAACCATGAGTGGAAAAGTGAAGGATCTGAACTCGAGACCACCAGATTTCCAAAGAAGTGCCTTTAATCACTCAATCACTCTAAAAAAGCTTGCTGTGTTTTAGGCTCTTGTGTATCACAGGATTTTGCTTTAGGTTTTTGCGAGAAGTGCATACATACAATTCTCGAGCCTCAAATGTCACATGGCTAACAGTGAGTGATCATTTACAGCCCTTGGTCAGCCGGATGTGACTCTGGAAGGATTTGAAAACATCTCAACCCTCGAGGGAATAACACTCGGTGTCGACTGGAAGTACTTTAGGGTATGTTGCTTTTAAGAAAGAGAGTCGTAACAACCACCTGTGGTTAGTTTGTAAGAACAACTAGCTAACCGGGGTGGAACCTTAATTTTTTCAGCACGCAGTCCACGCTGAAGTGACTTGTGGATTTGTTAACCTTGGTGAGGTCAGATCACGCGCGGCTAGCAAAATGCACATGTGCTTTTCATTTTGTACTACTATGAGACTTTCTAATTCCGCTTCTGTTCTTAGTCTTCAGGTGTTTGATTTGTTAATTGCGAGTCAAAACTACGTTGACAAATTTGAACTTTTTCTCAGAAAAAAAAAATACATATATAGGTCTTATCAAACTCAGAGGGTTAGATTGTACCTCGACTGTCTCTCTTAAGTGTGATAAGACTTTCTTTACATGAAAGGGTTTTTGTGAACAAAAAGCTTTCTGATGAAGGATCATGACGCTTAAAATGAATCACATGATCGTGGCTTTTCTCGTTTACATCACCAAGAGACATTTGTGGTGAATTTTTGGATCGATTCTTCTGCTGGTTCATGCAACTTGTTAATCTGGTAATATAAACTACCTTCCTATTTGTGAATGACGAATAAAATTGTATGGTCACTATTGTGAATAAAAATTACAAAAAATAGGTCTTTGATCTTGATATTCATTTCACTTCTTAGGACTGCGATGAAGATGTTTACAAAGAGTGTGAAAAAGGTAGTAAATGTATCTCTTCTTTGCTCAGTGTCTTATGGTTTTATATTAGAAGATTTTTTTGATAAAGCTGATAATTTGGGACACCTTTATTCTCAGGGACAGCTCCACTCTAGGGACCCCTTTGGTAATCCCTTGGAAAATGTGCCAAAACCTCTATTCAAGGGACACTTTCTTGTGTCAACGATGTCCCCTTAGAAGAGGACACCTCCCTTAAAAGGAACCCAGACTGCAACTCGTAGGAAATATGTCCCCATAACCGCTGGATCTGTTGCCCTCGCTGAAGAGACACCTCTCTTCACGGGACGCTTTCTTGTGCTAAGGATGTGCCCTTGGGAGAGATTCAACCGAACGGGGACTTAACAGCCGGTTTTGGTTGTCGTAGTTCCAATAGATCTTTTTTGACTAATGCTACTTTCTCTTCTGGTTAACAGTTGTGAAGTATCTGGAGGATAAAGGGGCGTCTGTGGTGGCCATTCAGATTCCTGAGTTGATGGTACTGGCCTCAGATTACATTCTGAATTTGTAAAATAGACTTTAATGTAACTACTAGCATCTAAATTCTCACTACAATAAAACCTCTCAATCACACACTAAGGTCATGAGAATAAAGGAAATGATCACCAACTAAAGAAGCTCTTGACAGTCAAACAAATTCTTCATGTGTGCACCCAAGGAAAAGTATAGAGAACAGTATGAAGAACATGCATACTGATAAGCGGAGTGAAAGTAGTCCATAATCCTCTCGTTGTAAGCTAAACGCCCTAGAAGGAGTATTGAATTTTTTCGGACATGGTATCCACCGTTTCGTTTTTCCTTTTTTTGTAATTTGATAGCGGTTTGGGATTTCTTGTTTTTGATATTTGCTTGCCCAGTTGATAGGCCTTGTTTATCAGTCATTTCACGTAAGTTTGAATTATTGTTGTAAGCCTTTTACATTCCAGTTTTCGCCTGTGGTAGTAATATTGGCCCGTGTTCTGGCCACTGATACGCCACAGTGCACCCACGTACGACTAAGCCTATGTTTTTACTTGACCAAATCTAAGCATTTTTGTATTAATTACAAAGAAATGTCCCCCTAACTTACTCAGTTTTTTTTAATTGTCACATGTTTCTGCCTTTCAAAGTTATACTTTATCAGCCAGGTATGAAAACGTAGTTATAACATGTATGATATAGTTTGAAAATTTTGTGTCCATCTCCTCCTTTAGGAGACGTTAAGCGCTCACGGAATCAGCATCATTTCAGAAATGGCGGCTGGTTTGGAGGAAGAGTTCGACAAATATTATAATGAACTGGTAATTATTGGGATTCATAAAAGTTAATAGAACTGTTGAAGTCTTGAACAGAAAGAAACGGTTTCTTTCTCAGCACGACTGTTGTTGTTTTTTAAAGAGAGGTTGGGGCAAGAGGGGGGTCGTGAGAAGTGTTTTTCGGAATCCCCAAACACCCGAATAGGTGAGAATTCTTCCCGGCGTAGCTTAAACCTATGTTTTCAACTTTCAACGAATCTTTGATGATTCACAGAACCCGGAGACTGCATCTAATTTGGGTATGGCGCGACTTGTTACTGCTCGGCACTACTTTCAGGTGCGTTTTATTTAACATTTTTTCCAGTTTGTCTATCTGTACGTTCATCTGTGTACCTCCTGTGTATCTCTCTGTTGCTATTTTGTTTGTTTGTTTTCTCTTTTCCGCTGATGCTTTCTGCTAGTCCGTCTGTCTGACACTTATCTATCCGTTCGTGCGTCTGAAAGTCCATCTTCTTGTCACATTTCACTCTATTTGCTTGTTTGTCTTTCCATTTTGCTGTTCGACTGTCTTTTCCATTCACTGTCACTCTTCAGTTTGAGTCTCTGTCTGTCTGTCTGCCTCTTTATCTGTCTTTATCCGCTATAAGCGTTTACTTATTATGTTCCGGTTACCTATTTCATACCTTAAAACTCAACTATTCTAATTTTAACAGGCCCTGAAGCAGCGAACAAGGTCCATGGCTTTCTTGAAAAAGATTTTTGATGAGGATGGTGTTGACTGTATTTTAACCCCAGGTGAGGTTCAAATCAAGAAGATCCAGGCAACTGGATTAGATGTGTGGACTACTCCCTGTTCTTGCCTTGTGGATGCCACAGGCTAACCACGCCATATCCCAGGCCACCCGACAGAAAACCAATTAATTATTTTGGAACATCTTAATGTGCTACTTTTCAAACCCTCCACGCACCCTACCGAAATGAATTTAGGAGTGTTACATATTGTCTTAATTCATTTCCAAATTCGACCAACGAATTAGAGGTAAAAGTAGCTTCAAAATATTTCTGCCAATTCGTAATCACATCACATCACATCACATTCGTAAAAACATCAGGTTGGCAATAGTAGTTAAGACCGACAGTTTGAACTTGACATTTTCTGACACCGTAGTCGAGTGAATATTGCTGATCGATGAACAAGTAGAAATTGGATTTTTCTCTTCCGGACATTTGGTTGGATGGATTTGCAACTGATGTTCCCAGTAATAGCAATAATAAAGATAATAATAATAATAATAGTAATAATAATAATAATTATTATTATTATTACTATTTTGCTATCTTTTTTGTTCTAATTTAAGACAAACTCCTATGTTGCAGGACTTGGAATGAAAGTACCCAGAATCCCTGACGATGCTTTAGAATATGGTGAAGGAAACCTCATGACAACTACGCAAATAATGAGGTGAGGTGTATTAGCGGGAAAGCATGTGACAAGTCACGTGAACTTGGGGGTGGGGAGGGCTGAGTGACATCGCATTGGACCGCTGTGTATGAGACTAAATTGCAGGAGCCAATGCTAACGTAAAGTAAATATGGATTAATTACATAAAGCGTAGGAAAATGCGTGTGACTAAGGCACGATTGGTGGAGCCAATATAACTGATGGGTCGAGAGAGCAACGCGGGTTTTTTTTCAACCAATCACAGGTTGTAGTTAGTTTAGGCCGGTCAACCAAAGATTATGTGAAACGCTAAATTCACAATCATTCTACCAATACGTCTACTAAAATGTAAATGTCAAAAATTAAAATTTTCCTGCAGAAGGTTCTCAAGTTAACCCTTTAACTCCTATGAGTGACCAAGACAGAATTTCTCCTTACAATATCAATACAATATCAAGAAGGCAGGTGATGAGAATAGAGAGGAATATCAATTTAGGGATTATTAGTTGATCCAATACTAAGTTCTCTGAACTAATATTATAAGAATTGTATGATTGACAGTAAGGAGAATATTAAATTTGATCTGGGAGTGAAGGGTTAAAGACAAAATCATTCGCCATTCAGTATCAACATGGGAAGTTGGCTTATTGGCATGGAACTCGTAAGTTTAGGTCGCGTAATGTCCCATTTCAAGATTCAAGTTTAGCTTGAAGAATTTTTGTTTGTTTGTCTGTTTGTTTCAGGTATATGGGAATCGGAAATTTTACCGGTGTTCCAGGGATGACCCTTCCAGTTGGTTACGATGATCAAGGCCTTCCGATCGCCTTGCAGATTATGAGTTCCTGGTGGAATGAACATACCATGTTGCGTGTGGCGCACGCTGCAGAGGGCTTTGTAACCAAAAAGAAACCACAGGTGTATTACAGCCTGCTGGAATAATGGACTCGAACAACGACTTTTTTTAACTTTTCTCCTGAAGCGCTAAGCGTTATGTGATGCTTTTGTCACGAGAAATTACGCAAACTTGTTGTGTTTCTGTCCATCTTGAACCTGGGGATGTAGCTAATCAGAAATATTTTGTGATTTGTTTAGGGAACATAATTTTATTTACAGAATTGAATCATTTTTTTTTTGTTGCGGTATGGCTTAATTTTTGAAAGGTATGACAATTTACAGACCTCATGGGATGAGATGGTGGTTTGTCTGAGTAACAGATGACCTTTCGGGCGCCTAATGAAAATAAAGGTGAATAAACTACGAAATTCTCAATTTCGTCGTTCACATTCCTCTCACAGATTCGACACTCGAAACGTCCACCAAACAGCCAATTTATGAATATTTGCTGGGACGCGTTGAAACCTGGGTGTGACTAGTCACAGCAAGTGCAAGTGACAAGTAATATGATTACTCCTGGGGAACGAGATTGCTTTTTCCATGCAGTAATGCGTTCCTTCCCTGACGAGAAGGCTTCTTGTATCAGAAAATCTCGGTTTCAGTCAATCACTGAAACTTAAACTAGGATTACTTGCCAAGTCAGACGGCTCGCCTACCTCACCCTTGTCGGTTTTTCTTCCAATCCGCAGCTTCCAATCCCCTGGTTTTATTATACGCAACACAGTCATGTCTTGTGTTTTAGTATACATCCGACAGCGCCAATGGGGAAAATGTGGTGAATCCCGTGTTCTGATTGGCTACCCGAGCGTGTAAGACGGGCCCATCTTGTCCGCTCGAGATCGCTCGCCTTGATCCCGCGCAGGAAAACGATCGCGTTGAATGGACTTACAAGGTTGGCAATTTTTTCACAATGTCGGCGATGGAGTAGGAAGAAAGCGAAGAACAAAGAAAACATTAAACGACTCTTATGGGTTTATTGTGTTTGAAACAAACGAGTCATTCTTTATTCTTATTATGTCGAAGTCTTTTTGCTTTATAATAAATCCTTTAGTTACCAAGCTTTTTCGGTCAAGATGGCTGGACATTACCCTGATTTTTTTCTTTTTTTTTTGCGTTGCCAATGTCCAGCCATCTTGATCTCATGCATGTGTACTGCGTCTTTGGATCAATGTTGCCGTCTGAGCAACTGCGCATCTCTCCTTCCCTTCCCTGACCTAACAATAGTCAACTAATAACAATGTAAGGTTAATGTTTGGTTAAGAGAGGGAGGGATAGGTGGGCAATGCTCAACCACTGACACTGATCCGCGTTTTTTTTCTTATTTTCGGGGTCGCTTAAGTTCACAATTTTTTCAGTAATGGACTGACACTTTTTTCGGTGAAATTTGGTTAGAATTTTTTCCTGACTCGAAAAGAACCAGCAGTGTACTCAGGTTGTTACAATTTTATATTGTATTTCAAATCTAGAATGTGTTCAGTGACAAATCACAGTGACCTACCGTGAATAGCCACTCGCTCGCTACAAAATGCTCGGGCATAGTTGTCAGTAGCTGCGTGATTAAGCTTTAATAGAGATTTAGACCCTATACGTTTTGAGAGCAACTCGACGATGTCAAGCAAAACGGAGGGAAAAATAATATTTTAAAATTTGCAATGATTTTGCATAATTACCATTTGCGGTTAGCGCACCGCGCATTTCACTTTTGAGTGCGGTTCCTCTGTCGGTTGAATTTTCCCCTTTGCGATCAGATCATTATTTTCGGTTTCCTTCAAATTAAAGCAATCTCCTCGAAATCAAAGGAAACTCCGGGAAACAATGGCCATCAAAGAGCCTCTGACAGGCACACCCATCTTTTTCGCGCCCAGCGTTAACAGGATAAGTGGGTAAGCGTAAAGTACACGTGCAAACAACAATCAACGATAAATTTTTAATATATCGCGCTTCGAGTTACAGGTATGATACAAATAACGAACTGTGTTAGTGTCATATAGATAGGAAAGGCAACGCGAACAAGGCTAATAACTACATTTTGCTTTTCAGTTCTATCATATTCAGATAGCTCTCTTACTGCTTAGAACTTCCAGTTATGTGCCGAAAAATCGTAACAGCCGCCGTATTAATACTCTACTCGGTCACAGTGGGAAAAAAGTGACAATAAACTTTACTTTAAAAATTTCAATCAGCTTGTTGCCTTTACTAGGCAAGAAATTTCCAACGACACCTCCTTGTATATTATGCAATTCTTCTACAGAGTTTAGTAGAAATAAACTATTTCCGGCTGGTTATGTATATATAGCGTCTACACATGATTATTAGACAAATAAACCTTCTTAACAGAGCATTTTTGTAAATATTTTTAAAAGATACAAAATGCGACTTGTTCGCGAAAAAAACTTAATATTTCCTATAGTTTGGGCCTGTTTAGTGTGGCCAGAAAAAATCTTCCGAGTCTTCACGATTAACCGCCCTGCCCGTGTTCCACTTTAGCCGTGTCCTTCTTCGTTATTTCACCCGGAAATTGGAATGCATTTCTTGTTTAATCGTTATGCGGTGAAGTTCCCACCAGGAATAACCTTTTCGTTCACATTCTATCCACGATCTCAGCGCTTAGTCCTAGATCGGGCAGTATATGAAGTTTGTCGAGTTCAAGCGCATAGCAGAGCCACGTAATCATTTCTTCGTCGACAGCATCCATCTCTCGGCGACACGCGGACGTCAAAGTTGCTTCGTAATGCCGCCACTTGGGCTCAGTGTGTTTCCTCGCTCGCGGAAGGTAATGCAAAGTCGCTCGCTGGCTTGTAGGAGTGAAAGTTTTACGGACTGAGGAGTTGAAGTGTGAGAACTGCGGTTGTGGAACAAATACGTCTCCCATTGCTCTTGTGCTGTGGGAATCCATTTTTGCTTCTCAGGCGTGTCTAATTTTTTTTTTTCTACAAGCTCGCTGTGACTGAACTACCTGTTGATTTTGGTGTTGGTCAATGAATTTTCCACCAGAATGAGTCCAAAATTAGAGATAGAGAAGCAGCAAGACGCTGGTGAATCTTTGGAAAGCAAAGGCTCCGACAGAAACGCTTTTAAAATTCATAGCCGGCTTTGTGACGGGTAATGATCTATTGTATTTACTGTTTGGACAAAGCCAAGGGAAGGGAAACATGTTTAGCCTTTTGTCAAACCTTGTTCCCTCTGTATGCAAATCAACAAATATTCTCAGGTGCTATCTGAACAGAACAAATAAACACCAGACAAAATAAAAGCAAACATTGCTCTGAAACACCTGAGTTTCGTGTCTTTGGTTGCATGAATTCTACTGAAATATGCCTGCAGAAAATATGACTAAAACCATCAAGCACCGTAAGAAGTGCCTCTGTTATCCTTATTTCAAAAGTAGAACTCGAGAGTATAAGATCACCATAAGATTAACGTAGAAATTTAGATTTCTCGGTGAATTCACTCCTTGCCCGGATACTTCCCACATAAAAATACTGAACAACAAAAGCGACTGCGCAAAAACTACATTTTTATTCGTAAAAAACGATTAAAAAAAAACACTTTTCCTCCCTTTCGACAAAAAAATATTGTATTAAGGTTAAAATTTTAAGAAAAGAAACTGCAGAACTGGTAAAAGATGATTTTTTGCGCCCTGTTGAGAAATACGTTATGAGTATTAAGCACTAGAAACGGCAGACCAGATTGAGCTTTCGTACAATTTTCTTCAGTCTACCTTGATGCCTTAGTTTTCCTTTTCATCTATCATTTTTCTTTTTCCATTTTATCTAGAGATAAAAGAAGAGAGGGTAAATTTATTAGAAGTTATTAGAAGAACCACTTTCCTTGCGCTCGAATGATTTCATTTTTTCTTTTTTTTTTTTTGGAAAAAAAATTATACTTTTGCACGACTGTTTCCTCTGGACCTTCTGAATTCAGGAGCAGGATAATGTCGTATCGTTACATCAGGCCCGTGATCTCAGATCGAAGAAATAAAAATTCTTTAGTTAAACATTAACTTTGATACAGCTGTAACTTACAATTGTTAGACATCTATAAGATCTCAACTTTCACACACCCAACAGAACTGAACGAGCGGTGAACTAAATGTTGTCGGTAAAGCACACCACAAAATTTTACCTGCGCAATTCATTAATCTCAGATGAGTGATTTGTTGTATTTTAGTCCCTAAACTCGCTCGTGGATGTGTTTCTCGAACTCAGGGCCTCTACAGCTAGAGAAACTACAATTACAGATGTCAATAAACAAAAACATATTGCCCTTTGTCTTCGGTAGTGAGGTTAAGTGCATCTGTGTCATGGCCTATTTCTTTCTCTTTAAAATATTACTCTAGTGCTTATAACGCGCAAAACTTTATCGTTTTACAGACGTATGATATTCAGTACAAATCTGTTCACAGCGATATGTATGTAACCGGCAAAATACAAACGAAATGCCGAAAATGAGAACAGAAGCAGCGATAATTTCAGTAATTGTTTTTTTTTATCTTTTTTTTGTTTGCATTTTTTTAAATCTTGTTTTTTTTTGTTTTCTAATGAGTTGCTGGAGCAAATATCTTGAAAACAAGGCTTGGAACTAAAAGTATATTTTGCTAGTGAAGTTCATTTCCTTTTCGCAGAAGAAATTTACGATTCTAACATGAATATTTCCATTCATTAACAGAATAAGCCTTTTAATCTTTATGTTCACAAAGATTAATTATATAACTTTGATAGGAACATTTTTACATCGGGATCAAGAGCCTTAATAACTGAACTGCAAAAAGAAGAAATGTTTGTGAATTATGTAAAATTGCTCCGCTTGGGACTTGTATCAGTCAAACAATGATTGCACAAGATAATTTTTTCATTGCGTCCTATACAGGAAAAAAAATCGCCAAACACCCGTCCAGCCGCAATGTTTTCAACAAAGCAAATTTGCGAGAGTGATGAACGGAACATCACTCGACAACAAACAAACACGTTTTTCCTATTCACTTTAGCGATTCAAAGTTTGGCAAAACATTCTTCAGCAAAGGAAACATCTGCTAGATTGTTGGCGGCGTAACTCGCGTCATTGCTCCAGTCTACGGAGTTGAATTGAAAACACGTGCAGTTCTTGTGGGACACGCGCCATCGATGGCCATTGCCAGTTCATTGGTGAAACAATAGAGGTGTCAAGCGTGGTACTGGCACGTGCCTATTTGGAGTAAACCATTCAAAGTACAATACAGCAATTACATGGCTTATACCAGTTTTGAATGGATTGTTTTAACCCTTCAGGCTTGGGGAACATAAGTATCGAATTTTATGAGCAATATTTGAGCAGCCAGTCTATTGTGCTGTTTAAAATGAGTTCATTTTGAGTAGAAAAAACAAACAATCGTGATTTACGACTGAGGAGAAAATTGCTCGACAAACGCGTTTAGTTCGCCTGTCCATTTACAAGTTTCCTGTTTATTTGAAAGAAAAAAGTTGGATTTCTTCCAAACACGCCTGGAGAGAGGGGAATTGAAACACGTAAAAGGCGTGAACGTCATGTTTCCAAGCACGTGTTTTTTCCCGAAACAAAGAGACTCTCTTCACCTGCTCCTCTATTTATGGACGACCGGAAGAGGAGAAAGAATTTTACATCAAGCGCTAAGCATCGCTATAATCACCACAATAGTGTGGAGTTGTTTCCAAATAATCACTGCAATCGCATGGAACTAAATTTATCCCAGAAAACAATCTTAGGTTTTATTTCACTTTTGAAAAACAAGAGCGCCTGATCGGAAAGCGAAAGTCCACAGATTCAACAGCAGAAAAACATTACTGAATATTCAAAAAATCATCTCACTCCTGATTGGCCAATCACAATGCATGAACAGATTAATGAGGTTAAATGGGAATTCCGTGTTGGACTCTTGCCGAAGTAATGCTTTTGAGGATATACAAAAGCATACAGGACGCTTTTCGATCGAGTGTCTCGAAACCAAAAACAATCAGAAGTTTTCTGCCCAATAATAACCTGGGTTACTTTCGACACTTTATTAAAAATTACTCTACCATGTCACAATTACAGTAAAAGATGATCAGTTGAAGGAGTACATATTTCGACTCAGGTGTAGAAAGGAAAAACAACGTAACAGTAGAAAATGATTTCTCGAGAATTCAATAAACTAAGAATCAAGTTCTCCTTGTCAAAACCAAAGGAAAAGTATTAAGAGCAGTGTGGAGAGAATAAATTCTGATCTTAGTAGGTATAGGGTTAATCACTAAAAATTGGACAAAAACCCAAAGAAAACTAACCATTTTGGATGGGTGGGTGGGGGGGGGGGTAAGTTTCAAACTGTGGTGCTACGTCGGTGGAAGGTATTACAAGATAATTTGGTTCTAATTTATCAACTGAGTTTATAACGTTAATTGGCCACCGTGAAATGTTTCTAAAGCTAATGTTTCGAGCGTAAGCCCTTCGTCGGAGTGAACATTATCAACTCAGTTGACAAAACCAAATTATCATTTTAGAAGATTCCTTGTTGTCTAGTATCATCACACAATGCAAACCACAGCTGTGAAGTGAACCTGACATTCTATTCTTTGGTAGACATACCATGTTCTTCAGTATTAATACAAGATACCTAGCTTCTATTTCAAATTCAAAACTTTGTGCAAAACTTTAGTGATTGTTTAGAGTTTCTCCACAACAGACCAACAATCAAAGAAATAAAAATATTAAAGACATAAAAACTTCTTATGAGTGTCTTGTACCAAACAAAGGGTTGCTGCACAAATCAAGAAGCTTTATAATCTAGCCCCTACACTCCCAAGGTCAGATTTAAAATTTTTCTTCCAGCTGCCATCCAGTTACTTGTGTACTAGTCGAGACAATTTTCATGTTAAATCAAGCTGAAGCTTTCTATCCCTCACACCTGTTTGCCATAAAATATCTTGATATAGAATAGGAGTTGTTTGTTACTCATTACTGGAAGTCAGAGTTGGATGTTGAAGGCTAAAGCCGATGATGTAAAATCCTTTCAGTTTTTTTTTAACAAATGTGACGTTTATTAATTTGAAGCTCATTTTTTGCTGGAGGTTGCAACATTGGTAACCTCCTTTAGTTTAGATGAAGTTTCTCAGAGGCAATTTAATCAACAATTTCAAAGAAAACTGAACAGTAAGATTTGCAGCAAGATGCTGACGTTCATAAATGTGAGCACACCAATCAGAAGAGAGGAGTTCACAGTTGTTTTTAGAGGAAATTTTGGTGATTTTTTAAGGTGTAGCATGCACATGCAACTGCATACTGAAGAAGTTATTTAATTCATTTATCAGTCATTTTCAATTATTTTTCAGAGTCAACAATTAGATAGGGGGCTTTTCTCCTCATTTCTACTTCTCTGAAAGATTAATTAAGTTTTCTCGCTGTTTTCCAACAAAAGTTCTTGCAAAGGTCCCTCAAGATTCAACTGGATGTGTTTCCAGTTAATACACTCATTTCTTTCCTCTAACTTATGTGGAATTTTCCCACTGGAATGTAAAGAGTGAAGCAACCTCAATGATCTTTACATTTGATCAAGTCAGCATTTGAGCAACTCTGAACACTTAACATGTTCAAAACCTGGATGACATGTTGCCCCTCAGTTGCAGACTTTCAGGTCAGAGGAGCCCTCATAGTTTCTGCAAAACAAAAAAAAATCATTCGTGTGGTGCACAAAAAAAAACAAGTAATTACACAATTACTAACAACATGAAGCATTAAATTAAACAAACAAATAAATTACAGAATAAGGAGAATTTACATTGTAGTTTAAATGCTTTTTTGAGCCAGTACTTCAATCAGGGAAAGTAATGTCATTACAACAAATAAAGACAATTTTAACAAAAGAGAAACCTCATGACAGACAGCAGAGCTTTGCAGCAAATAAGGAATTAAGACAAAAAAAACTTTGAAAACAAATACAGAAACAAAGTTAAGATAGAGAGATGTCCTCAAGAAAAAAAGCAAAAATCATAGCATAAGCAACCTTCAGAAAAGAGATACGATATTGAATTTGCAAACTTAGCATGGGAAAAAACAGCTTCTGTACCCCCTCTCTTCTCTAAGCATTTTCTTCAGTACTAACAATCAAAGCAACTCAAGTGGGCAATCATTTCTCTAATTCTCATGATCTTAAGAGAATGATTCAGTGTTCCTGTAAGGTGATATTAGAGGCTGGTCACTCTAACAGCCAGTTATTAAAACAAAGTTTAACCCTTGTTCATCCAAACTGTGCTCTAAACAATCTTAAACTAAGCAGAAAATATCACCTAAACATCAAGGTTTTGCAAAACTGTTAACTGGGCTTCTATTTGATCTAAAACAAAGATCTAATAACTTCAAAAACTTCACCTATAGGGAACTGTCAAAGTCCATTGATTGCCAAAAACCTGGGCCTAAATTAAACCTTCTTTCACTAACCAACTTTTGGGATTTAACCTTTAACTCCCAAGATCTGATTGTTAATTCTCCCCTCTAGTTGCTATACATTTCCTTGTAAATAAGTTAGAAGAATTTGTTGTTAATCAAAACAGCAAATTTAACCTGATAAGTTTGAGTTTTCTCACTACCTGATTGCAGGATAGTGTAAAGATATTATAGGAAAAAGTTCATCACTTCTAGGAGTTAACCTTTTAAATCCCAAGATCTCATTAGTAATTCTCCTTACTGTCTGCCATATAGTTTTTGTGATGTTAATTTGGAGAATTTGGTGTTGGATCAACTAATAACCACCTTTTACATATTTTTCTTTTTTCTCATCACTTTTTAGTCTGTAGAGCAGGCATAATTTTGGCTAAGTAATTTCATAATGAATATTATGGCCACCATCTTTGATTTTAATGGCAGCGGAAGGCTGGGGAGAGTAAAAATTTATACCAAGGGGGCAGTCAACGGTCAAAACATTCATATGACTAAGCATCTCATTTTCCTGTACCAACAAGGCAGATGAGGTATTCACTGCATTTTCAAAGGCGAGAGACTTTTTTGATCGTATGAGAGGAGGAACTTCCCTCAATGGAGTCTTGCCAATCAGGGAACGAACACATACAGATTTTGATTTCCTCCACGGTGGACTAGCTTTATCTGGCGTGTCAAGGTTTCTTTTGCTAGTTTTCACTGGCGTAGACGTTGTTGTAGTTGCGTTCTTGACAAAGTGGTACAATTGGCCTTAATTTCAAATCTTATGGCCACATGGGTGGCAAACATGATCTGAAAATCTCAAGCTATCTTGCACCAAGGAAAATCCAACTTGACGAACAATTTCGCTCAAAACAACTCCAAAGCACTCCTTCTGTTTTGAAGGTTTGAAAATATTTTCTGATGAAGAGTGGCTCTGCTTGGGGAGATTTCCGAACTGAATTTTGAAGGAAACTCCACAAAGCCTACAGTTGTCATTCGCACTCTTACTGGACATTACGCACTATATGTAGCTGGATATGACAGCTCGGCTCCACATGTGTTGGTTTTTGCTGGAAGTCATTGTCAACAACTTTTAAATAAACTCATTTTTATTGGTTACCTTCTTATTTCCGGAAATGCAGTGAAGCGCAACTAATCAGGGGGCATAGGGCATTTTAACAGCCTCTTCAGGCAGGCGTCTTTTCTCCCCTCCCCCACCCCCTACCCCCACCATCCACTCTAACTGCAAATCAAAAATGGCTGGTTGAACAAATGATCACAAGCTTTTAGCGTTAGCTCGCACTAACAAGACACCTGCACTGCAGGCTAATCACTTGTCTGCTTAATATTGTATTGATATTGTAAGGAGGAATTATGCCATGGTCACTCATGGGTGTTAAAGGGTTAAAGGGGTTTAAAGAGTTAAAGCATGGCCAGTATTTCTTTACCTGTTTTCCTGACTTCTGAGGCACCCTGCAGTCTAGCAGCAGAGTAAAATATGATAGGAAGGAAGCAAAAAAACACTGTAAGAGCCACCACAGAGACCAGATCATGGACAATTTTGACACAGTGAAAACTGTTGCTCCAGTGCTGTCGTGTATAATTCATCTGAAATAAAATGGCAGATTTACTTAACAATAAAAAAAAAAAAATGATAAGAAGGGTTAGCAAAATCTCTCAGGTAAATTTCAGCACTCTCATTAAGTAGCTGCTAAAGGCTAACATACAGTCAATCTGGCAAAATCATACCAGCCCACCTAGTATCTCTTACTCAACAGCCAACAACATTTGCGAGGAAGTAACACTTACAGAAGCAGACACATCAGCACAAACTTTGAGATCATCAGAATTTGCTATACTCTTGTAGAATTCCTCCAGGGCAGAATATGGCTTTCTACAGTTATCACACACACTGTATACTCCTGATATGTTTTGATGTGACCCATTTACTGGCACAGGAATTGTGTGGTTCTAGAAATCAAAATTGACTTGTACACATTATCATTTAAGGGTGATTGGGCAATTCTATTTCTCGTGAATTGCCATTTAATTTTTTTTCATTTGTGAATCATGATAAAAGATTATAAGATCCTTTCATGTCCATGTAAATGAATTTCTTAATTTTAAAGTGACCTGTGAAATAGGAGTTGAATTAAAAATGATTTGTAAACCATTTTGATTTATGTGATGAATTTCAAGCTATTTAACTGTTTTGAAAATGAACACATTGTTCTCCAACAGCCATAGTTAAGTTTAGACCAGGATTTTGGCAAGAGATGGACTTCATATGGATCGATAAAAGTCATATAACAGACTAATAATCTTTTGTAGCGTGAGGATGGCTAGAAAAAGTAAAATATCAATTGTCTTGAATTTTGCGCGAACATGAGAGAGTTTTGGATATTATTCGTAATGCCCAAAAAGGCCCAACATTTTTACATGACTGACTTTTACAAAAGGTATGGGTGACCCTTGATAAGTATTCACAAAAAAGCAACCGTGTTTTTAAAGAGAAACACTATAAAAATGTCTTAATAGGGTCAAATTTACTTGATTTCCCCTCTTTGAAGATTGTACAAATATCTAATAGTATACTCTTTTTATCTGAGAGATGAAGAAAACTTTTCCAGAAACTGCAAGATTAAGTATGTTTCCAGGAGAGTAGGTATATGAACACAAATGAGTGGAAGATTACCCTGGAATTGTTGAAGAAACAGCCCTCTACAGCTTCCCACTTTTCAAAAAATTCAGTAATCTTTGGTTTTAAATGCTCAGGTGTACCATCAACATCATTGTGAAAGCAATCTACAATAATAATAGAGAAACTAATTTGTGAAAAGTAAGAAAAATAAGGGAACCGTGTATCTTATCTGATTTTGCATCCACACTGGCCCCCTTAACCCTCATATCAAATTTGTAATTCTCCTTACTGTCAACTATACAATTCTTGTAATTTTAGTTCAGAGAATTTAGTATTGGATCAACTAATTATTCCAAAATTGATATTTTTCTTTATTCTCATCACTTATCTGGTTGACATTGTATTGATATTGTAAGGAAAAATTCTGTCTTGGTCACTCGTGAGAGTTAAATGGTTAAGGTGGTACAGGAAGCTAACTTCACAATTTCACCCAACTTTTATTTTCTGGTAATTACATAATTACCCAATGAGACTGGTCTGTACTAAATTTTAAGTCTCAGAAGTGATTCATTTACAAGATATAGGTGAAGGAAATTTTGTTTCTAAGATCTGTTTACCGCAAAAACCAAGACTTTATACTGATATGAAATGACAAGGAGTATTGATGAGTTGCTTGTCTATCACCAAGTTAACCCCTGCATCTTAGCAGATGCCCCTGAAAATTTGTCAGTTGTAATATTCCTGGGTGGAGAGAGGCTCCCTGAGGTAAAGTGTTTTGTCCAGGAACACAACACAATGGCCCAGCCATAATTTTACATGTGGAGCCATCGGTAGTCAATATTAGTGTTATCAATGCAAAACCCCAATTATTACCTGTCAATTTTGAAGAATATATCTTACAGAAAATAGCATTTGCTCCAGAGTTATTGACCTGTGACTCTAAATTATCCATTTTGAGTAACAAAGAAATTGTGTCCTAATACTCTTGTGTCTCCCTTGAAATGAAACCCTGTCTGACTTGAGATCACAATAAACTGAATTCAAACTAGTTTTTGGCCCAAAACATCTGGAGAATCCTACCCCTTTGGCCAACACATACCTTGCCACCCAATGTTGGACAGTATCCTCCTTCCTCCCCCCTCGGGTATTTTATCATGGGAGAGGTGGAAATAGCATATTTCATGACTAAGGGGGTTTGCTGGGAAAGTGTTTTTTCCTTTTAAAGTTGATTAGGAAAGTCCGCTTTTGTCTCAGAGAACTTTTTTTTTCAAGATTGTAATCATAAACTCTATTAAGCAGCTCCCTCTGCCATTTAAATGCTGCTGGCCTGCTTACATGATTATCACAGTCATGAAACAACTCTTTGGGACGTTGTCCGCTTACCGACCTGGACAGTGAGAGCTTGTCCAGAGATTTACCACAAAATCATACGCAGATTCCACAATCTGATGCTGTTCCCCCATTACCAAGTCACCGCGGCAAGTGTCGTTACCTACAATAGCCCTGTGTATGTTAAGTACCGCGACATAGGCCTTATTACAACTGCAGCAAAAACGGAAAGGACGAGAATGCTGTATAGCACATGAAGTGAAGTTCGCCGCTACGTGGGCAAAGTTCGTCAAATACTTGTGGCAGCTTACCCTTACTTGAACTTCTTGGGTCGAAGGGAGGAGAAGCAAGGGCCAAACTATAACAAACATGGACCAACGAAACACGACACAGGACGCCATTTCTTTCCTAAAAGTCACATCTTTGTCAGGAGGAACCTTTGCAACACTAGAGGAGGAATGGTCACGACACAAGAATCACAAGCATGTCATGTGACGCAACACGCGCAACAGGAAGTCGGGAGGGGTTGGTAGCTGGTAGCTGGTAGCTGAGGCTGACGTGAGACTAATACCTCTTTCACCGAGTAAACCGTTGCACAAACCGATTGAAATCGGCGAAAAAATATTCTTAAGTAGTCTGTAAAACAGGCCTAATTTGTTTTGGCGTTTTTCACGCGAGCGAAGGAAAGCTTGATTGGGGACACGGAAAGCGCGAGGCCACGCGCGGGGAGCGCGCGTTGCGACTCGCACGCCTGATAAGCACTCCAGACAGACCTCACTTTACCAGTAACCTGCACTAAAAAGCAGATGTTACAGACTGAAAGACCGCTGTATTCTACTGCTGGGGTAATGTTGATGCTGAAGTTATATGAGGCATTTTTTTTATTTCATAAGTCAGTAACGTTAACAAACACCAGAATTGACTGCCTTTCGATTTCTGTGAGATAAAAAAGTGTCAGGAGGGAAGATAACATCAACTAGCATACATTTCACAAGATTCAGAAACTGTATGTTGAAATGTCCGTTGACTTCTCTGCATTCTGACTACACTCACAAGAGACATTCAATGTGAAAAGTTTATTTTGGATGAGTCAGTCTTCTAGTATACGCATTCTGATACAATCTTAACATTTGAACCTTCAACTAAGGGTTCTACAGAAAGAACCAGTGCTACACCAGATACGAAAACCACTCAAAAACCACCAAAAAAACATCCTTTAGATGTGGCCAATAAATGTGTGGAAACGTACTCATCATCCCATGCAGCAGCACAATACCCCGAGGAAAGTGTAAACTAACCTGGTTGCACTACTAATCACAAAGAAAAATTAATGGTTGTAATGATATTCTACAGGGAGTTGAGAAACAATTCGTTCCCACGTCACTGAAACGTTAGAAATTATGTAATTCCTTAGCGGGATTAAAATCTTATATACGACATAGAATCCAATATCAACACGTTGTCAGATCCACATACGTCGAAATAGACAGAAGAATGTGTTTTAAACCGGAATTTACATCGTCCACCGATACTGGCGCCGAACACTGATTCTCTGGAATGATTATTGTTATGTGGGCTTAGGTGAAACAACTTAAACGAGGGGTTGAAAGATTCCTAAATTAGTACTCTTGGAATAGCTTTTTTGGGTACATTCACGATGACGTTTATTTGTGTCGTCACAGAAAACGAGTCGGATATTGTGTCCTTGGCTCTTCAGTGATCTTTCTCGAAGTGGTTGAGTAATACTTTGATATAAACACACATATAGATTGTTTTTGTATTAGCTAACACCAGTAAAACGCTATAGTTTTTATTTCAGGCAAACTTTCAAACCATCCATTACAGCTACATCGAAAGATACTGGCTGAAGCGATTCTAGCAATTGGTTTAGAATTTCTTACCCAAGTTGCTTTCGGCGAATAAAGTTCTCAAAATGTTGAGGACTGACATCTGCTGTAAAGATCACCCAATGTTTTTCTTCTAAATTGTGAAAAGGGTTGAAAAAAGACTGGTGGGTACGGAGAGCATTATATCGGCAGTCAGGTTCGTTAAGGTGGCCTCTCGATTCCCTTTGTTCTAACGCTAGGTGGTAGAGCATGCGAAGCCAAAACAAGTATTAGTTTGTTGATATCCCACGAGTAGTCTTGAGCTAGAAACCTCCTTTCTGGACACAATTCTTACTTTCACTTTATAAAGTTTCTGAGAGTTTTAATGACTTTCAAAAACAAGAAGAGCAAATTAAATGGATATTGCTACATAAATCAATGAGGCTGCGTGCTGTGAGCTATCTGTTCCTTCAAAACCATAATACTCTGTCGTTGATCTTCAGGTAACAAAGCGATCTGCTGATCAGTGAGGCTCAACACTTGCATGATAAGAGCCGCCTGCAAAGGGAATAAACAATGAAGTTTAGACCTCGCATATAAAACTGCATGCTAGCAAATCTATGGGGTCAAAACAAAATTGTGAAATCTCATTGGTTACCTTCTCTTGATCCTGAGTTGTGACGTCACCACCTTGCGCAACAGGCCCCGCCGGTCCAGGATTAAAACCTGTTAAAATACTGCAAGTTAGAATCATAAAATGGGGCGTGTTGGACAAAACGCGAAACAGTTCCATTTTGCTTTATTTGCAAACTAGTGCTTATTTAAAGGAAATACAACGAAATATTTCAATTTGTGAGGCTACATTTCTAACTCACTAGAATTTCCAAAAACTTTCTCTTCTTATAAAATGAATCTATCATTTTAATCAACTATTTTGACCTTCTAACAGTGGTAAGTTCGTTCAAATAACAAAAACTTGTAAAAAATCTGAGTAGACGCTACATAAGCATAAAGAAATTTAGAATTGGAAATTTTTGACCTCTTAGTCAAATACTGTTATTGGGGTAAAACAAACTATTGAATCATTTCCAAACATACAAGGCCAGTCATCTTCACTAAGTCTAACCCAAACCACGGTCTTACGCAATCAGTGGGCCTCAGGATTTCTCTGTAAGAGGGTTAATTTCATCAAATAAATGTCCTTCTGCTGTTAGCTTTCGGCTCTCTTTTCACTGATCACAAACACAAATTTCCAGCTAAGATGAGGATTGTTTAGGACGCGGGTTTTTTAAACAACGGCTAAACTTTGTTTAAATAACCAGTCCGTAGAGTTGACAAGCTAAATATACAGCTGTAATGTTGATTTTTAGGCAATTTGTTCAGACCTTGAGGACCTCTGGGAGGTGGTCCCCCTTGGTTAGGACCCCACTGTTGCTGTGGTGAGTGGACAGGTCCTGAAAAACGTCCATCGTTTTGGGGACCTGGGGGACCACGTTCACCACGTGGATCCCTTGGCCCACTTGGTGGTCCGTATCTTTGTTCAGGAGGTGGACCTCTTGGGTCCCTGGGCTGGTCTCTGGGATCCATAGAGGGACCTCTTCTATCATCTGCAAAAGAGATTTAGACAGTAGCTAAGGTTACAGCATTATCTAGTGACACAAAGACTCACACCACACAGAGGATAAGAATTGTTTGCATGCTCTATAGCAATTTTATGAAGTGCACCATTGTTTACATCTATATTGGGATAGAAAATTTATTACTGAACTTGATATATCCTTCTGCGCCCCATAGACATAAAATTAGTACAGAGTGATGCCTGCATTAATGATAGCAAACTATGCAGCTTTATGCAGAAGTTCCTGCTCCTTTAACCTTTAATAAAGTTCTTTTGTAGAGGGGCAAACAAATTAATATTACAAAAATAAATGAACAAATACATAAATAATTATATGTATAGTAATACCCCTTTGTGGCTCTCTGTTTCTTGGGTCTCTGGGGTCAAAGGGCATGCGTCGATCTCTTGGGTCTCCAAACTGGTCTTGGGGAGGACCTCTATAGTCAGGACCCTGTGAACCTGACAAAAACAAAAGCTTACATCAATAAGAAAAATAAGGGTCAATGTTATTAGATTATTATTGTGCCACTCCTGGTTTTAAGTGAACCATGAATCACTGGAATACTCTTTTGTTAAGATCTCCTCAAATGAAGTGTAATGCAGTGTAATGAAGTGTAATGAAGAATCCCTCCAGCTAAAAGACTGTTGAAAGAAACAGGTGGGTGGCAGAGAGAGCTTCAAGGACAACATCATCCATCCAAGGGCATTATTCCACAATATTCCAGCATGCTATGAGTAAATAATTCATTTTTAACCCTTCGTAAATTGCCAATTTTTGTTCATTGTGTAACTTAAAGGCCATCTCAGAAATACAGTAGAGAAAAAAAAACATGTTTATGGGGTAAAGAAAAGGTGTGTAATTTTAAGTACTTTTAATTTGATTATCTCGCTCTTTTGTTTAGTGATATGAGTTACTTTTCCCCCTCATGCTAAACTGTTAATGGTAAGACATATCCCATAAGATCACACACAAAAAACTTGTCCAAGGGTTATCACATTCATATACCTCTGCCTTCAGGTCCTCTCATGTCTGAATGAGGGCCCCTGTAGTCCCTTGGATCTGGTCCAGGTCCACGCATGTCTCCAAGAAGGCTCCTTATTTCACCAGGACCTCTATCAGGTGGGCCTCTCATATCTCCAGGACCTCTTTCAGGTGGACCTCTCATATCTCCAGGACCTCTGTCAGGTGGACCTCTCATATCTCCAGGGCCTCTATCAGGTGGACCTCTCATATCTCCTGGGCCTCTATCCATGGGACCTCTCATGTCTCTGTTTGGAGGTCCCCTCATGTCCGGAGGGCCCCGCATGTCAGGGTGCATTCCCCTCATATCTGGTGGACCCCGACTATCAGGTCCTATGGAAATTAATAAATAAGTATTAGGATTCTTTTATATATTAGTGGAGCTAGGAAAATATCTAAAGCCACATCTGTTTTAACACTCTGTTGATGAAATTTCTTTTCATACCTGGTCCTCTCATATCTGGTGGACCTCTAACATCTGGAGGACCCCTCATGTCCGATGGCCCCCTCATATCTTGAGGGCCTCTCATATCTGAGGGGCCTCTCATGTCACCTGGGCCTCTCCCATCAGGTGGACCCCTTATGTCTGGAGGACCTCTCATGTCTAGAGGACCTCTCATTTCAGGTGCTGATCCAGGTGCTGAGTGGAAGGGTCCGGGAGGGCCTGCATTATTTGGACCTTTTCTTTCCCCTAAAGGTCCTGCACGCATAAGTGGCTGAGGCTGTTGTGCACCTGTTGGTTGTAAAGGTGCTATAGGTTCGGTAGGTCTATGCAAGATGCCCTAAAACAAGGAGGAATCTTATTCAGGAACTCATTATGTATACAGGATTGTAGCTGACAAAATTGGACTACTAGCTGAAATTTCAAGCGAGACAGCTAAACTATTGCATGACTGCAAGTGTGTAACCTCATCTTTACCAAGCAATTGCAGGCCAAAAATTTGGTCAAATTCAGGAAGGAGCTTATCCAAAGTTTAAACATAAAGTCCCTGATCCCTATGGCATTGCATCCAGCATCCACAACATATTTAATGCTAGAGTGTAACATAGTCTAGAACCATACAACCCCACAGGGCTTCCACCTTTGCTTTTTACAGTCACATACACCTAACTGCAAAAAAAAAAATGTCATAGAAGAATGCAAAAGTAAAAATGGAGACAGAAAAAAAAAAAGCCAAAGAGAAAATATTTAGTATATGAATTATCTTTGGATAAGATATTGACAGTCCTGAAACACATGCTTTGAAAACCTACTTAAGCTGATTTAAATTGTTTTGTACACATTTCTTTCTATTTTTTTTGATAATTCTTCAAATACATTAATGTACCATTTTGGTGATGACAAATAACAAATTTAGATAAATACAAATTCAATTTTCTTTGGCTTTTTTTCTCCTTCATTCTCACTGTTTGCTTTTTGCTAGAACGATGAGAGTGCAATTAATCGTAAAACAAAATTTGTTCCTTGACACCAACCTGTGCAATGACAGGATCAACAATCTTCATGACAACCTGAGCCTGCAATAGGGCATAGGCAAGCTGTGGGTTTTGAAGTAACATCTGTCTGGCTTCTTCAGGGTTGTTTTGGATGCAAATCTGGCAGAGCACAAAGCATAAAGCTAGTTAGCAATAATTACTGCAACACTACAGAAAAGGAAGCAGTTTGTTTCCACATTTAAATTCAAACCAAAATAAACCTTGAACTGAGAATTTCTCGGTGCTTTCATCTAATTAATATTTTATTCTAAGAAAAAAATTTAAAATGAGTGTCAAGAGTTAACAGGAGTAAGAATGGTTTTTTACTTCTTTGGGTTGTGATTGATTTGGAAAACTCAAACTATCCTCTTAACCCTTTACACCCTCATGCCAGTACAGGGCTCGAAATTAGCACTCGCAAACTCGTGAAATGCGAGTGGTTTTTTTGTGTGATTTGGGGGAGATATTGTAAGGAGAAATTAGATGCTAGTCACTCTTAGGATCAAAGGGTTAACCTACCACGTGTACAACTATGACCGATTGTTAATTGGTTTGTGCACTTTTTTCAATATTTTAGACTACTTGCTTGTCTTCATCTTGATTTCTTAAGTATTCTTTCAGATATTTTTTGTTTTGTGTTCTGATTAGCCATTATGATTACTATTGTTTTCAATGCTTTTAAAATGTATTTAATTCCTGCAATAGTTCAGGAGCTAAAAAGTTTTGCAAGAAAGGATCTTTATTGTTACTGCCATTGTGAGTGATTTACCTTCATCTGCTTCATAAGTTCAAACATCTGCTCAGGAGGTAAACTTGCCACAGCTTGTGTAATGGCTTCGGGTGCCTCTTCAGGAGCAACTGGTGGTCCATAAGGGTTTACTTCTGGACGACTGCTTCCTTCTATACCTTGTAATGAGAAAGAAAGTTGTAAGGTAAAGATTGGCTGGTCTTTACCTAAGCCAAGCAGCCCCAAGGTACAGCAGCTTATCACAATTTTTCAGCTGGACTTGAGCTGGTGAATTGCTTCTCCTCTTGGATGTGATGCAAGTCCACTGTAAGTTACCCCCCTCTCCACTGTGAATTCTGTTAGATTTCTCCCACAGTTTGAGGTACCCAAGTATATCTCTTCTAGGTGGAGAGAAGCACTTTACATTTCCCCTATGAATGCAATATGACAACCTAGTGAGGTTTTGAACCAGCAAATCTCACCTCCCAGTCCAGAGTGACAATCAATAACCTACTGTTTCTCCCATGGAATAAGGACAGAGTAAAAAGACAACAACTTCCAAAAATATATATATATATATATATATATTTCTCTGACAAAACAATAATACCATGAGGAAAAGCATAGTGAAAAACTAACATTTATAATGAGTCAGACACACAGTAACTTGCTAACCTTTCATTTCCTCCCTGTTCTTTTCAGAAGCAGCACTGTCAACTCGCAAAGCTCTTCCATTCAGTTCATACCCATTTAGATTTCTAATAGCACTCAAGGCAGTTTCCTGGTCCTTATACTCACAGAACCCATATCCTTTAGGCTTTCCTGTTTCACGATCAAATACCAATCTAATGATAAAATTAAAGTTTAAAATAATTACTCCAAATTATTACTTATCCCTGTATTGTTCAAAAGTAGAAAAATACTATTACATGTTATACCTCACAAGTTTACACATCAGGGCATTAAATTGCATGCATAATTTACTTCATTTTCTTTCAAGTTTTTTGATCAATATACCAGCTACAGTACCATTCAAAGGTAAGTTGACAGTCCCTCAAACCTCAATCCTCACTTCTTGATAACTTCATGGATCAAGGCTCAAATTGAGTTTCGAGACATTCAAGTTGAGTTTCTAGATGTTCAAGTTGAGTATCAAGATCCTTGAAACTCAGTTCAAGGCATGCAAAGTTGGGAAACAAAGGAGTTTTTTGGCTATCAGTTTTATGGTGATTTGAAGTTCCTTATCCTTACCTTAAGTCTAATCTATAGAATGAAAATCCATATGGTGTGCATTGTTGCCAATAGGGAAAAACTTTGCTCAAAATATAACGTGTAGTTCTGTGTTTTTGACAATAACCTAGCGAAGATTATTATTTTACTGTATATGTGATCCTCTTCATTATCTTGAGCAAAACTTTGATTGAAATTCATGTGTACTTCTGATGTTTGGGACAATAACCTCATTAATGTTATTATTTTTTACTGTATGCGTAACCCTCTCTGTCATCTCATGCCTGAAAGTTGTTATTTATCATAGTGTCAAAGACGCTCCACCATATCCAAAATTTCTCTCATAAAAGATTACGACTTTTCCTCATGCATCGTTCAGGTAGTAATGAGAGTATGTTCCTCATCCATTGTGGAAATGCAACACTCTTTACCACAAAAGCCACTTTTTCAAGTCATTCAAAAATTAATTTTAACTGTACAATGCAAAATACATTTGTACAGTTTTTTTCTCAGCTGACCTAAAGCTAACAACTGGTCCAACTTCAGAGAAGATCTCTTTAAGTTGCTCCTCAGATGCTTCATAAGGAATATTCCCAACTGAAAAGATAAAAACACGTAGCTTTAATATCTGAAATTGTTTGAAACCACATATAATTAGTCCTATATGACCTCCGTTTAGGTAATTTACAAGCAGGGTAATGGGGTAAGAAAGTGAGAAAGATCAAGCATGTGGTGGAATTAGTTGTGAAGGAGATTTTTAAACCTCAATTTCTTCCATCATCATTCGAATAAACTACTTATACGTCAAGTAAAAAAATAACTGGACGTTAAATAAATTTTCAGCAAAAATTTCAGCAATTCGAATCCATTAAGAATTTAAAGCAACAGATCTAGCCGAATCGCCAACATTTCTACCATGGTGTAAACGCGCTCAATCATGTGGTAAATATTCATTAATTGCCCCACGAGCGCCTCTGTTATTGAATAAAATTAAAATATCGGGCATATAACGCACCAAAAACTGAACGCAATGATCTATCTGAGGCAACACCGGCTTGCTGCTTCGCTTGATTTTGTGTTTGAGGAAGACCTGCCACTGAAGCCGCCATCTTAATGTTCATCTAATTGAATACCCATAAGCCAATGTGGGCATGAAATGCTAGTCTTATTAGTCTCTTAAATGATGACGACACACAGGGATACTCAAAACACGGTGACATCGACCGTCAGCAGAAGCCGTAAGCTGATCGTGAGGAGAATATTTTCATTCCACTATCTTTGCCAATTATTCAAATAGAAAGTGAGGCAATGAAGGGACGTTATCAGGACGAAAAGTAAAAATTTCTTCCCCAGTTGTTTCCGTTGTGTTCCAGTTCCATTGCGTCACAAGCGTCAAGTTTCGTTTATAGAAATAAATAGCCACTTGACCTCACATTAAAATTTGGGGCCTGAGTGGGTCCCTAAAATTTATAATTTCTCGGCTCATCGGTGTGCAAACTTAGTTTCACGTCTTAGATACCAAAAATTATGATAAGCAATATCTACTAAGACTGCTAAATATATGTCGAAAACCCATTAGGGGAGATATATCCAACAGATAATTCTTCCCCCTAAAGCTACATCGACATTTCCGTCATTGCCACAAATTTCCAATCTCCCTCCCCCAAGAAGTAAAACGCTTCGATGCAAAACTGAAATTTTTATCCCTAGGGAGAATGTCGCCGGAAGACCCAGCCAAGGGTAAACATCTTGAGATCATTTAGTGGCTTGTAAGGTGGCCGATAAATAACACAAATTAAGATTGAGAGCCTTACAGGTGATTTCTTCCGTTAGAGAATATCGTGATGCTGCACTTTCTAACCCTGCTGCACTTTCTAACCCTAACCTAACCCTAAGCAATGCCACAGGGACCTTAGCTTAATTTACCCGTTGTTTATAGGCCCAATTAAGATTGGATACAATAAGTAAAATTAATTTTCTGCGTTTTTTTCCTTTGCAACGCTTGTAAAATTTTATTTCGCGCTATTCTGACCCGAGGTGTGAAAAATTCTGACTCAAATGAGGTACGGATAACTATAAATTTGATATGCCACATCGTTCTCTCGAAGTTTTTACAATTGTCCAGAGTGCGTGCGATATCTCTAGGATTTGCTAGATTAGCACGACTTTCTGTTGGCACAATCGTTAAAATTCACGTGAGCACAATACCCGTGAAAATCGCATGAATATAGGTGACTAGAAACTGAAAACTGATCGAACTACGTATTTCGCTATCTCAGCTCTATCGACTTCCGCTCTCAATCTTACGCTATTCAAAACATTATTTACTACGTTTGTAAATGGAATATTGTAAGTCCTAACTCTGAAGTAGTTTTGAGACATATTGTGCAAGTCAGCACTAAAAACAGCAGACGTCAGCAGATAACATCACGTTTGTATGCAAATCCATGCGACCTTTGGAAGGCGCCGACGCATGCTTATTCAGCACAAGAAATGGGGAAAATGAAGACGCTAAAAATAGAACATCACCAGTGGGACTTTAAATCAGCATTTCCACCAAATAATAAGATATTCATAGCTTCTGATCGTTAAGAATACCAACATTCATTCGCAAAAAAAAATCGAAGGACCGATATACAAACAACAAATGACTAATTTAGTGATTGATGATTGCAATCTTCTCATCGTGTATTATGACATCAGAAATTTTTAATCACGTGTGTGATGACGACACAGTTTCCAGCCAATCAGATGACGATACTGAAGGGTAAAGAAATCGCCCATTTCCTTCGACGCCATTCGTTTCTAGCACTTCAAAAGGAAAATTTCGTGTCGTTTAACAGTCGAAAAATCGAAGTCAGCCTTAAAAAATCGAAATGCAGATCTTTGTGAAGACCTTAACTGGGAAGACTATCACTCTTGAAGTTGAACCGAGCGATAGTATCGAAAATGTGAAGACGAAAATCCAAGACAAAGAGGGCATCCCGCCCGATCAACAGCGTCTCATTTTCGCTGGCAAACAACTCGAAGACGGCCGAACCCTAAGTGATTACAACATCCAAAAAGAGTCTACTCTTCACCTGGTTCTTCGTCTGAGAGGTGGAATGCAGATATTTGTGAAAACTCTGACGGGAAAAACCATCACGCTTGAGGTCGAGCCGAGTGACTCCATTGAAAATGTCAAGACAAAGATTCAAGACAAAGAAGGAATCCCTCCTGATCAACAAAGGTTGATTTTCGCCGGCAAACAATTGGAAGATGGCCGCACTTTGAGTGACTACAACATCCAGAAAGAATCAACCCTTCATCTGGTGTTGCGTTTAAGAGGAGGAATGCAGATTTTCGTCAAAACCCTCACAGGCAAGACGATCACACTCGAAGTCGAACCCAGCGACTCCATCGAAAACGTTAAAACAAAGATCCAGGACAAAGAAGGCATTCCACCCGATCAGCAAAGATTGATATTTGCTGGCAAACAGTTAGAAGATGGCCGCACCCTGAGCGACTACAACATCCAGAAAGAATCAACCCTTCATTTGGTGTTGCGTCTTAGAGGAGGAATGCAGATTTTCGTCAAAACCCTCACAGGCAAGACAATCACGCTCGAAGTCGAGCCCAGCGACTCGATCGAAAATGTCAAGACAAAAATCCAGGACAAAGAGGGTATCCCACCCGACCAACAGAGGTTGATTTTCGCCGGTAAACAGTTGGAAGATGGCCGTACATTGAGTGACTACAACATCCAAAAAGAATCGACCCTCCATCTTGTTTTGCGTCTGCGTGGAGGCATGCAGATCTTCGTCAAAACCTTGACCGGAAAAACGATCACGCTTGAAGTAGAGCCCAGCGACTCGATCGAAAATGTCAAAACAAAGATCCAGGATAAAGAGGGCATCCCACCAGATCAGCAGAGATTGATTTTTGCCGGCAAACAGTTAGAAGATGGTCGTACCCTGAGCGACTACAATATTCAGAAGGAATCCACCCTCCATCTTGTGCTCCGTCTGCGTGGTGGCATGCAGATCTTTGTCAAAACCTTGACAGGAAAAACCATCACCCTTGAGGTTGAACCCAGCGACTCCATTGAGAATGTGAAGACCAAAATCCAGGATAAAGAGGGTATTCCTCCAGACCAGCAGAGATTGATTTTTGCTGGCAAGCAACTTGAAGATGGCCGCACTCTGAGCGACTACAACATACAAAAAGAGTCAACTCTTCATTTGGTGTTGCGTCTGAGAGGTGGACAGTAACATCCCTGAACTTTGCTCTTACTATTTGATTGTTTTAAAAACTGCTTAAGGCAAAAAATTATCCACTTTTTTTTGTAGGGTAAGATTTTCTTTTTTGCATTGTTTCAGTTTATTATAAACAGGTTACAAGAACATTTTTGCTTAGTCTAACTTTGGAGAGGTCCAAAAACTGTAAGAAGATTTAAGTCAATGCCTAATAAAGTTTTGTTGATGTGAACATGTGTAGTGTACCTTTAAGCATTAGGTGGTTGTATTGAAGCTTCACAGAGCTACAGGTTTTCCCAGTTAAAAAATTCTACTTTTGAGAAGCAAGAATTTGCTGAGTGCAATTTATCAGACCTGGTCCATTAAGAAATCTCTCTCTTGTGAGGGCTTCCTTCAAGTATGCTGTTTCAGTTCTGCTTAGTATGTTTGAGTTGGCACTGTAATTGTACCAGTACTTGTACATCAAGATCAAGTAAGGCTAACCTTCCAACTCGGTTGTTAACAATAAATTACCTGCTATACTCTCCTACCAACGTAGCACCTTTTTTTCTAGAAACTTACCCCTTCATTAAGGTTAACCTTGCCTTACAAATTTATTAGGTCTTAGTCTTAGTCTGTTATTTTGAGCTTCTGAGTGTGCAGGTGACCTTGAACTTGTCTTTAAATTTTGGAATGATGGCTTGGCTGGGCGCGCATAGCAAGTTTGTTTTCCAGTTCAGTTCATTTTTCAAAAGTTAACACCCAAGGCTCTGTTTTGTACATTTTGCAGTTGCAAAGAGGAAGAACCCTGTTATGAATCTGCTCCCCAGATGCTAATTCTATCTTCTTTTTCTTGCAAATGACTTGAGGAAGAGCAACAGATTTGAACAACAATTTGAATGACCAGTTTGGAACATCTTTCATGGTATTTGTCCATGACTGTCGTGGACCCTTAAGATCAAGGATAAAGTGGGGGTGAATAGAGTCACTTAGAGAAAGCTTGGAAGGATGAAATTTTCCTACGGAGAAATGAGCTTTCAATTTTTTTTCAACAAAGATTTCAAAGGTATCTGTAAACTGTATACAATGTTGCTTCTTGTATAGTTAAATATTTCCTTGGGATGGGATGGATTAGAGATTCTGTACGATTTTTGTTTGTTTGAGTTACATAGTAAGTGAGGGAGTGAAAGTGATCTGTTCATCAATTAAAAGTTGTCATGATCTACTCTGCATCCAATACACAACATTAAAAGCACACCAGTCATGAGAATTATGAGCTACCGGTATACACCAGTGAGATATTGGTAGGTCTCATTTAATACACTTTCTAATAAACTTGTTTTAAGTTTTGGGGTTTGACCAATATTTGTTACAACTTCAAAAATTAATTATAAAGATTTAAAAATCTTGCACCATTGTTTAGTAAAGTTTCCTTGCTACATCTAACAGCAGTGCAATTTCCTATTTGATTTAACATTTAAATTTTTATGGTAACTGGCATATGGATTATTTAAATAGGGGTGTCTTCCAAATTCCGTCAGAGAAACAAATACCTTTACTGTGGAGGTGAGTGTCAAAGTAAATATCCACCAATTTTTGTGCCAACGGGGTGAACAAGAAGCAATTATTGGATGAGTTTGATAATGATATCATGTAAAGTCCAAATTTAATGATTGTTTTATGATTACATTTTTGAAACAATTCGCAAATGACACTTCTCTCTGACTTGGCAAAAGTTTGAGAACACTACAAAGACAAGGGGCTTAGAAACTAGGCATAATTTGAACTTGATAAAACAAAGGTAATATCTGCTGTAGATATTGCATTTATCAAGTCAACTTCACTGTCAGTACATCATTTGAATGCTCTCGACTAATCATGATTTTCATAATAAGTCTAATGTACATTAATAATAAATTATACTAGTGAATACCTAGCAGGTGAATGTTGATTTTCTTTCATAAGCAGATTGGCTTCCTCAGAGGTGATTAGCAGGTACTATTCACCTCCAAGCAGCAGAATATTGAAGTGTCCATTAAGAGTTTCATTTCTGAATATTTTGTGGTATGTTGATAAAAATACTGCAAGTAATTTTCTGGTTCTCAAGTGATTTATTCACCTCAGTTTTAGGTGAAAGTGGTGGATATGTACTTCTACTTTCCTGAATAATTGCTAATCACTACTTGTGTATATTCCAATTAAACATCAAATACATATTTTCTGTACCTAAAGTCCTAAGCTCATTTTTTTACAAATATATATTTTCTATACCTTAAGTCCTAAACTAATTTTTTTACTTAAGTTAAAAGCCAATCAGTGTGCTCAAAAAGTCTTTTTCACTAAGTTTGTAAATTCTTAAAAGGTGGCAATAATATGTCCTTGCTCAAAAAGTATTTTTTACTGGTTTTGGTAAAATTTAAAGTAATGATGGTATCTCCCCTCTCAAAGTACATAGGGGCCTAAGGTGCCATAAATGTATATGGATTTCCTTATTCCTTTAAAAGAAATGAGAAGAGTTTCCTTTTTTTTTTAATACATTTAAATTCATCATAAACCCTTAAAACCTTAATGCACCAGTAGGCTTTTTCTCTATACTGTGCTCTATACGTTTCCTGAGATGGTGACAAGGATAATTTGATGAATAATCAAAAGTTTCTTTAGTTAGTCATCATTTCCTTTATTCCCAGACCTAGCTTAATATTTGATTCAGGAGTGATATTGTAAGGAGAAATAAGATACTAGTCACAGTTGTTTATATTAACCCTTTAACTCCCAAGATCTAGTTGTTAATTCTCCTATCTGGCTGCAACACATTTCCTTGTAATTTAGTTACAATAATTTGGTGTTACATCATGATTACAATCTCTAACTGATAAATTTGAGTTATCTCATCACATGTTTGTTGGATAATGTATGGATATTGTTGGGAGAAGTTACGCAAATCACTTCTGGGGGTTAAAGGATTTAATAATGTTGATTACCAGATAGTTTTGCAAGATAGAAATATATCAAGGTGTTAATATTCAATTTAAGTGTTCAGTCAAATAAGAAGCCGACTGCATATTATATTGTGACAAGATAGCAGTCTGTGCTCATCTAAAAAATTAGAAATTTTCTTTGTTGTAACAAAACTTGACTCCTGTACTTGGATTACTGTACTGGTTGGCTTTTTTGTGTAACACATGTGATAAACCACTTGGTCCACAGAAAAAGACCCCAATTTCTGTCCTACAACAGAGAAGGAAATATTGTTACTATCAGTTCACCACTTCAGTTCTTCAGACTACGAAAAAAATGGAGCTGCGCTTTTTCTAGTTAACAAGCTGGTTGAAGTCACTGAGTGCAATGAGACTAGAAAAGAGTAATTTAGATAATGCAGAACTTTAATAGCTCATCTAGACGGCTAATTCTGCAACCAAATCTTTATATTCATATCTCCTTTGATTCACATTTCAGTTCACTGTCGCAGCCTAGCCCTGAACTTCCCTGTCACTCACCCTTTGTGTTTCTCCCCAATACCCTTAAAAATCTTGCTCCACTCTGGTCTGCCATACTGTGTCTTAGCATCCAAATGTGTTATGTTATCTTCTTCACCCTGATGTATAATTGACTGAATTGCCTGAAATAAGCAGGTAACTTATTATCACTTTCTTTCTAAAACCCACATGACAGCTAGATGTTAAATATTACATCTCAATCTTTTTTTGGGCCCTATGGGGAGGGAAAGAAAATGATGCAAATTAAGCATATATCATGTAAATAAAGTGTAAATCACTGGGAGGAAGGATGCCATAGACTCCACTGATAAGTTGTATTTGCCTAGAACAAGACCTGAATGAGCCGAGCAGCATAAGATGAACATTAAACCTCAACTAGGCCCATTCTTCTAGTTGCAAAAATGTACTTGGCAAAAACAGATCAACATATTCCTTAGACTCTACCTTCCCCTTAACAAAATTTTCAAACCATGAAATAACAAAGATTATTCACATCAACTAAATTCCAAACCCTAGTTTAAATATAATGCATATTTCAAGCCTGCTCATTTATTTAATGTTGTCTTACCAATTTAGTATCCCATCCTGTTAGATATATGTGATATTCCACAAAGTTTTTCATATTCATTTCTTCCATCTGAAATTTAAGGTGAAGGAGTATCCATTTTGTAATTTACCTCAGAGGAGATCTTCTAACCCCAAATGTTTTGAGTAATCTAAGTTTCATGAACATTTATAGTCATCTATATGACAGGTATGATTTAAGTTGTTTTTTTTTTACCTGAATTTCCAAATACCTTAAAAGGTCTGTAAACCATTCAAAGGCCTTTTCATCTCGGCAGATCCAGAAAAAATACACCTTCTGGATCTTTAGGTCAGAATAACTTTTGTTTTGACGATACCTGTAGCAAAAAAAGACTAACTTTAATTTTAACAGTTATTGTTAAATAGTTATATCCATTATCAAAGAATGCATACTTTCTGTAAAACAAAAGATGACCATGGCTCTTACTGTTTTTGAATGAAAAGAGTAGTCATACAATTGAATGAAAAAAATTAAGACTAAACAAAACCAAGGGTGGATGTAATTTAAGTAAGATGGATTGAGAGTTGGACAAAATTTATCAACTGAATCAGAGAATGACAAAGGGTATAAAATCTTTCTCCATTAAAAAAGTACTTACCACACTGACTTCAATATTGATGCAAAGGGAGTTACGCCAATACCAGCTCCAATACACATAATGACATCATATTTGAACACATCCTAGACAAATCCAAAAATTCTTTATAATATAAAAATAATAAACAAGGAGACAAGCATGCAATTATATCTCAAATAAATGATAACTGTCAAAAAAAAAAAAAAAAAAGTGAAAAGGTGAAAAAATATTGTCCAATGATGTTCAGACGGCAGCCATTCCTTCTGCAAGGGTGGATCTACCGAAAGGGTACAAGGGGTTCCCCCCCTTCCTTGTATTCAGCATCTTTCCTTAGTGGTACACCTCATTCTAGGAAATAGCCTGGATCTGCCTCTGCTATAACCAACATCACAAGAAATTAGAGCCTCTTACAGTGCTTGATGTTCCAAAAGGGCCATCAACAGCCAACCTAGAGGAAGAAAATATCAAACAGATTCTTCAGTATGGTCCCTCTTTAAGAAAACTTTGGCTCTTAACCCTTAACACCCTAACATCAGTTTGCATATTTTCCATACTGTTCTCTATACATTTCCTCAGGTTTTGATGAGGAGAATTTGTTTAACAATCAATCAATGAATTAGAGTCACTCTTAAGTGTTCAAAGGGTTAATTACTTCAGTCCGGTGCCAGGGCGAGAAAAATCACTAAAAAATCAACTAACAAAAAGGATTATGAAAAGATCAGATTTCATGCCAACCTATCATCAAGCATTAATGCATATAAACAGTATGCACATTGCCAAATTTAAGATTCAAATACTTGAAAAAGTTACTTTCAGAACCTTGGACAGGAGCTTATATCTTTCATTCCACCATCATTTGCTCCAAACTCTCTGTGTAGACTGTCTAAATAATACATAAATATCAATTAAAAGAAGCACAGTATACATAGAGAAAAGTGTACAGGAAAGTAAAAATTATTACATTATATCTGTAAACTAATTCCAAAGATGCCAACCTTTGGAAATCTGAAGTCTGGAAAGGTGTTCAATTTTAGAATATATCAAATATCTCTATCAAGATTATTATTTGGTGGAGAAAGTAAAACCTGAAGTTGCCAAAATAGGCATTTATTACAAGAGATTGGGAGATTTGTTTTGCATGTGGAAGAAAATATTCTTTGCAATGCCTTTTCATGCATTCTGAATAAAAGAAAAAGGTTCTATTGTATCTACCTGTCCAATCACCAGCATTTCTGATGTGAACACTGAAGTAGGACTCCTCAGGGGCCTAGAAAAGAGATGTTTTTATTATAAAAACCCAACTCTAAGCTTAAAAAAATATTTTTAAATCCTCATTACGGAGTAACAAAAGAATGACACACATGTATAAATTCATTTAGACTCTTGAAAGTACATTAATAGTGACAGACCAATCAAAAATGATAAATATAACTGTCACAGTAGTGTCTGTAAAGAGTGTCAACCTGTTGGCCAAAGTCCAGGACAAGTTCCACAAAAGATGGTTGTCAGTGAATGAGTCAAACTTATTAGTTGAAGCCAGAATCATTGTCAGTCACTTTAATCTGACAATGAAACCCTCTGAGGTTGCCACAACATCAGTAGCTGTACCACTGTTAACAGTCTTTTCACAACAAATTCTCATGATCACATTCAATGATCAACTGTCAAATGATATACAAGCAGGGAAACCAAAGAAATCAAATGCAAATGAACTCAAGTGAAGGAAAGTTAAACTATAATGAGTTGATTTCAGATTAGACTGGTAGAGACAAAAGCAAATTTTTCTTTCTGACCAATCTCAGAGTGCAGTGAGATAAAACAAATACAATCCTTTGCGACTCTACACAATCACTTCATTAAAGTTTCTTGAAACAGCAATCAAGTTCTGAAAATTCATACTTACAGATGTTAAAGTAAAAGGATGCCACTCCAGATGTGAGATCTTAGGACACTTCAGAAAAATGTACTAGAACAGAAATAAGTAGGGCATTAAATATAGCTCATTCACTACAGAGTTAGTAGAATCAAAGGCTGGTTCAGAAGAAACTCATTAAGTCAAATCAAGTTGTTCATAATAAGTTCAAATGGCACCTCTTACCTGTCCTGCTTCACATCTAAATCCATCCTTCTTCATCTGAATTTCAAGCACCCTAGATGGATGTTTTATTACCTAGCAAAATAAGAAATTATTTAGAAGATAATACATCTTCAAAAAGGAATGGATATTAAATAATAATAGAAAAGTTATAGCTATATATCAAGAATCATTACTACTTACTGTTGGACACATTACAACTCTAACTTTAATTTTAGTTTTCATTAAATGCACAATATTGTACATCCAATATAGTTGAGCAATTTACATTTATTCATTAGACATGAGTCAAATGGTAAAAAGTTTTTAATACTATCAAATGAATTGAATGGGTGCTAAAAGTAATCATTAACAATAAAATTACATTCTTTGACAAATGATCTCACCTTAAGAATTGTCACCTGCTGAAATGATCTGTATATTCTGAGTAACCGTTCCGCACCATACAGTATCATGGGGAAAATCACAAACTTCCAAGTCTAAAAAAAATTCACAATTGTCCATTATCACAAACTTATAATCAGTTCAGCAGCACAAATTGGCCATTGTCTTGCATACAAGTCAGATTATGTGGATTCATTACATATAGTTAGAGTGTGCAGATTGCTGTTTTTAAGCTACATGCAGAGGGTGTCAATTATGACAGAGGTAAATAGTTTTAAAAATGACAGTAATGGTACCATTGCTCCAGGTGCTTTTAGCTGTGGTCTAAATTTGTAGCAGCTGGTTGAATGATTTTTCCAGTAATTTACATTATCACAGATTTCTGGATCATGCTCATCCATGTTAGTTTGAAAACGTAGAAGATCCCTACAAAAAAAAAGTTCAAGGGATTCATGAGAACTGTATATACAATAAAAGGCTCACTGTGAAGAAAATTTCAGTCAAATCTCTAAACCATCCAAGGGGAGTCTCCTAAAATTTCTGTATATGTTATTTATAGGTAGTATCTCTGTTATTTTAGTTCAGTGAGCAGGATAAGAAGTAACAGTTAGAGTTTAAGCCATGACTATGCCATGGTGTTGTGTTCTTAAGCAATTAGCACTCTACTTTCACAGTGCCTCTTGCTTTATAAGCAAGAGTACAATATAATACAGTACTGAAAAATGAGTAGTGTACTGAGACACCTGCTGGGGGGGTTTTAACTTCTCTGAAAATAGCATCCCATCAAAGAAGGATGACTGATACTCGAAGTCAGTTGATAATACAGAACTTGAGATAAGCCTTTTCCTCACTTTACTGAATAACAAGCAATTAACTGAGATCTACTTTTACTCTTTGACTATCTATTTGATGGAGGCCAGCACATTTAAAGGATTTAATAAGGAAGACAACAAAATTTGAAGCTTCCCATACAGGAATTACTTTCTTTATCATAACTGGAACAGAGTGTCTTGAGCAAACAAGAGCCATCTACTTAATAAATTTTAAAGCTGATGGTGGGTGGACAATTTTGATTTTTTCAAATCTCAGAAAATGTTAAGATTTTTTTATATCTGATAATAATTCCTTAAATTTTTCATTAATTATATAATTGCTGACTCAATAAAATGAATAATTACCCAGTGCCATGCACAACAAGGCAGCCAAAGAAGACAACAAACAAATGGTGAGTGAACCAAAAAGTCTCAAAGTAGGATCTCCTGCATAGAAGAATATATTAAACACAACATCAGACAATGATACTTCATACAGAACTTTTTGTAGAGACTTAAATTGTTGTGACATAAATTTTTGAATCAATGTTTCTGATCAGAAGTAAACCACAGCTGCTCTTAAGAGGAAAATCTTTGTCCATAGGCTTCAATGACATGTAAAATATTAAAAGCTGAGTTAAAAAAAAACTGCTCCTTCATCAATACAAAAACTCTCAAAAAGCTTAAAAAAAGTCAATTTTAAACAATTAAAAGCAAACCTTATCAGTTCAGTTGCTGATGATATCATGAGAATTAATGACAATGTCATCACCACACCTGTGACCCCAGCCACTGCATTAAAAAAAGGAAAATATTATAGTGACCAATACTGTCAGAAATAAGTAACTTGAACTTCTACGACTGTCTTTCTTTTTCTTTTATTTCAATCTGAGGTAAGTTAGTTTCACAACTAGCATTTTCTCATACCTGTCTGAAACAATCCTGATACAGGATCCTATGGATTAAAAAAAAAACAATACTCTCAAAATATACTTTATTACAGTTATTGAGATCCAAAAAAAAAATTGAAATAATTCAACTTGTTTTTGTCAAATAACAAATGAAAACAATTAATGTATCAATCATATAATATTATGTCAACTGATCGTTTGATCCAAACAGCTATTAATCCTTTAACTCCCAGAAGTGATTCCAATATCAGATGTAACTTCTCATTGCAATTCAAATATGTTATCTTGAAAACAAGTTATGAGAACAGACAAGCTGATCAGCTTAAGTTAGGGTGCTACCTTGATAAAACACCAAATTCTCCTGTTAAATTTACAAGGGAATGTAAAGCAGCCAGTCAGGAGAATTACTAAATTTTGTTTTGGGATTAAAGGATTAAAGCTCAATCATACTTTGCCTTAAATGATACAGCCATAATTTCAAAAAAATTAATTACTATCTCCAATAAGTCGCAGATCTCAATACCAAATAATTGCTTTCAACTTACAACTCCAGATTCTCTGATAGGATTTAGCCAAGGGTTATCTAACTGACTCAGATGCTGTTCAATCTCTGTGTCTGCCTTTGATTGGCTCTCAACAAGGTTTGTCAAGTTGAAACAGTGGCCACATATGTGAACCACTGTAAACAAGAAACAAATTAAGCAAAAATATTTTAATCAATTTTTTAATGAAAAAGAAGGCATCATCATTTACAATAATATTCTCTTCCATATAGCAATTCTCTTCCACTTATTCTTGCTTTCAGTTTTATTGACTTTAGGCAATGAAGTAACTAGATGCAATTTAGAAGTGCTCTTCAACTGAGTTTTGATAAAAAAACCAATGAAAAAACTAAAGCAATTGGACTTGATTATCACAATGAACATAGAAGATACAAGCCTTGGGAAAATACCCCTAACTGAAACTAAGGCGTAGGGAAGTTATGATTAACCTCAGTACTTGCCAACATTATTCAATCTATACTCATTACGCATAAATATACCATGGATAGCCTTGATTCACTCACCAGTGAAAAAGCAGATAGTGTAAGCACAGTACTTATGGAAAGTTATATTCTTGTCCAAAAGGCTTATAATGCTTCCACACCAACCACACTATGAAAAATGAGAATTCTTTTTATGCTGCTTTGACTTCCATGAGTGACCAAGACAGAATGATCCTCCTTACAATGTCAACACAATATCAAGAATACAAGTGATGCAAATAAACATATCTTAAGATGTTTTGGTGTGTAGAATCACTGAGTATTTTACAAGTTGCCCCATATTTTGATGAGCCCATATAGGACAAGTAAAATTAGAAACATTTAGTAAAAATACCAAGCAATACTTTATACACACCAAAACTTCTAATAAGTTATTTATCTTCCTTTTGTTTCTTTTTCTGCCAGGTGTTTCTGCCCATTTTCCATAAGTTGGGAAAAGCAAAGTGAAGAGAGAAGCTTAGCCTGTGCAGCCCACTGGTTAAACAGTTTTTTTTTCACAATACACAATAACCAACTGTACAATATCACAGGATATTTGTACTCTACTTTGTGTAGTTAGATAATAAAAGAGATGTATCAATTAGAGGGATTATAGGTTGATCCAATACCAAATTCTCTGATGGAAGTAACTTAACAAGAATTGTATGACACAAAATATGGAAAATTTCTTATGAGATCCTGGGAGAGAAAGGGTTAAATACAACATTTCTGTTAAAACTGAAGTCAAGACTGAGTCAGATTTCTTGGACAAACAAGATAAGTCAAGCTTGACACATAAACTCAACAGTAAGACTAATCGCAAATAAAACTGACCAATCACATAGCAGCAAAACTTAACCCCTTAACTCCCACCAGTGACCAAGACAGAGTTTCTCCTTACAATATCAATACAAAATCAAGGATACAAGTGATGACAACCAAGAAAAGTAGAATTAGGGGATTATGAGTTGATCCAATACCAAATTCTCAGAGGTAACATCAGGAGAATTATAGTGGACAGAAAGGAGAATTACTAATGAGATCTTGGGAGTTAAAGGGTTAACCTGAGAATAATCACAAAAAGTTGGATCCCATCATTATCTAGTAAACAACATACATTGAGATTACTTCTGATAAGAGAGATGATATTACGACACATGGATAGCAGGATTAACATGCAGTTGAAGTTCAACACCATTGCTGCACCTCGAGCAATAGGGAGTCCACCCTAGGAACAACAAAATCATAATTATTTAAAATAGAACAAAGTAGACTTTTCAAAATCTGAGATAAATTGGTTTTTATTTTAACTATTAAGTGGATAATGTAAATTGGCCATTGTTAAGAGTTTCCAAAACTGATTTCTCTCATTAAGTTGTTTGCTAAATGCAAGTTTAATGCAAAAATTAACTTATTTATGAATCTATCAAAAAAGGGAATTAACAATTGTGAAATGGCTCTTAAAAAGTGATTTTGCTGAACCAAAATCAAATTCCCTTTTAATCCCAGAAAAACTGATTAAATTGTCATGTCCAAAGTTTGGAGTTTGAAAGTAGACCTCAATTTTTTTAACTAATGAAACAGCAAGCAAAATATAGCCTAGACATCTTAAAATCTGTTGGTCAGAAAAATCAATAAATAAAATAGAACAGTACCTTGACAATAATCCTCAAATAATGATACTTTTTTGTTGTTCCATATTTCATGTATGTTGAGGCAAAGAGTGCAACATTTATAATCATCCATATCATCTGAAAAAAATTTTTCAGTTATTCATAACTTACAATTGAAAAAAAAGATTTTTAGTTTGTGAAACAAAAATGCATTGAAGTATAACTTAAAGCCACAGGGAAGACCTTCTGCCAAAATCAGACAAAATTACAAAACGATTAAAGAATCCATCTCTAGCATTGCTTTTAAAGGGTACCAGCAGATTTTTGCAGAAAATATGCACACCATTCTGATAAAGAGAGGGTCATTGAAAATTCATATGGAAAGGAGAGGGAGGGGAGACAGTGGGGGTCTCTTTAATGCTAAATTTTATAAAAGAATTAACCGGAAAAGACTGAAATTATCTAGAATCTAGGGGGTAATAAAACAGACACAAACCTGTGTGGGAGGTACAATTCTATTGAAACACAAAGACCAGACTTACAATAATCATTCATAAATGTACTCTCATATTTAAAACTATAAATATTAATTGGGGTTTCATTCCCACAATCTACAGTTATGCATTATCTTGGTCTTAAAATCTTTTCGAAAAAGATGATCAACTGATTAACAAATCAAAAACTAGAGTGCTATGATGTTAAGTAAAATTTGTCACGCTTAGAGGAACAGACATTATGTTAATGATAGACTGCTGCATGGTATGCAAATTTCAGAGATTCTGTCAGTTGTTTAGTTTGCAGCAAACTGTTTTCAATTTATAACTTTGTAAATTTATATTTTTTTTAGGTTGTAATGGATAAATTATGTTTTCTAGGCTATTTTTTAATAGAAAACATATTCAATACTAAAAAATTAGAGACTGTTCAACTTTTCATATGTTGAGGGATATTCAAGATATTTGACTTTCAGATTACAATGCCTGAATGATTCTTCTGTTCTTTTGAAGAGTACAATCTTCAATTCTTCATTGGACCAAGATGAAAGCATTTGACATACCGGTATTACTTGAATATAATTCCTTAAGCATTCTGCCCATAATAAAATAAGGGTACTATGCTGGGCAATCAAAGTTATCTTTACAAAGATTGTTTTTTATTTAGACTCAGTAACAGAAAGATAATGTGTTTACTAAGCTAAATGTAATCTTTCCTTGTGCAAACTCTAAAAGTAAGTCATTAATCCTGTCTTGAACAATATCAAAACACAGAAAGCCACAGAATATTGGCTTGTTGAAATCAATGAGCTGACATATGAAGTACAAAGCAGTTGATGCAATTTCTCAAGTCACAGAAGCTCAAAAAAGATAGTGTAGATGAAAGTGAACTATAAAAAACATTTTTCATGATTTTGATGATTTTGTACATAAATATTTTTGGAAATTTTATGATTATTTTTACAAATTTAAACTGTACCAAGCTTTGCATGTCTAAGCACAAAAGTTTGATCACAGACAATGAATCACTCAACATGCAAAAACACAATTCTGAAGTGTGGGTGTCTAAGAAAAAGTGATACTGTTTACCATATTGTACAAAAACCCTATGGAATAGTTAGTCAAATATATTCAAAGAAAATTATATTATTCAATCTCATGTAATTTTAGCAAGATTACAAAGCCCTATATAATTAATGCTGAATATAAACACCAATAATTAAAAACTATGACATCATGAACAAGCTTTCAAAAATCTTCACAAAGACTTCTAAAGATTTATTGTTTGCAATGCATCATTAAATAAAAATATTGCGCTCATTTCAGATGAACAACATTCACAATAGAAGTAAAAGTTTGTCGACTGGCCAAAAAGTTTAAATTAAGCATCTAAAGCTATCTTTTTATTACTTTATTGCATCTGTTTTAGGATCACTAGACTCAGGTGATCCTTATAATCTGATTGGCTCTCAGCAGTGTGATTAATTCACTGACCCCTTGTCTGTTCTGATCTAGAAACTTAAACAAATCTTGAATTGATTAATTGCAATTTTCCACCCATGCGGCACTTTAAGTCAAGGGCTCTTAAAGCTCCCTGACGTATGGTCTTAATTCTGACTGGCTGGAAATTAAGATTACTTCAGGTCTGGTCGTACTAAATAGAATTGATGAGAGTGCTGTGAGGAAATATTCACAGTGATTCCTGTTGATTAAAGAAGTTCATCATGGAAGACTAAAAAAAGGACTGTCATTCTTACTTAGAGGCTCCTTGTTTCGTGTTTAAATTGAATGCCTGTAGATCCCTGACTAACTTCGTTCAAACAGCTCGTCAAACAATAATTACAATGACTTTCAAATTGACACTATCAATACCAGTTGCATGTTTACAAGTTCCAATGAATCTGAAGGGCCTCTTGAAAGGTAATCAAAGTATTTACGTCAATCTCCTTACAAAGAAACATCTCGGCGAGCTGAGCGATGTGAAAGTTCCGCTTTTGTTTTTCCTGTTCGATTTTCTCTAAACAGAAGATGGTACCTGACCATCAAAATTAAAACCATTGCAGTAAGAAATTTTACACGAAAAACACAAATATAAGCTGTAGATAATCGATTTGCCCAAACAGTGTATTCTAATTATAGCTTGCATTGTCTCGCAATCGCGGAAACGTCTGCTTTGAATCGAAAACTGTGCGTATGGGTGCATCGAGCTTAGACAGACAGGACACTCAAACACATTAACCCAATAGGATAAGTTACCTCGGGTTAAAAAACGAAATCATCTTGGAGTAAATCCCATTATCTTTTCAAATAAATCTAGAAAAACAGCTATAAAGTTCCGCACATACCACAAAAAGGTATCTTGCAATGTCATTTCTTGAAAAAGCCATTAGGCTCAGTAGAATTGGCTCGTTTTGCCTTGAGAATCGTTCCTCCCGTTTGAAAAAAACTCTGCAAGTGGAAACACATTATAAAGTCAACTTTTCTTTCAAAAAAAAAGAATTTCGTGTAAGTTTAAAAATAGAAGGCATTGAATTTGTGACGAAAACATCGTTGTCATTTGACCTCGAGACGATGGTAGAATTCAAATCATATTTACGGGAATCTAAAAAGATACTTACCCTCTGCCGATCTGTGTACAGACGTGGAATCACCACCTTACTTACTCGGTATCTAATGCGGTTGTGATCAGCTGTTCCTTATATTGGACTTGCTGTTCCGCTTATTTGACTGTCCTTGCATGACTGCACAAACGAGCAGAGGAAGGTGTCCGTGACAGCTCATCTGTCATTGTGAACTCAAGCTAAGTTAAATAAATAAATTTTTAACTTAAATAATAAAGCAGAATTTCGGCCCTATTCGTCACGATTTAAACATACAAACAGTTTCCTCTCTTCTTTTGGGGTAAAAGACGACACTGTCTACCTGTTTGGGTCCTTTTTTTTTGTTTTTTTGTTTTTTTGCACTTTCTCTTTTCACTCTACCCTCCAAAGGTTATTTTGAGCTCGAGCCAGTTCACCTCCATTGAATGTGAATAGCTTTTTAAAACGCCTGGTAGAAATCTACCGTCGCATGCTGATGAGACGCTCTGTAAATCTAATACTGAGTGTCCTCTGCGGAAGGTCAGACAAATCGCTTAAAATTTCACGATGAAACCGTTTTTTATTGAAAAAATCTTCCGCCAGCCTCTTTTACGGCGCACCTTTTCTCCGTGTCATGTCAATTATGTTCGTTGTTTGGCCTCAAAGCCACGAAACACGAGTGAATTGACTGGAGTGACAGGAATCAAACGGAAAGGTGTCAAGAAGGAAAAGAAACATGATCCAGATGAAGAATTCATGCAGCTGTGGAGTACTACAGAGGGATATATACAAAATGTTTTTAAAGAAAGAAGAACAGGGATCAAGTCGACAAAGGAAAATTATAGAAATACGTTTGTGACTCCAAATGTCACCACCCTGCCCATTGCAAGTGAACTGACTAAGGAGGAAAGAGACGACCTGCTCGATGATGATGGGACGACAGAATTCAGGATTCCCACAGCAGAGGACTTTGCAAGGCTAACTCCAGTATACAAGAGTTTGACAGAGGAGGAATTAGATGATGAAAAAATATTTGGAAGAAAAGATGAGAGGGATGAAGAGGAAAGGGAAAATAAGGAAGAATCAGATGTTATTGATACTTCTAAAATTCTATCATTTGAAGACTTCAATCTTCACCCAAAGCTTATACAGAAGCTGAACATTTTTGGCATTGTCACTCCCACTGACATTCAAAAACAAGCAATACCAATAGTTTTAAAGGGAAAGAGTGTTCTTATTCAATCAGAAACTGGATCCGGTAAAACTATGGTATTCTTATTGCCTACTCTGCAATCTCCTGGAAAAACCTTTGGCACAATAATCATTGCACCCACAAGAGAATTGGCAAGTCAAATGTTGTTTGAGGCTCGTCGTCTTCTCAGTGATAAAGCTATTGTGGAGTCTTTTGTGAGTTATCCTAAAATGTGAAAAATGTAGCTTACAGCTCTATGTAATCTAAGCATTTATTTTTATGTGGGTCAAATTTAGTGGACCACTAAAAAGTTATTGGCCTTTGATATAAATGAAAATCCTGTTTTTTGGAATTTAGATAAAAAGAATCAAAATTATTTGCTTGGTTGCTTTTATAATCAGAAGTAGGTATAGTGTAATAGGTTTGTCTCAAAGAACGAGTGTCTGCTCTTAAATCACAAGGATGTGATAGTTTTGTAATTCTCCTCTTTAATTGCTCTATATCCTTATAACTTGTTAACCCTTGAACCTCTAAGAGTGACTAGCATCAAATTTTTCTTCTCATTATCACCTCTGCATCAAACATTAAGGTCCTGAGAATAAAGGAAATGATTGCTAACTAAAGAGACTCTTGAACAAATAGTTGAACAAACTCTTCTTGACAGCACCTAAGGAAATGTGAAGAGAATAGTGTGGAGAAGATGCAAATTGATGTTAGGGTGTTGAAGGTTAACACTATGAATACAATAACAGAATACTGGTGTGACTAACATTTTTAACACGGAAAAAGCACAATATCCCTTTGGGTATCAATGCATCATGATTTTCGACCCAATCATTCTCTCGGCAAGTAGCTATGTATTAAATTTTCAGGGAGGATGGTTACTTTTTTTTCAGTTTTCTGTCTAAAATAGGGTTATAAAGTGCAAATGAGAATTGATAGTCATCTAACTCAAAGAGTTTCCCTACTCTTAAAACCTAAGCATTCATCCTTCTTAAGATGAGATGATATTAATTTTTTTCTTTATTTAGGTGAGTGGTGTGAATTTGAGTAAACAGGAGGCAAGATTGAAAGATAAGGCAAAGAAACCTTTGATAGCTATTGGAACACCTAAGAGGATTCTTGAAATAATTGAGAAAGATCCTTCACTGGTGCAACGCTCTAAAAGGATCATAATTGATGAAGTGGACAAAGTTCTTTTGCCACTTCATAGGAGGTCCTCATTCAAGAAGCTCACTCATCGGGCAAACTATCCTAGAGCAGCTAAGACAGTGGTGGAAAAAGTTCTTCAGTTATCTAAGGTGAATTTAGTGAAATTCATCCTATTGATGTTCAATCAGTCTCCTTCATATCACTGATGACTGTGTGAAATGCAGCAGCTTGATCTTGAAGTTGATGGTTGTATTCTCCAATGACAAAAAGTTTCTCTTTGCTTTGCTCTGGGATATAAAGCACTTCTTTCATAGTTCCTCCCTACATTTGGTGTGGACTTCTCTGTAAAAACTAATTTTCTTCTATTTCTATCAGTCTTCTTCATATCACTGATGACTGTGTGAAATGCAGCAGCTTGATCTTGAAGTTGATGGTTGTATTCTCCGATGACAAAAGGTCACTCTTTGCTTTGCCCTGGGATATAAAGCACTTCTTTCATAGTTCCTCCCTACATTTGGTGTGGACTTCTCTGTAAAAACTAATTTTCTTCTATTTACCGCTAGATTACTCTATAGCATTTTTTTCTGCATTAGTTTGATTTGTTTTTGCATTTGGTTCATTCTGTATAATGATCTTTAAATTAGTGTTAGTAGTGCTCAGTGATTCTTGTAAATCAGCTTATGATTTGTAAACTAAATCCTATGGTGTTGATGAATCAACTTTCTCATAGCAGTTATTAACCTTGTATATGGCATTTTTCAAAGCTTTGGTATTTACAAGTACTGGATCAGTTTTATAGGGCATCAGGTCTGTTAGGGCAGAAAAAAAAATCCTTTTGGCGATCAGAATTTTTCTGTCTCTTTTTTTATCAAAGGTTAAGCACATCCAGATGATTGGAGCTTCTGCAACTGTGAATGATGTTCTCCAAGAGGACCTGACAGAAATTGGCTGGGGAGATCATGTCAAACTTATACAGTCATCCACGCTTGAAGGACGGCCTTGTAAAGTTCCTCCATGCATTAAACACCAATATGTTATTTGTGATGAGTCTGTGGGTCTTACCAAAGCACAGGCACTTGCCAGGTAAAAAAATGACTGTGTAATTGTAAATTATTCTAACACATTAATTTACAATTAGGTTAAAACCTCTCAAGACCCTAGCATCAGCATGTACAAGGACAATTTGGTTAACAATCAAGAGCTTCTTTACTGAAGTGATCATTTCCTTTATTCTTGTGACCTTGATGTGTGATTTAGAGGTAATACTGTAGGGAGAAATTAGATGCTAGTCACTCTTTGTGGTTAAAGGGTTAAGTTAGTGATCATTTCCTTTATTCTCATGACCTTAATGTTTGATTTATGGGTGATACTGTGGGGAGAAATTAGATGTTAGTCACTCTTAGGTGTTAAAGGGTTAAGTTGGTGATCATTTCCTTTATTCTCATGACCTTAAATGTTTGATTTATGGGTGATACTGTGGGGAGAAATTAGATGTTAGTCACTCTTTGTGGTTAAAGGGTTGATTGCAATTTCTTCATGTGTAGACTTATTTTTTTTCTCAGAAGGGTTCTCTAGATTTTTAATGAAACAGTGAGCTGCAAATAAAGGAATTTTTTTTAAAGATCTGTTCAACTCCAAAACATGAGCTGCCATTGTAATTACATCACAAAAGATCACAGGCTGATATTTTTTCAAAGTCAAAGCAACTAGTCTTGCTGTGATAAAAAATTTAAATTATATCACTGACAAGATTATTTTTCATTTTAATTACGTCCAATTCCTATAACAATCCATTTATTCTCTTATTCCTAAACATAACCATTGTAAGGACAAATAAAGTGCAAAAAGTTTCTCACATATGTTGATTATGTCTTTCACAGAGTTTTCAGAGAGTCAGGCCAGAAATCTGGTCTGGTGTTTATTCACCGTCTTCAATCAGTTGATGACTTTGTCTGGGAGTTGAGAGACCTTGGACTAAATGCTGTAGCACTGTATCAAAAAGTTGCTAATCAGGATCCTGAGGAATATGAGAAATTCCTCACAGAGTTTCAAACTGGACAGATCAATGTTGTGGTTGGCACAGAAGAAACAGTGAGAGGTCTGGATTTCAAAGAATTGGACCATGTGTATTTAACAGAAGTGGCCAGAAATATTGATGCCTATTTGCATCAAGCAGGGCGAGTTGGCCGACAGGGGAGGCCTGGGACTGCTACAACATTAGTTTCAGTACGAAATCCAAGAGATGAGAAGAGGATGCAAATGGAGTACCGTAGACTTAATTTACCATTTGAAAGGATTGTTTTGTGAAGGGATACATTTAATGGTGACTTGCAAAATTTGTGAGTCAAAATATATTTGAACAGATACCACATAAAATTTTCTGTATGCGTGCCTGCACTCAGTTTTGAGTAGTGGAACTCCATCAACAACCCTACTAAACCTACCTGGAAGAGAGAGTACCTGGAATACTGGTAACATATTTAATAAACAATATAATATTCTTTTCATCAGTAATATCACCAGCTGTACATAGCCATGTGAGAAAATTGATTTAATAAAAATGGAAGATAGAAATAACCTTCACCATCCTACATAGCGGTATAGCACCACTCAGTACTTCCTATAATTTTAAAAAATGCACCAATACATTTCAGATATGAAATATTGTAGATTGCTACATATTAATCACCTCAAAGCATAGCACAGCACTTGCATTTATGTCTGATAATTACAGCGACAGAAGTATTTCTGCTCAAGCATTGTAAAGCTCTTGCAGTAACAGATGAGTCAAAATGTTCTGAGCACACACCCTCACATTAGTGGATTAATAATATTTCTTCAATATTCAAAGAAAACATAGTTGTAATATTACGGTAATGATGATGACTTCTTGTTAGGCACCATTTGGCTTATTGGTACTGGGTGTCAAGCATTGGCATGTCTTCCTGATAAGCATGCTTAAGCATGATGACAAGTCTGGATAATGCCTGATCTTCTAAAACCACCTCAATATTACTATTAAAACCCTTTCACTACCAAGAAATGATTGTTAATTCTCCCCTCTAGGTTCTATACATTTCCTTGTAAGATAATTACAAGAGTTTGGTCTTAGATCAAGATAACAACTACCTGATACATTTGAGTATTCTCATTACCTGTTTGCTGGATAGTGTATGGACGTTGTATGAAGAAGTTCCATGTGAATCACTTCTAAGAGTTAAAGCGTTAAGATCAACTGTGGAGTTTTTATTAAAAAAAAAGGCCATTTCTGAGTTCTGAAAACCATCACTTTCAAGGTGAAGCCAAGTGCAAAATCATCCTTAAACCAATTTTATATCAAAGTCTAACAACAGAGGCTTTGGACATATCAAAAATGGAATATTGTGTAATCTTCGTTAAGCCACTAAGCCTTGTTTCTTGCTGCTATCTATCAGTACACTTACTTTTCATTTATGCCTCGAAATGCCTGAATTAGTTACAGTTAAGTATATATTATTTAATCCTGAACTGTTCTAAAAATATGTAGCAAACCTTTAGTTCTTAAGCCATCAAGAAAAATCTTTTTGGCACTGATATCCAATAAATGATTTTATCATAAATCACTAATGATCACATTCTTGTAATTTCTTAAACCTTAAACTATCTTTGTACTGCAGGATTCAAAAGAGGTTAATGGAGCAGCCAAACATTGTGATGGCTACAAGGATTAAAGAATCTCTCATTGGTGTTTGATCATTGAACCTCAAGGAATAATTACTCATAATGCTCCATTGGGTTTTATGTGGTTCTCACTTTTCCTGGGACATAATTCTTATCTATAATGGGTTCTGTAAGGAACATGTGCAAACAACGTTCATTCTGGGCCAGAGGATGTCCAGACACCCTGGAAATCAAACAAGACAGAACATTATTGAGATGACGATAATCAGATGAACCTGGTACATCTTTTACAGCTTCAACAACAGGACACAATAAAACTAGCTGCTGAAAAAACTTAAAATGTACCATCTTACTGAAATTAATTTTAATCTTCACCCAGAACCTAAGATCATATTAAATGGTCACAAAGACTAAAATTTTACCCTCCAAAAACAAACCCAGGAAAGGGCACTTTGTGCAAAGTTTCAAGACAAATTATTTTCCTTATCACACTCCTTTAAAATATGCAATATGGCTGCTAATCATAATTGGACCTTTGCACAGAGGGGAAACCCTTTACACCCTTACATCAGTATACATATTCTCTACAGTGTTCTCTATACATTCCCTGTGGTGCTGACAAGGAGATTTGTTTCACAATCAAGAGTCACAATCTTAGGTTGATCATTTCCTTTATTATTGTGACCTTAATGTGTGATTTGGGTGATATTGTTCAGAGAAATGAGATGCTTGTCAATCTTGGGAGTCAGAGAATGAATAATCGGACACACAGGAAGAAGAGGCAAATTTTCTTCGAAGAAAATGATGGAGCCCTTTATATTTTATGGGATTATAGTCAAGTTGCTGACAGTTCAACTTGCCAATGCCAACTCACCAACATATAAAATCGGGTAAAGATGTTTGCAAGTTGGTCTTCAATCCAGTAGAACTTATTAGAAGTTAAACATATAGAAAAGTAAAAGATCTTTAGTAAAAAAAACTCTTTTTTTTCTTCAACAAAGTTTAGAAGGGTCTCATGGTGAATAAAGCAAGGTAAACATCACCAATGACTATAAAAGCTTCAGACGCGAAAAAGTTAATGTGTGACAATAACACTGTAAAGACTCATCATGTCAATTGGTCAGATTTTTAAAAGAAAACTTGGCTTTCTAGACAAGATCTTTAGTAAAAGCAATTCTTTTTATTTCCAACAAAGTACATAAGGATCTCAAGGTGAATAAAGCAAGGTGAACATCGCCAAGACCAAAAAAGCTTTAGACGTAAACAAGTTATTGTGTGACAACCACAGTGTAAAGACTCATCATGTCAATCGGTCAGATTTTTAAAAGAAAAAACTTAGCTTTCTAGACAAGATCTCTACTCTATTTTATACTCGATTTTATACCTCAGTGTGTTGGCGTTAGCGAGTTGACTTGTCAGCAACTTGAACTGGATACCATTTTATGCGCATGTTTATCTGTGTTTAAATCTGTACAAGATACTCTTCATTAAACATACATTACAGCTTGCTACACAAGTGCCAAACACATGTCTCAAATTGGTTCTTTTTATGCAAATTTATTTTAGTCTCTACAAATTATTTCTTACTTGCCATGGCATCATAATAGAAAATTACCAGGCTTTGCTGAGAACATATTCAGTACCTGTTAACAAATGCCTCTAAACCTTGCCTTCTTTCTTCAATAAAATCATCTTCAAAAATTCCTGAAAGGAAGGTGAATAGTGCTTATCAAACACCCAAATAAGGAAGTGGTTGACCAAAATTGACAACATATCCATGCTGCCTTTTCTTCCTAATAAGATTATTTCCTCAAATAACTATCTTTACATTTTGAAGGAGTTAACAACTGCATTGCTAAGTGGAGGTTGGGTGCCTGAAACATCCAGGAGCTTCCACTATTGGCACCTAGCTTTTAGATAGAGACTTCTCCCATGGCTGGTAAATCCTGGCAACCCAGCCATGAGCCCCTACATAGGAAAGGGAAACAGGCACCTGTCACACTGAATAAACTGTGGAAAGAGAGAGGGAATGGTTGGGGAAAACTGCCTGGACAATGACCTCCTCACAACACTGCAATTTCACTCTTAAAGCACATGCAAAAACACCTCAAACAAAGAGCACGTAGATTTCTGATGCATGTGCATCTGCAGAAAACTGCTGACAACTAGAGAACACTGATGCTCTTTGTTGTTACCTACACTAAATTGCATTTAACTGCATTTAAACAGCAAAAAACAAAACAAAACAAAACAAGAAATACATGGCTGCTGCAAAATAACCTCTAACAGGCTTATACACTGCAGAACTGTTCACTTTTACTCACAATCTACTGACGAACATTAGATAATTATAAATAATCAAAATGGTTGAAATAAAATTGAGGGGACTTCCCTCCTAAATTTGCATAATCAAGGGTTGAATGTACCAACAGCAAAATTGTAGTAAGTATACACTGGAAATCCAAGAGAAATCAATTTCAATTTCAGTTTCAGTGAAATGTCAAAGTAACTGGGGTTTTAAGGTTGACTAAAAATGAACAGTGTATAATTTCATGTATTGTACATAGAAACACAGGAAGCAAATGAGAAAAGAGAGCTGCCTCATACCATCATCTCCTCTGAATGGTAATTGCTTCTTAAATGCATCACCTGGAAGAGGAGGTACCACTATCTGGGAAGACAAAAGTTAAACAAAAAAATGGAGGGCATTACACTAATCCCTAGGTCAAAATAGCAACTAAAGATATAAAATTGATCAAAAGATAAGATATACCACATGGTTCCTATGGTGTGCAATATGAGCTTCAAGTAAATGGAGCTCATATCATTCTACTCAAAACTATCTGAATCTTTATTTCTGGTGTTTTGAGGCTTAGGGTACAAGGGTCTGTATTCCTAATGATAATGATGTCTGTAATTGTACCACAACTGAATGACACTTTTTGGTTGCAAAAAAATGGCAAAAGCAAAAACACCCTTTAAAAGAGCATGTTTTGGCCATAATAGAAATTTCCTAAATAGTTATTTCATGCTGTTAATTTTCAGCAGCAAGGTCTTCATATATCTGGTAAAAATGATATGATGGACTCTCAATTTCCATGGAAAGAAAGCATCAGTGCTCCTGGGGATTTAATATGATCTCTGGTAAGCATTTACATACAAAATATATAATGTCTATGCCCTCCTTTTGCTCAACTTTGCTCTATTGTTGGTCAAGAAAACTTACACCATCCAAATTATAACTGGGTTCTTTGATATTGACCTTTTGTTCTGATTGGCCATTGATGTTAAATGCATGTGAGTCTTGCCTTTGGTTTCACTAATTTTGATCCAAAAGTTTAACAAAGTTCATCAATACCTTGCTGTCACGTTCTAACTCTCCTCTTAGCCATTTGAAGTCACTGTACCGTCTCCTTACAGATGACTCTTTGACTTTAAAAACTGGGAGATTTGTCTGTTATAGAAAACAAAATATTTATGTAAATCTTTCCTTGTGTCTTAAACAACAGACTACTGATCTTGGCTTACAAGGAATTTTCTTAGGAATGGATAAATAAATTCTTAGTTACAGAAAGAGTATAATACCCCACCTGTATAATATATCATGGGTTAGGGTTTCAAAATAAAAGTGACATTCTTTCAGTTTCATAAATTACTGGCCTGAAGCTGAGTTTAAGTCTGATATGGAATAGCAATTAAATTAGCTTCCACAAGCAGGTACAGTCTACAATATTGCTCCAGTGATTAGAGATTTGTAAGGTGATCCATACGGGCTGTCATGGTTAGTTCCTGTTGAGATGCTCAGAACTTTGATCACAGTAGGAAGGGATATTGGTGATACAAACTCATGAGGAGATTTTCAAAGCTAAAATAGCATTGCATTTTCCAGCCTGAAAGACAATTTTTGCCTTGTGAATCGGACATCTCTTGCTTCTGCGCCGCATAATGTTCCAAACTTCTGGAAAATGCCATAACATCATTGGATCTCAAACGAGAACAATTATATGCTTCGACACTAAAATCATGCGATAATTTGTCATAATTTAGGTTACAAATTTCCAGAGCTGAGAAATCATTGTCATATTCAGTGATCCTGCAATCTGTGTTTCTTCCAAAACTTCAGTAGTAACTGTCAAACGTCGCCAATTCGAATCAATCACAGTTATACAGTTCGCTTCTGTTTAAATAGGATCAACTCTTTAGTAGATTGCATGTGAAGAAAAATAAACACGTCCTCAACTCGTATGAATGCATCAAAGCGACTTAAGTTAGCTTAACACTTATCTTTACAAATTAGAAACCCAATAAATTCTGTTAGATTGCGTTTCATTAAGACTATATAAGGATAATATTTGTACTAACCCTCATCCGCACTTCATAGTCGGTGTACCGTTTTTTACCGACTCCATGCGTCTCAGGATTGACAACATCGATCTCTAGGAAATTCGCTGGAGCTGCGTAAGCATCATCTAAGGTTTGTTTCTTTGCCTCAAGCCTTCGAGTATCAAGTCTATCTCCAGTTTCACTGGTGGTTGCCATTACCTCCTCTCAATCACAGCCCAAGATGTCCGCACAACTATCTCTTCCCAGTGGCCTTTTCGGATCAATTAGAGCCAGTCTCCTTGCAATCAACGGCTTTCAGATCAATGTTGTTATTTTGCTGGCCCGGTAACTGAAGGCGATTGACATAGGTGAAATAGAAATGCTAATTTTGTCGCATGAATAAGCGCTTTTCAGTAACTCTATTGATACTGAACACTTAAACATGCCTCCTAAGAAGAAATCCGGCAAAAAGAAATCTGGGAAGAAAAAGAAGGGCAAGAAGAGCGGTGCGTCAAAGGAACCAAAGTTGACAGTCGAGGAAGCTATCGTTGCTTTTCAGTGAGTTTTTTTATTTATGGAAGAGATTGCTTTTTACTTTACTGGTATTTCTTGTCGAATGTTGATTGTGCAGTTTCAGTGATGGTATTCCCAAAACATTACTTCATCAGAAATAAATCGATTTATCCTTTGAACAAATAGACTGCTAAGTACTGCTAAGCAACGAGCCATAAAGCCGTTAAATCTTTAATTTATTTTCAATACAAAACATAATTGCTGCAGCTAACATTCAGCAATGTTAGTTAAATGGGTCAACTTTGGACACCAGGGACAATAGACCATGAAACACCAGTGTCCAACTTTATTTCAGATTAAGTGGAAGGTTTTTTGTTTTGCTCTCCATTGAATGATATTTTCGTCGGAATCTTATGAAGTTAATGCTCTTTTTCTTTCACAAAAATGCAAACATCAATTATTTAGTGTCCCATCTCAATTCATTCAATTAAAAAATATAGCTCTTGCATGCATAGTATGCCTATGTTTATGAAATGCTCAACATTTAACTAATCTGTCGAACTAACTCGACTTTGCTGGAAGATATATATGGATGCTTTAATAGGGTCAACATTGTTATTTGTATGTTTTGTAACATGCTGACTATTTGCACAGTCTGTCAAAGCAATAACACTTTGCTATTGGTTCATTTTTGATCAAATTTCAGGATAGAAGTTAAACAGAGGAATTTTGAAGATCTTATGTATGATTTACAATCCCTCAAGGAAAAGAATGAAAGACTAAAAGACAGGGTAAGGGATGGAGTTTCTGTTGTATCTAGAGAGACACAGTGGCACTGTGACTTGGTTGGTGGACTTTCTGTAAAGAGGTCAGGGTTCCAGACTAGGGTGGATCATTGTGTTGTGTTCCTGGGCCTGAGGCTTTACCCTCACACTTGCTGTGAGAGTACAGTCAAATAAAAGGGAAGAAGGTAAAGTCTGAACTTGAGCCCGTCCATTCTGAACTTATCTCACTATAGTATGAAGCAAGTAGGAGTTTTGATACTCCCCCCTGGATGGGATTCTAGTCTAATGCAAGTCCCCCCCCTCCAGCATTTCATCAAGCTTCCTTGACAGTTCCTCTCCTTTACCCAATCCATTTAACCCCTTAGTCCTTAGTGGAGAGAGGCACAACAGGCCCGGCAAGATCTCGAACACAGACCTCAAGAACCAGAATCCATTCCACTGACCATAATGTCATTGTGTCTCTCACTCATCAAAAGTAAGTACTTTTCAACTGGGGTATGAAAAACTCGGCAATAGAAATTTACCTGTGGGTAGTTTACTCTTCACATATTGGTGGCACATCAATTCTGCATTTCACATTTTTGTTCATAACATTTCCAATGGTTATTATATAAGTCTGTTAAAAATTGCTTATTGCAGCTAAGTACAAGTAAATGTAAATTAACGTGAGTTTGTTTATTTAAGAACCAACGTCTCAAGGAGGAGCAACTACTGCATATTAAAACTCTTTTAAAACAAGTGAAAGAAAAAGATAAGGAAGTGGAGAAAGCAGCAGAGGTTGGACATGAACAAGTTGAGGCTGCTTTACTGCAAAAATTTGACTTGATGAAGACTGAAGAAGCAGAAGTTCAAGGTATAATATTATTGTGTTTTGCTTGATATGCAGAATGATCTATTAATGGTTATGAAACTTTATAAAATAGTGTGTGACTCATTGGTTTTTAGCATTTTGGCTTATTTAGTCTGTTTAAGTGATTCACACCTGTATTATCTCAGTTATATCAATGATGCATCATAATTATACTTCACTAGGATAACAAACTACACCTTTATTGCAATGCTCACTGAAATATGCTTGTCATAAATCTTAAGTTTGTACGTTAGACTGCAAATGTTTGTTTAAATATGTATCTGACAAACTTGAATCTGTGTATGGTTTATTCTTAATTCATTAGCACAAAATGATCACATTCAAAAGAAAGAAGCTGAAATAGAAGAAGTACGCAGGGACATAAGGAGGCTCCAGGAATACAGGGTATGCACTACATTATGTATATCAAAGGTTTAATATGATATTTAAAAGTTGTGTGTCAGGTCCATTTCAATTTGTATTAGAAACCTATAATAATTGTTTAAATATTTTATTTTGTAAAGTGTGGTAACTGTCATGGCAAGAAATTTGCAAGGTTTCAATATCTGTCAACATGTAACGCATACAGTAATGGTTAAGCTGAAAACTTACACATTTCAAGCTGTATATTTTTTTCTTGTTATGAGTATTGTTGTACTAAAAAGGCAAATATTATCCTTTCACTGATGGATTTTTTTGTCACTAAAATTTTGTTGTAACTAGTTGACAATCTACTATTGAAATAATGATTTCTTTAAGTTTTATCTTATTTGAGTTAAATAATAAATGATTATAGCCTGGTGTAGAGGTTCAGTTTAGGGGGATAGTGGAGGAAGAGCAAAAGGTCTACTGACTGAATGCCTGGAACAAGCTAATTGTTAATTTGTTAATTCAAATATTGCTTGTTAACAAAAAAACATTCAGCTGAGTTTGCTTAGTCTCTTGTATTGTTGTGTTACACAGGATGTAGGTGCAGAGGAACATGCAAAACAAATAGTGCTACTGAAACAAGATCTGAGAGAAATGCAGGATTCCCAGGATGACATTGCAGGTAAAGGACTCAAATTTGTATTTGTATTAAAAATGCAAGTTTGAGGAGGCAGTGTGGCCAAGTGGTCAGGGCACTGGACTTGTAATCTGGTGTTCCTGGGTTCAAGTCCTCCACCCTGCTATTCACTGAATTTGCTTTTGGTCACCTTAAGTTCTACTCCTCAGCTGCACTTTGTAAATAGCCAACTATTTACATTCCAATTGATATTTGAAAAACTACAATGTCATCAGCACTCTCTTCCTCCTTACAATATATATTTTTACATTTTTTTATTTTTTTTTTTTTTGGGGGGGGGGACTGATGTTACAGTTTTCCTTTGCAAAGGAAGTTTTACTTCCTTAGGAAAGGAAATTTGATACTTTCATTCATTTGTAAGTTTGAACCATTTTCAAAGTTGCTAGTTTAATTTATAGAAGTGTGCAAAAAGTTTTTCCTTGAAGATTTGTGAATTTTTTTCCCTCTGATTGGGCCATAATTGTAAAGTTTTTGTGTTCTAAATTGTAACAGCTCATCTAGAAAGAAGCTTAAAGATAGCCAAAGATGAAATTGAAACTTACACTGAATCAACAATCTCCAAACAGAAGGATATAGCAAATGAGGTATAGGCCACTGATAACATAATTATTTGATTTTATATTTTGTACTGCTTTATATTCAAACTTATTTGCCCACAGAATTTCCCCATTCTTTTTCATTAACCCTTTACACTCTAATATCAGGATGCTTATTCTACATACTGTTCTCCAAACATATCCTCAGAAGTTGACATGGAGAATTTGTTGAACAATCAAGAGCTTGTTTGATTGGTGATCATTTCCTTTATTCTCATGATCCTAATGTTTGAGTCAGGGCTTATGTTGAGAGGAGAAAGCAGATGCTGGTCACCAAAGGTCGAGGGTTAAGTGAGACTTTCCTTTAAAACAGCAAGTATACCTTTTTTTTAGAAAGCAACAAATAACTTGGACAAGGATAGCTGTGGGGAAATTTTGGACCACAGATGGCTTAAGAAAGAGGTTTAGTATCATGAACATTGAGTCTGAGTTCTCACAGATTTTATTTATGTCCTCATGCAACACTACAATTTAAGAAGTATTAGATAATTGGAAGGAAGTCTCCTTGAAGACCTCAATGATATCAACTATTGTAAGATGATTTGCTCTCCAAAAGGCAGAAGGAGGTTTATCCAATATAACAGGATTTGAACTGCAGACTTTAAGGCATACAGCCACCTAGTAAACATGATAGACATTGCTGCTATATTATTTGTCTGGGGTGCTGACTTGTTACTGGATTAACTATGCTCACTTTGGTGTGTGTAAAAAATTGAACCTCTAATTAAAAACAATTTTATTAGGTTGCTATTCATCGTGAAGGCCATGCTGACCTATCAGCAAAAGTAGAGGACTTGGAAAAAAGAAACTTGGAAATCATGAGTGAGATGTTTGACTGTAAGGTTGAAGACCTCAAGTTCACTCGGTCAGTCTTTTTTCTTTTGTGCTTGTAGCCCCCTAATGTAGGTGAATGTCATTTGGCCCAAGTTTCCTTCACGTTCAGAGTTGACTGATCAGTCTAAATCAGTCTAGTAGAGTGTGCTTGAATCTGGTTTGTAGCAGAGCAGTGGTCAAATAGGACTGAGATATAATATCAAGAAAGAAAGAAAGAAAGATGGCTAACGATAGTGGACAACTTTGAGACTGATTGCAAAGGAAGACTAAATTTTGTTTCTTTGAGGGCCATTAAGTCTTTTTTCAATTGATTATTAAAATTTTGTTTCATCTTGTTTTTGTTCATTTATTTACATATTTATTTATTTATTTTACTTTGTCGTTTGAATCATTTTCTTTCCTCTTGCATGCTGTGGTGGTAGGCTCTTTTTTAAAAGGCATAACCATCATGTTTGTAACTTGGGGAACATCACTTTTCAGGCAGTTTTATCTGAGTTGTATAGAGGATGAGGACAGTTCAGATGAAGACGATGTTGAAGATGATGGAGAAGAGGTGATTGCTTCGCATGGCGTCCTTGGAGAACAAAATGAAAAACCGGATGATCTGCTAGATAACTATTTCCTCCCTGGTGAGGATGATTTTCAGGTAAGTGCTTGTGAAAGGAGTTATTTCTGTTACAATGTTTTGACGTAATTATCCAAGTAACATGATACATTTAATGCAATTTTAAATCCCTTAAAAGTTCGAATATGAAAGGGGCTAGTTCATGATCACTTCTTTTTCTGTCAATTATATATTCTATATATTAGTTAAGTAGTGTTACCAAACACCGAAGAGGTAAATATAAAGTAAAATGTAATATGCATGGAGAAGAAACACACAGATTGAAAATAATTTACTTTCTGTCCAATTCAAATTCAGGACTCTCCGCGCCTTGGACCAATGGAACTACAACTTCTTTCAGTGATTGGCACAAGGAAACCAGTCTTCTCTCATCCTATGGACATGGACCCAGATGGACGCGAACTTGCCGCGTTACCGGGCTCCGCAGACTCATCACGGCCAGGGAACTACACAAGCCCTCGAAATTGGCCCATTACGAACACCATGCTTCAATCACTGGCCATACAATGAATACTTCATTCTTATTGCTGGCTGGTTGACCCGGCATGACGTGAAAAATTTCGTAAAAGGAATTGAATATATACAACGGAAGCGATGGTTAGATCAGGAAAGTTTCAACAGTTTAGTTGGCGAAGGATTGCACCTTTTTATTACTTGTAACTCGCTTGACAAATCTAAATTTATGTTTGTACTGTATATAAATATACATGTATTTATTTCACACTGGAGCAATTTCCTCGGTCAAATTTGAAACAAAGAAGAATAAAATTGTGCTTCCAGAGAACTTCGTGTATTCTGATTATTAAATACATTCGAATACCTCAACAAAATTCGAATTATCCGGCTTAGAACTCGCAAAAAGGAACCCTGGTGAATGCAAAAACGTGGTATGAGACTACCCTAAGGATTCTTTATCCATTGATCGATGGCTGATCATTGCACACTCTTGCTCCTTCCGCACATGTTTTCATTTTTACGGTTGCAACAAACTTAGGTTTTTGAAATCCCCTGACCTTTCCTTAACAAATGTTAAGTTTCCCTGACCAACTCCATCAACGATTTCAAAATTGAGTCCCTGCCATCCACCCACTTATTTAAAGTTTTAGAAATTCGCATGCAATAAACGTGAATTGGTAAAAGTGGAAAATTATTTTTCTTGGAAACCAAACATCAGCTCTCCGATTTCACTGAACAATGTTTTCCATGCAACAGGTCTTCTGTCCGTAAAATGTACCCGAGAACCTAAAATGTTGCAAAACGATGAAAATAGATGGAAAAGAAGGTAAATGATTTCATTCACAAACAAACTTGAGTTTATATCAGGGAAACGACATGCTTGACAGGATTCTATCAACTGTACTGAGCACATGAATGAGAAAGTGACAGACATCACCAAAAGTTATTTTAAGATGTTACTCAGACAGTGGACAACGTAACTCGCACTTTGCGTTCGTCTCGCGCTTGCTTCCGTTCTACTGAAAAACGCAAAAAAAAAATTATGCCTCAGTTGGCAGGCTAGTGAGAGAGGATTTTTATCGAAACGCTGACCGAGAAGGCTGAAAAATTTTAAATGAACGCCGCAGCATTTAAACGAGTTAACACGATGACCACGAAATGGGGTGAAGTCACAAATAACAGCTGAAGCTCGCCCGTCAGTCGAATGAAACGGTTTACTGAGTATGGATCTACGTCAGGGTACACTCAATGAACACTCACAAGAATTGTACAATGTTGGAAGAGGAATACTCTTTTTTATATAAGGACGTCTAAGTTTGGGGCTGAGGCTGAACGTTCTCACTTTTTTGCGATTTGAGCCTCAAAACGTTCTTAGCATGCTCTTAAAGTTGTAGTGTATTGTCTTTCATTAAATCAATTCGGACGTGACGGGACTAAGTACGACTACTAACTGGGTTGTTCTTCAGTGTATCGTGCAATAAGAAATCAAAACCGCATCACTAATGTCCAAAAAGGCCTCTAAGCATATAATTAATCGTCCTGTGAGACCACAGTTTGATGTTTCTTTTACCTTCATTTTAAAATTCTTACAAAAAAGGGCAAAATAGAGACGTTCTTAATTGACTCTCAGCCTAGGTATGTTCTTAAAATTTTGGTTTTATCTCAGCCTACACGTTCTTATAAAAAAGGTTCTTATATATAAAAAAAGTGTAATGAAAATGTTACTCCATACTTTCAGATGGATGTATCTTGCAAAGCCGTTGTAGTTGTTTTAATGGATACATCTTGTAATTAAACAACAAATTTCTAAAGTGATATACACTTCCAAGAGCTATGTAGAAGGAAAGTGTTTTAGTGCTCCACACAACTCCACAGAAATACAGGTATACCAATATACTTCTATACACATTGTGCAGTGATATACAACAACCAAAGCTTGCATCCTGCAAAAATCTAAATAAAAAAAAACATCAGTCCCAAAGATTGCAGAAGATTTAAAGTGCTGTAAATAAATACCAATGTTAATTGACAACAAAATATTTTTACAACACAAATTAAATAAATAACCTTAAATTAAAGACTGTCAGGGGTACCATTATTTAACTATATAATTTGAAAATAACACTAAAGAGTGAACGTTTAAAAATTGGGAGTTATGATCCAGGACTGTGACGAACCAACCGTTTGTTTTTGTTGTCGTTTTTTTTTTCAGCTAAAGACTGTGATGTCATTTAGTTTCCTTCCACGAATCACGTATGAACGTGTTCCTACGTGACATCCTAAATATATACCTTCCCTTGAAAACTTCAAATCTCTCTCCTAAAACCTTAAACTACTACTGACCTTAACAATGACAAAAACTGAAAAATCAACCCAGTTATGAAATATCATGATTACGAAGTGAATAAAATTGTAGACACCTTGTAAAAACTACAAAAGTGTAAAACGAAATTACCTCGCTTGATAACAAGTAGTCCAGTAATATGAGTAAAGTACAAAGTTGACACCCGTAACACAGAATTATTATCATTAATTTTAGCGACAGAATATTGGTCAACATTACAGATGATGTCTACAATTTTCTGAATACTGAACAGCATGCAGTAAAATAGTATTCGTTCCTTGATATGTTAATCATCATGGTCCATATCCGTCTTGTAACTACTTGAGGGTTTTTAAACGCAAGCGTGTCCATGTATCACAGTATCCCACTCACGGTTAGTATATACTACAATAAGACGGTTAACATAAGCCAATTCAACGTTCCATCTAAATAGACTGTTCTATAAAACACTCAAAAATCATCGCAGTAATCTGAGTAAAACCAAACACTTCCACTCCAGAGGAGTAAAATTGTTACTCGCTGCTGCTAAATGGGTTAGCCTTGCGACCCAAGGTGATTTTGTAGGTATGACCGCAACTAGTGCAACACGGTAATGCTTTCTCCTCCTTCTTGGGGATATACCAGCATCGAACGCAACGGATCCTGTACTTCTTGTACCTAATTCCACAAGCATTGCACAAGTGAGTGCCATCTTCCGCATCACGCCACAAAGGAGTTTTGAAAGTCCCGCAGGATGCGCATTCCTTTTCCACTTGGATCGGCGCTGTTCCCAAGTCCACATCGGACGGGCTTCTGTCGCTAAACATTGACTCGGGAGAGCTTTGAAGCTTGAAAATCGAAGGATTAACCCCTGGTGAATTGAGCCTTCTTCTCGATGTCTTACACTCGCGCATATCGAGCTCCAGATTTGAGCAGCGACGTCTCTTCTTAGAAGTAAAGCAACAATCTATCACCAGCTGCGCTTCAGATCGAGTTTTCAAACCGTTCTTCCCTTTCTTCAGCGTTGTTTTCATGTGGAGGGTGACACCTTTAAAGCCTGGATCACAAGGATTCACACTTTTAACTGGTTTGAGAGGTTTCCTTGGGCTCACTCGCTTAGCCAAAGTCTTTTGCGGGGTCTTCAGTAACACTGTTTTGCCGCTCTCGTTGAATACGTCATGAGACGTTTGACTTGATCCAGTGCTGTCATCGCCGCTGCTAAAAGTACAATACAAGTACATTTGTGTCAACTATGAAGTTGATAGGATATCATAAGATTTGTCAAAACAAGTGGAAGAGACTTTTTTTTGTTTAGGATAAATTAAAAGATTGCTATCAAACTGATTGACAACAGACGTTTACAAAATTGACAGCAAAATAAACATATCGTGTTCACGGTTTTCCGGAATTTTTCTTCGGAAAAATGAACAAACAACCGTAAAACAAACTATTTTCACCTTGCCCATGTGATCAAAATTCTTGGATGTCGAGCAATTACAACTCATTGTCAAGAGAAGAAAGGAATACTTCGTTTCGCAGCTTCATCCTTTGAAATGCAAATAGTCACAATGATTCCAAGTTAGCCTTCCTCTTTGTAAATGAAAAGGTCTCACTTTGGAAAAAATAAAGCTATTTCCACCTGGTTTGATTCTTTTACTAATTTCTACACAGCATTTTTTACCCTGTAGAAAATACGACAGCAAAAATTCTCTGAGGATCTATTCTTCACGAAGAAACAAACACGATAGAAACAATTTACATGAAATTCCGTGAGCACCAAAAGACAAATTGGTACTTCAGTGAAGATACACACATGATTGGACTTATTGAAAACATGAAAGATTTTGTCAGGCCTACTCGGAAAAACTCCCTGTCATGAAGATTTATAGCGTACCTCGAAGATGCAAATGCAGTGTTCGAAAAGATGTCATCATCGCGGGATGAACGAGTTGAGTCCGAGGAAAAGCCACCACTCTGTGCACGTCTAAGATTCTTTTCCTCGTTTAGAAGGGAAATGGGATCATAAGTTGCTCCACTCATGTTTGGGAAAAATCCCTCGTATTTCCTGAGATCAGCCATGGATTTAGGAACGCAATTCGAAGGAAAAATCATATGTTTTCCAATGAAAGAAGCCATGCTTCCAGTCGACTAACTATTCGTACAAAAGATCGCAGCAAACTGCAGACCAACGTGCAAAGCAACAAGTTTGAGTTCCGCGCCAGGCAGATGTCGACCAATCAGATCGTAGCAGTGTGGCGCGCATTTGTGGGGTGCACGGCGGCTTCCTAGCGATTTTCCCTCCTCTTCGTGAAACAAAAGAACTTGGTTTGTAAACAAAGTTCCCCATTGGGCGCTTTCTTCTTCTGTTTGAAAGGATCGTGTTTTTTGTAAAGGTTATCAGCATCACAAAGAGAAGCTCTACTCGGACTTTGAGCCATGTACTGTACTCGCAGAGTACAGAGAGTTTTGAAATAATCTAGCATCGGGTGAGAAGATCTTGGAGTTCTTTAAACTTTAACTAGAAATGATTGCCAGCAATGGTTATTTTGAAAACGAATGGGCCATTTTGGTAAGTTTTCCATAATTCCTGTAACCTTTCCATTACATTAACAGATAGAAATTTAAGAATTATTTACCACATTGATTTGGTGGTGGATCTTTCTTAGTATGTATGCTTTTCTGCCCCTTTTCATAGCTCATCATGGCTGCTCGGATCTTCATTTTTTTAATAAAGTGTTTGCCTTTGAATTAAGAAAGTCTGACGGAAGGAGGAACAGACTCACCCATCAGTAACATCCTTTTCAGTCCCGTAGGGACCATCATCTCGTTTTATTATCAAAATATAGTTTTACTAGTTTTGGTTGGGAAACTGCAACATTTTTCTAATAATTTATTTTTCAGTTTTCCTTTAACTTCCAGACACAATGGGCACGTTATTTTACACGGTAATTTTTAATGCACGCGCGCACGATGCAAAACGTTGTCTTTTCATTCATAACGTTGCCGAGGTAATATCGGCATCCAAGCAATCATTGAGATCACCAATCATTTCTCCTGTACCTCCGCCAATGTCAACTTTTGCATACCTTGTACAAATTGCAAAAATTTATACTTCAGCGAAACAGGAAGGCGACTCGTCGACCGATTCCACAAACACCTTCGTCAAGAACAAAAAGGAATGACAGACGCATCCAAATTAGTCCCTAGACACTTCCACCTCCCAAGTCATGTTGAGCAACATATAGCAGTCATCGGCCTCTCCTTACATCTAGGCAGTTTGGAAAGCCGCAAAACTCTAGAATAAAAATCCATATTTCACATCGGAACTCTTAATCCTCACGGTATAAAAAATAAAAAATTAAAAAATAACACTTTCCATTCAACTAATTCCTTCCTTTGTTTTTCACATTAACATGTTCCCACCAAGAACGTTGCTCTATCTTTCCATCTATTTACACCACAAGATAATATTTGGCTTCGTCAACTGATTTAATAATGTAAATTGGCCACGGTAAATTGTTTCAAAGCTGACGTTAGCCCTTTGTCAGAGCGAAAGACAAAGGGTTAACCCGGCAAAGTTCGCCCTGACAAAGGGTTAACGCTCAAAACGTTAGCTTTAGAAATTCTTTACGGTGGCCAATTAACAAACAGATTCCAAGTTGCCGTGCGTCTGTTCAGTAATAGATCACAGATGACGTCAAAATGTGGTAAGAACAAAAAAGTGGCACACAAGGCGCAGCCGAGTATGCCACTGATGTTCTTACCACATTTGACGTCCTCTGTGATCTATTACTGAACAGACGCACGGGAACTTGGAATCTATTTGTTTTATATAATAGAGAATTAAAATATACGGAAAAAACGTTTTAATGATGACGTCATCTATACGCTTGTACTCCAATAGATCATAAGCGTGAGCCAATCAGAATGCGTGCATAACTGAGCTTATTATATAAATTGTAATAGACACATTGGCTTGCTTTCTGATTGACCACGCCATCCTACTTTAGCTTTTTAGTTTATTGTTCATTCCTCCTCCTTTTTTGTGGTGCCACATTTGTTTGGTCTCGTGAAAAAACAGTTTGCAGAAGCTTAAAGCGAATAAAATTGAAGGTAGAAAAACGTTGATAACATCGGATTCAGCCTGACGGCATGGCTTCTACGATATAATTTAAATCACAACACAGGAAATTTTTTTTTTGGTCTTAATTTTTTAGCTTTTATTTTGATATCGAAGGGTCGCTGGAACTGAAAACTTTTTCATGCCCATATTACTTCTTCGCACCTAGACTTTGCCGAAACAAAACGAAATACGTGATACGAAAGACACGCAAAGGAAATGGCGATTGCGAGAGGCCTTCCGTGGTCCCTTGTATCCCTTGTGTCCTGAACTAGTCGCCACGCCACGCACGCTAGTTTCCACGCACTCCTATCTCTCCGAAACGCTTGTCAGCGGTGCCATCAGTATTGTCTTTGAAATTGACAAGGGTAAAACCAAAATGGCGGGGAATAGGATGGTGTCGAGGAAGTCAATTTTAAGAAAGTGAGCCCATTAGCAAGCACTTTCACTGGTCGCGGGTGGACCTTTTGGAGAGCTTGGTCACAAACCTAAGTAACATGACCACTAAAGCCGTTGTGCCGTATTTTTGCTCAAAGTATATGAGCCCATGATCTTAGTAACATACTTTGAGGGGAGAGGCAAGGCGGTTTCAACCAAGGGAAACTGTCCACCCAGTTAAAGGACACCTGCACTGGCTGTTATATACACGTAGAAATTTACTTAAAAGTAGCTTGCTTTATTTGTTATATATATATTATGCAAGCACTATGACTATTAACTTAAATCAAACGCCACTGAAACTGAAAGAAACAGCTGGAATAATTACTCTTTATGATCAAAAGACTTACACTTATATACAATGTTGCAATATGATACAGTTGAAAAGATATGGTAAAGAAATGTGTATACCAATATTTTGCCATTTAGCGAGGCTAGAAAAAAAACAGATTCTCAAAACATATGAGGAAATCGAAATCTAAAGATATGCGAAATATAATGAGGTAAAGTAACCAGTCTTACTCTTTCTGTAGCTAGAGGATAGACAGTAATAACACTAGTAACACTATATTGAAGAATTTGTTTACTTATTTGTTTCTAAAAACAAAATCTTAATGGGGGTATTTTCATCTCATGATACTAATTAGTAAGTTATACCGTTAGGAAAAAATCTATGTAACATATGAATGTATATCAGTCAGCATAGTAAAAAAGGAAAAATTTAAACACTGCATTTGGCTTCAGTGACATGTTCTCCATCTTTCATAATTTATCCTATCACAGATACCCATATTCTCTCCTCTACAACATCTTTCTCACGTGCAAGAAAATTTCTTGCCAAAAAATTTAATTCTGATGCACAAATAATTGTGGAGGATCTTTTAATCTTCATGTTCATCCTACGAAACACAAAATAGAAAAGAACATCACAATTTAAATAAATAGAATGGTTCCACATTGCTTTCAGGTAAGCCAGTGAACATACCTACAACTTAGAAATTTTAAGGGTGGGGGACTCAGGGGTTAAAAATTTTCCTTAACCCTTTAAGCCCTAGGAGTGACTAGCATCTAATTTCTCCTTACTGTATCACCCCTGAGTCAAACATGAAAGTCACGAGAATAAAGGAGATGATCACCAACTAAAGCAGCTCTTGATTGTGAAACAAATTCTCCTTGTCAACCTTTGCTGGTTTTAATTCACAAGTTTTCCACAGCTTCTTCAGTGATCAACTCAAAAGGTGACAGACAAGACAATACAAATAACTTACAAACTTGACAAACACCACCATCTATTTTTTGGTAACAACTGCCTACATATACTTCATTATAAGATACCCCTCTGTCTATTATTAAGTTCTAATACCTCTCCAAAGCTTGGTTCTCTTGACCTATGGCCAGCTTTTTTCACTCTTAACTCAATCCTGGAAAAAACAATAGGAAAAAGTCAAATCAAATAAAGATAAAAATTGAAAAAAGTGATTTTTACTTTAACTTGGAGCAAAGTCATTGTCAAAGGTTTCAGAGCTCATCACATCTAATGTCATTAGTGTACCTTCTCAGTTTTAACATGAAATCTGATTCTGCTATTTACGTGTGCCTCAACTTCATTACCATGCACATTACTAAGTTAAAATTGAGTTTTTCAAAGTGCTATCAGGCTCACTCCAGTCAGATTCAACTTCCCTTGTAACTTGGAATTTTTCTGAACAGCCAATTGGCTCTGAGTAACTCAACAATAAATATTACCTGTGTCTTTTGTGCTTTCTCTTTTTGTGGGAGCCTTAAATGAAAGAGTAAGAAATGATTCCACATTAATATAGAATGTTGGAAAATGAGTCTTTATCTTTAAGGAGAACTGATTGTTTTCATCCAAAGTTGTAAACTAAGATAAAGTAGAATGCTATTACTAAATTTTCTAAAAAAAACAATCAGGGTTAATACTCAAAATCCAAAAATAAAAAGGTCAGTGGACTTTTGTTACCAAACAACACAATAGTAAACAGCCACTCAGAAACAAAGCAAACCTATTAGGGAACAACATCTAATAGTCCGATCAAAATGCACCAAGGACAGTGTGCCAAAACAAACCAATAGCATTGAGCCCAAAAGCAACAAGCCCAATAGCAACAAACTAAGGTGCTATAAATAGCGACATTTAAACTTTCCACCTCATCACCTAAAAAAGACTAGCAGTATAGCTGTTGAAACATCACAGTCAATACAGGATTGATTAGCCTGACTCTTATATTGTGAGACAAACCATTACACGTTCACTTATCAACGTAATAGTACCCTGTAACTGGGAATATTTCTTTTTCCAATTCTTTTGTAGTCATACTATTTGCTAGGAGAAAAATTATCTACAATAAAAAAATCGCACAAATAATGAGATGCACAGTAGCATGGCAGATGCATTTTACCTTTGTGGACACGTCCAATGTGACTGTGCTGAAGATGAATTTGGTCTGAATGGGAAGATGGTTCCTCTACAACAAAATAATAAATATCCAAAGTCTTTGAATATTAGTTTTATTGGTATATGCCATAACAAGATGTTGAACATGCATGTCATCTGATTAACAACAAAGCTAAAAATTAATCATGTTATACAACCAGATTTGCTTGGATAAATCTCTTTTTTTCCCTTTAAGCTTCTTATAATCTTCAATGATAAACAAAATATTTAGCACAACTATTAAACTTACTTTTTTCAGGGAGTGGTTCAGCAAGGCCACCACCAGCTGCTATGGCCTAACAAGAAAACACAGAAGTTACTAATTGAAATTTTACCATAATATTTCATACTCCTGACATACATGTATGTAAAACTACTAACTTCATTTAGAAGTTGATGACAAGAGGTGAAACATCATGATATTTAATTTAACTAACCAACTCCCCTCAAATAAGTGCCTTCAGTAGATTAACACCTCTCCTTTTGGTCAAAATTTTTTAAAAAAGTAACTAATCTCCAATGAGTGCTTCCTCCCCATCCCAATTTTTGTGAATAAGTAATGAGACAACTGTGCAGCATGTTTAGAACTGGAGGTGTTTCATCACTAAAATCTTTTGTACATATTATTATATCATATTTGTTTTGACTTGTGAGCATGTCTAATTTGGAAAATAATCATGAGTTTCACAGTATGGTAACACTGATCCCTTCAATTTAACTCTGTATAATAAAATTTACCCTGTTTATGATTGAGCTCTAGTGCAAATATTTCATCACAAAATAAAAGTTTGCAAGTAGATCAAAGAAGATGATGCTGAGGAAGGTAATGACCATACCCCAGATGGAGATGCACATGCACAGAATGGATGGTTTTGATTTTTTTTGTGATTGAATTTGATTTGTTATAATCCAACAAGCTAGTTGGGGAGATTAGATTTATCAACAAAAGGGAAAATTTCAAGCATTTTGGTTTACTTTTAGTGCTTCTTCCAGCAGGTTTTTCAATTTGAGTTCCCGTGTAACTGATCAACATAATATCAAAATTTAAGTGCAAAAGCATCACATCATACATCATAAACAAAGACAAAAAAATAACTCTAAAAGAAGCTGTAAAATATTAATAGCAAGCTTACTGCATGAGATGTTATGGATGATTTGGAGAAGAGCCGTTCAGCATCTTTAAATTTTCTGTTTCTTCTTTCAACTTTTGTATTGGTTGTTCTACAAATTAAAGAAAAAAAAACCCCACAAACATTGATCAGGTCAAATCCAAACAACTACACACACATCACACAAGTCCTTCAGGCAAATTGTTGGAAAGAAAAATGTGGTTAACCATCAGTGTGCTGATCTATATGTACTTTATAAATTGCTTTAAGCAACTTTAACTGATTACATAGAACTTCAAGCTAATGAGGAAAAAGTTCACTTAACTTACTTATTAGTCAAAAGTCTGTCCCATCCCCTGATTATGTTCCCATACAGCTGTGTGTCTTCTAAATAACTTCCTTCAAATGCATATATCTGGCGCTCTAGATTGGCTAGGCTTTCCTGAAAAAAAATTATGGCATGAATAGACAGTCAGTCTTTATTAATTTCCCTGTATGTATAAGGAGAAAGGAGAATCCAGCATTTACATTCCATATTTTACATTGTACCAGGGGAATCCAAATGGATTTCTTGCTGTAAATATAATAGAAAAACTATTTATTATGAATCATATGTTAAGTCAATACAACCTGATTCACATGTGTAACAAAATGACAAGGGAACAACATAAAAGATGATAAATGTGACATAATATTTCTACCAATGTTCCTTCACCTTTGTCATGTTGTGTGGATCAGATTAGCGATCAATTGTTTATTTGACAATGTGAATTAAACAAGACTGACCCAGGCACTTTATATATAACCCATTATTTACATCCCAAAGCAAATCATCTTTCACACCAGAATTTGATTTGAATGTACACATGGTGCAAATAGACACTGAAAACAGTATGGAAAATAAGCTTTTCAAAAGTTTCTTCAGTAATTTAATCAACTCCTCATTGAGAATCAACTAGGTAATTGATGTGATATAGACTGAGCTTAGCATTTTGGAATGATATTCAGTCAAAACTTTCTGTTGGGCAAACAACAGCAGTCTTCAGGTGAAACAAAACACACAGAGACACAATTTATAAAGGAGATATCAACATCCCATTATGCATGATGCAAAGGAAACAGGGGCATTAGCATGCACAGTAAAACTGATCTAACTATAAAGTGGGTAAGTTTCAAAAGAAACTGTGGTACTGTGTTGGTGGGGGAGTGTAACAACATAATTTTGGTTTTATCACCTGAGTTGATAACATAAATTGGCCACAGTAAGGAGTTTCAAAGATGACGTTTCGTGCGTTATCCCTCATTAATAGCACTGATGAAGGGCTAATGTTCTAACACATCAGCTTTAAAACTCTTTACTGTGGCCAATTTAGATTACCAACTCAGTTGATAAAACCAAAATTATCTTGATCCTAGTTATACTGTCTTCTGTTTATATCTTTGGCGACTCACATGCACCATGCATGCAACTTATTTTGGGGCAATGAGTCATGTTCTTCCTTAATTATATTCAGAAAATTTTATTCAGGTTTCTCCTTTGAGGAGGAGTCCACAAAAGACCCCAATCTGTACTGATCAAGATTGCAAATCTCCTCCATACTGGCCAAAAATGCAATATAACATTGGACCACAGAATTGTATTGAAATATTCCTTAAAGGAAAACCACTGCTTTTTCACGTTAAATAATAACTAACAACTAATAACTAGAGGGTACGTTTGACCACTAATTAACCATGAAAGGGGTTGATTTTGGCGCCCTGTTTGGCTGACGTCATCAAAATACACGCAACAATTTTCGTAAAAATCATAGTAAAAAACGATGACCATACTCCCAAATTAACCCCTTCGATTCAACTTTTATAAAAAAAATGACGATTTGATAAAAACTTACAGCGATCTCTGCTCTTTTCTTGATTAGTTCGGCTAATTCTGTTCTCGTATCTGTAACCTTCGGCGCCGCCATTTTGTCTTGCATTTCCAACTCTCCCGGATGGTTACATCGCAAGGCCTCATGGGTAAACACTTTTTGGCGCGAGGGTTCTCGAGGATTTCACCACGTACTAAATTAGAGATTGGTTTTTCGCTTACAAGGTCTAGAATTTCCGCTTTTTCTGATATATACATGGCATTGAGGAAAAAACTTACGCAATAAATTGTGTCGTATGGTAGGCGAAATTAACCCGCTTTGGTCAAACTAGGCGCCCTTAGTCGTATAGAGTACTTTCTTACTTGGTGCGCTTCGTCGCATCACGAAATTTTTCACTAGGATGTTATGGGTAAAGTGTTATGGGTAAGGTGTAATGGGTAAGGTGTTCTGGGTAAGTTTCGTAATTCAGGCATCTGGTGTAGAAGGGATGCTTTGCCTAGGGCTTAGTGCTTTGCTTGGTGGAGATACTGTTTTAAAGGTATTTTTACGGTTACCCACCCATTTTTTGTGACACTTAAACTAAGTGAACCTGCAAAAACGAAAAAGACGTAAGACACTTTTCAAAGCTTGTCTTTATTTTACATATCAAAATTGGCTAAAAAATATGGCAAACCCCCTCAGCGGCAGCTCAAAGATTTTGTACAACCGAACTATAATTTCCCATTCTCACAAGATAACGAGTCTTAATAATATTAAAGTTATCCTGTTTTTTGATTCCAGCGATTCAAATGCGAACAGGCAACAATTTGGATCAATCATAGTAATAGTCATCTTAAATTCCTGTTAAAAATCATTAGCATATTTAAAAGAGGCGAAAATTATTTCTGCCAAGTTTGTTAAAGAAAAGATCTGGCCCACCCAGGTTTTATTGAAAATAAAAAAAGGCCATAGCCGTGAAGCTGTTACACACTGATACTGCAGAAACTCATAAGGAATCATAACAAGTTATAATAATTCCCTACGTCCAGATGAACATTTCTGTTTCATTTGTCAATGCATTTGGCAGGAGATAATTCTCATACCTAATTTTTCTATGAGTTGTTAAGTCTCGAAAAAGCGCAAGCAGAGGTACTTTAATGATATGACAACAACATGGAGTTGACTCGCCAGGTTGACATAAGGTAGGAAAATCTCAGCCGCAGATCTTAAGCAGAAGCAGTGTCATACTTCGTGTTCCATTATGAGATACTGCAAGATCCTAGAGTGATATTATTATAAGCTATAAAATCGGATGCAATGTAGAGCAGGAAAAAAATGATATTCCCTTTCAATGGAAAAAGAAAAGTCGATCAAGAACTTTTTCCCACGAACTGTTTTGATCATAACTGCAAAATGCGTCTGTGAAACAGCAACGTTTAATGCTCGTAATATACTCAAATGCATTTACACATACATTACTTGGCAATTTTCCTTGAGAATATATAGTATTTTTTAATTCCCTAAGACGCAACAAGAGGAAAGTTCCTTCTTAAGCACACATAAAGTCACGAAGCTAACTTGATTTTGTTTAGCCCTTTATTACGCATTGAAAAGCCGTGTCCGCAGAGTTGATTCTTGCCAGATTATATAAACCAAAGTAAAAGGATTTGATATAATGAAAATTGTTGTCTATAAAGACGAATACTAGGGCTCTTATCTACAATTGTTAACACCTGTTTTGCTATAAAGCCAAACGTTAGAGTGTTAATGCTGAATCCCTACATGTACACTTTACTGCAGAATTGATTTGCCCCACAATACTTTTAAGTTTATGTACACAAGCAGAACATTTCCTCTTCTTTCTCACAGTTTTACACAGATACGAAAATTTCTTTTTGCAACAAAACTAGCTCTCTTTTGCTTAAATATTCTTATTATTTGCAATGCTTTTTTAGCTAAATCTCCGTTTCACTTTTTAAATACATTTTGATTTAAATAGAAAAAAAATCCCATAGTTCAGCAAGCACAAAGTGCCGTCATTGAATATATAATGCGCACGAATGCAAGAGGAAGAAGGAAACATCAAAAGAAACAAACATTTTTCACTTTTCGGTCTTAAATTTCTAAGCTGACAATAAGCTCATTCCAAAGAAAGACTTTGCGTGGTTTCCAGCCACTCATAGCTGGCATTCGTGCAAATATCAACCAATCCGATGTGACCTTGTTTTCCCGCGTTTTACGGGACTGCGCCGATCCGATTGACTGAGGCCAGACTTCCTACTGTGGTGAAAAGTCATTGCGTGGACGAGTATGGTTAATTCAACCTGATCACACCTCAGCCTGTTCATAGCGTAATATATCACTATGCCGGATATGCTACCTGGAATCAGCTCATACATACATCAAGTGCAAATATTTGAGTCAGACATACCAATATAAATACTAGTGGCACTAATTACATTAACATTGCCGCCATTAATTTTAGTGGCTTTTGATTACATGAAAGTTACTTTGTTAGATACCATTAATTGAAAAGCTCGCGTCCATAAGGAGACAGACGTTGAGGAAACGAGGGGAAGAAACCCAGTTGAGTAACTTAAGTGAATAAATTACTTCCCTTGCGTTTTAAGTAGGAAAAAGACTCTAAATGAGGCAGCACATGTACAGCAACGACAACTCCCACTATCAAGGATGCCAAATCAATACGATCCACTGTTTAGAATGAATCAGAGCAAACTTTACGTACAGAGCAGTTTTCAACTGAGTGCCGAAAGTCATTCACGATTGTGTCTGATTTTTGTGTCTTACGCATTGGTTGGTAAAAAAAGAAAAAAAAAAAGAAGAAGAAAAAAAGAGAAAAAAAAATGCCACCTTGTAACCAATCAAGCGCAAATTGAAATAAAACATGATGAGCTTAATCGCATTTTCCGTCCCCGGCGACACAGGCAGTTCGTTGGTTTCTATTTTGATTTCTCACCAGTTCCTAGCGATATTTTCCCGCTCTGACTGAATCTTGTCATTACTTTGAATCTGGCTTTACGACACTCAGTGGAAAAGTGCTCTGTTTGGCTGCAACTGTTTCGTTCCTAACAAAATTAAATGATCCTCTCTCGTCAGCAGAAAATCAACCTTTTCATCTTTTCACAGCATACAAATCTTGTGCCAAAGATTTATATATTAAATTCAACCTCTTAATTTTCCTTTTCCATTAGTCTCTGAGAGGAACTCCTCAACACAAGCCCTTAATATCATGAATATGCACCAAAAATGAAAAGATAATAATGTGTCATGGATGTCAGGATATTGAATTGAACTCGATATAAAATTTGAAATTCACCGACTACCTTGATCATGCCTTACTCATTTTTAAACATATCACTCAACAATCTTTCTATGGGAACAGTTCCAATCGTCTTTTTAAAGAATAGCTCCTCGATTTCTTTTGCACTGATTCGTCTTAAGGTTGGCAGGAGAAGGAGAAGGCGACCAAACCGGGCCAGTTGAGTAGGGCATTGGGCACGAACGTATTCGCCAAGCATGAGTTGCGCCTGGTCTTGAGTGGACTCCACTTGTTCCGGGTCCTTGAGCCCGCATGCAGCTGAAAGATCAATAGCATGTCGATTATCAGGGATTGATTGTAGGAAAGGGAAACAGTTCCTTTTTCAGATCCCCCTGCCCCTATACATAACTACCTTTTTCTACTTCGAATTCTAGTGCCATGTTTGAAAATTGTTTCAATTAAGTTGACGGAGAATCTTGTATTGAACAAGCACGTGTTCACTTACTCGGCTTAAACAGTACTATAGCCTTCAGACATGCATATTCGGTAGAATCAACATTTGCAGCCTTGAATTTGTTGACTGTTTCTTGGATTAGGCGTACGGTTGCCATGACATCCACAATAGTCTCGGGAGGCGTGTTGTCTACGTGCATTCCTGCCGCAGACAAAATTGGCGCAATTTCCAAAGGCATGGACCACTGACTTGCACCAAGCAAAAACAATTCGCGCCAACCCTCCTCAAGTAGAATAACCTTAGGAAAAATATGCACCATCATGAGTTAAGACATTTCTTTCTTTAGTAAATCGTTTCTTGATTTCATTTGGTAAGTTGTTCTGCATTATGGTTTTGCGCCATCAACAAATAACAACAAAAACAACAATTTTTATTTTGACTTAAAAGATTTTATTTATGATAGCTTATTTTCTCGTTTGCTTCATTTAAAAAAATACTCTATGCATGATAACAGTAAATTAAGGATTAAGGAGTTAGGAATTATGTTTCCCTTGAAAAGCTATGCGGTATCAACTACAGCGGGATCACCATAGCCGATGTGGTTTGAATCGGCTATAGGCGATTAAACTATGGCGTCTTCTGAAGAAAAATGTTATAAGACTCGCTCTCCTCTTGTTTGACAAATGTTAGCGCAATATAACCTGGATTGGATCCAGTTAAACAAGAGTCTCTTTATCTATTGCTAACACCTAACTTAGAGAGGCAAGGGGTTTCAATTGAAATTTTAATTGAAGTGACAACGTTTAGTATAGACTACGAAAAACTTATCAACGGTTCAAAAAAATTCGCTTTTAACAAGAAACAGCTTGTTATCGTTCTCTTACCTGATCTCTAAAAGGTAAACTCATGAATGAAGGAATATTTCTGGCCCACTTTACAGACATAAACAGCAGCTTAGCGGCAGCCTCACATACAGCTTCGGGATTGGAATAGTACATAGACACCGAAAAATCCGACTGAAATCTGATTGGTTTAAATTCCAATCCAAGATCAAAGTCGTTGGCCGGTACTTGACAGCCTTCCATGCAAGTTTCTGCAGCTAGAAGGGTATTGATGAAGCCGCTTGTATTGTGCTGCACATGCGCTGTAGTGGTAGCGCCATCCATTCTGTCCTGGGCCTCTTTTAGCATCTTTTGCTTCCGGAGGGTGGAGCTTCGGGGTCCACGCTCGTGCTGGACAGCTGTACGGATTAAAAGGACATCAGTGGTCACCTGAGGCACGCCTTAAATCCCGGATGTCATTATTAGCGCACTCGTTTTCTCGGTGGAATTTTCTCGAAGAAAATCATCCAATTCACTTTTTTTTCGGTTAACTCTTAGTATTAAATTTTAAAACATACCGTGATGAAATTTTAGAGAACGAAAGCAATCGAGATTAAATTTTTTTATCCAACGGGAAGAATCAAGACGAGTGATGAGCTGTGACAGGAAAGGAGACTGAATGAGTCGAAATAGGAAAAAAAAAAGAATGGAAAAGAAAAGAAAAACTATATACCAATCACAAGACAACCTAGATTGTGTGTCGCCCAAAGTTGGCGACAGTTTCCGAAGCTGACTTAAATTTATTCCGGTGAAGCTGATGTTGCCGTCTTTTAAATTTCCTACAAAGAAGAGCAGTTTTTTACGCAAAGAGCGTGGTCGAAGGAAACTGTTAGTGCCACTGTCGTATCGTCATCGTACTTATTTACCTGCTTTTTTTTGCGACGTTTTATTTTGTATTTTTTTATTTGAACAGTACTTGAATTGGAAATTATGAAAAATTGAAAGTGTGAGAGACTCTTCTTTGCAGATTTAACCGGTGGTGCGATACTTAAAGTAGTACAAACAATCATAATTGCCTTAAAAACAAACCAGTCTCAATACAAAAACGAGCCTTCGGCAAAACCGTCAAGATCAATCAAGATCAGTTGGTAATAAAATGAAATAAACTTAATAATAGTCAAAAAAAGATTATAATGCCTTATTCAAACACAAATGAGGTGTCCACGAGCCAAAACAGCGTGTGCTATCCTTGTTATGAAATTTTCTTTATCACTTCTTTAGATCTTCCACGTGCCCTAAGAATTATCATTAAATATTCATATTTCTGTCAATTAGGGAGGTCATATCACCACGATAAATCAAATCAGAGGTGATAATCAAGAACAACGAGGGAAAATACAAGAAAATTACGTGCAATTAGAAGATGTTTGTAAGTTGTGATAAAGACATAGTACTAAACTCACAACTAACCCAGCCCAAAGCAAAGAATCTACATTCGAAGATATGACACCCACCCGCACAACGTCAAAGACTTGCCGATAATAATCAAGTTCGTTATAAAAGTAATATTTGTCATTAGAATACGACTGCGTTTGCAATCAAAGCACAGACTTCAATAAAATCTTAATTAATTTGGGTGTTTTGAAACCACCGATTCGACGAGAATATTCAGCGGTTCGATACAAAGAAATGAAGAAGCATGGTATAAGAAGCATGGTATGTGTATTCCTGTGGTCGAATGGCTTTCTAGCTCAACGAGTCTTTGACAAAGTGATATTTTACTTAAATTCACTCTCTTCACAACAAGTTTCTGTTCAAAAGCTGAGCGCAGGTGCTTAACAGGTTGTTTTGTTTTTCCAAGACGGTTTGATCTTCAGCCTGAGAGAACTCACTGCTGCGAAGTATATTGAGACAGTTTGAATTATTAATGTCATGTTGACTCCCTGCCGATAATTCTGTGAAAACTGTTACTTTAATTATCGCCTCTTGAAAGTGATTATCGCCAGCTTTGTTTTTCAAAGGCTGATTTCTGATAAACGAACGAAAAGAATTCATTTAACGCGACTTAAGTGGTGTGCGAGAGCACTGAAGGTTTTCTTTTTATCAGTTATCTGTTTCGATTAAACATCATGCGTATTTCTAAAAAATGTAATATATTAAGGATGCATTGAATCAAAATTGCTGATATAGGGGGATTTTTTTCGCCAGAAGTGGGTGACTTCAGTTAGAAAATGTTTCAGTTGTCTGAAAGTCCTTAATCGAAGTTAGCAAGATAATCAAGAAGATTATGTCGTTTTAACGTTGTCATAGAAGTTTGTCTTGAACAATGTGCCATAAGTCAGAGAAGTTTGAATAAAATAACAAAGAGGAAAAAGGAGACTACACAAAAAACTTGTTTTCTTCAGTCGCAACAAAGAACTCCTTTAAGGAAAAACTAAGATTTCAGCACCAGAAACGCTTGTTAAATTAAGTGCGCGTAGTCAAACAACTAAACCTGATTGAATTCAAATTGGTAATGGATTTTTAATGGGTAAAAACTTTGTATAGTATATGTACTATTGATCTCCTGATAGCGGAGCCTAAAAACCTTGATTAGATTAATTATTTAAGGGACAGATGAAATCAAAATACTTTCCGTTTTCTGTCCAACAATAGCTAAATTAGTTCCATCGAGTTCCTCGAAGTGTGCAGATACTTTTCATCCCTGCAGATATCTTAATTGAAACTCGGTGGGTCGAAACTCGATAGATCAATACCAAGGGGTATTTTTGTCCCCTTCGACTTTTCATTGGTAGCGTCAATTTAATTTGACGCCTATTAAAAGTGATAATGAAATTTCACGTTTGCAAGTTGAGTATGTCGTTAACACATTGTCAAGTAAGGATGGAGAGAAAGTCTTTTTTTTCCCTCTTAACAGCTAATTGATAGAAATTCATACCAAAAGTTATCCATCATTTTCTATTAGAAGACACCTCGATTGCTGTCAGCGCAAACACTTTTCATAAATACTAAAGCCCGAAAAACAGGCAAACCCGACGTAAATCAGTATTTTCGCAGAAAAGAGCTGACTGAATTAGTGCGTGAACCCCATTCTTGAACAGATCTACCCAACAATCGTATTGGGGAGTATTGTGAGCCAAACTTTATGAACACTCTTTCGTCTACTTCTTTACTTTCATCGCTTCTTAACTTTTTGATCTGTTCTGTTAGCCACGAGCCTAAACGTTCACTCATCAAGAAACGACGTGTCCAAGCTAAATTGCCTCCCGACCTTTCTGAGCCATTTTTTTCATGATCTAGTAAATATTTCTGTCTCGCCGCAATTTGAATTATCTCCCTTTTAGCAACGGAATTTCGCAGATCCTCGCCGTGGGAGTCTCACCGATGAAACTTAGAAACCAAAACAAAGAAAACCTCGATTAAAATTCAATGTCTGAAGTAACTCGCATAGCTCTTGTATGTATACTACTGTTGCTATGAAAGATAATACAGGAACAGCTCGTGGCATGACTATTTTCCTTGAAAACGTTCTTGACGTAAGAACTGAGACTTCTCTCAGAGAAGAAATAAGAAGAAAAAGTAGATTTCTTAGAGACAATTTAAATGCTAATTACAGACTTGACCAAGTCTAGAAAACAAAACTCTCGGAACCAACGAAATGTCTTCACATAGCGAATTGCTACATGATGGACGAAAGATAACAACGATATCTTCACGCTGAGACCTTATCGATTCCTTCGTCTCTTGACTGAAAACGTGAAAACGAGCAAAACTTTCCGCTGACCTCACCAGGGGTCTGCTCTCCTTGAGCAAAATGCTTAGATCAGCATTTGGGTGTATTCCGGAATTCTAACTTAAAAAAGAGGGATATTATATCCGAGGAGTTAAGTAGACCCGGCCGATCAAAAACGATCTCAGCTAACGTTGTTGCTTTACTTCTCCGCAAAACGCTCTCTTCCGCTCATATGATAGTTATCTTTGATTTGGGTGTCTCAGGCATTGAGAAACAAAGCAGGCAATCCTCACGAAAATTGTTACAACGTTGCAATTTTGATGAAATATGATTTTAAACCTATAAACAAAAAATCCTTATTTTGGTCGAGCGATTGCTTCGCCATGAGTAAATTGTTTCTTGATAACCTGTATATTTGTTGAGCTCTGCGTTAGCGCGTGGCAATTTAGAAAGGTGCAAAATACTTAAGATAAACTTAATGTAATCTTATGTGAACTTAGACTCATCCAGAGCTTGTTTCAGTTTTCATTAAAAACCAACAAACGTAAGCCGACATGTTTAAAATCGATTTAAATACTATAGACACGTTCTACGCTAAATATGAACCGCCAATAAAATTCGATAAAACTTCGAGGGTTCGGAAACAGTTTCTGGTTTTAATTTTTATAAAATCAGAAATAACAAGATGAATAAAAGTTAATTCCTGGTGTTTTGCCTCGAAGAAAAAAAACAGTTCTCTGAAATCTTCATTAAGACATCTCGATCGAATACCCTTTTGCAAAAAAACGCTTTCTTTTTCGGCTATATCAAACGTTCATCGACCGAACGCCGTGAATTTCCATCGTGATAAAGAAAAGGATTTCCTATATTTTAAATAAGTTTAAACGCTTGGAACGTATTTATGGCTTCTAAACTCATGTGGTGTGCTTGGGGCCCATTTTTGAACCGAATCAGTTTTCGTTTTCTCGACGGCTCTTAAAAGCAATTGAAAATCCGCGCAGAAGCCTTCATTTCATCCTAAGCTTTTGTTGACCAGAAAAGCTCAGAAGTTGAAAAGCGTGCAATTTTCCTGTGGCTTTCTGGCGTTAATTACACGTTCTTTTACGATTTTTCCAACTAATGAACTTATTGTAACTCATTGATGTTGTCCTTCCTGTCGAAAGGAAACTGTGCATTTTCCTTTTTTCAAAGAGTGTAAAGAAATTTAAATTTCATTTCATTCAGTGTCAAAGCTTGGTAAGATTTCCAATTTCCAGGAAAAAAAAAAGGAAAGGCATACTAACTGCATATGTAAATGATTCAAGGATTATTCTAAATCCTGAAACAAATGAGCTATGTGCCCATGGAATCTAGCTTATTTTGTGTCATTAAAAAACTCGCTTAAATTTAGGTTAAAAGATGTTTTGATTGGATACAAGAGAAAATCTATTCATGGCCTTTTTTGAAATCTATTTCCCAACTTTTTAAGGTTAAAGAATTATTTTACACGCCTGTCTATGGACCAAATTCCCGACGAATCTCAAAGACCGCGGTATTTAATACTTAAAAAAAGGGAAGGAAAACTTTCTTGCGTCGTTTCGCTCAAGGGATATTTTTCAATTTATTTCATAAAGTTTTTTTAAAAACTGCCATGAAAATTAAAGTGAAGAAGAGGTTAAGAAAATGATTTTTCCATTGCCAAACGTTTTTTCATTGCTAAAAACAAAACGGTATTTATATCTGGAATTAAAAGGAACCGCCTGCAAAATGACTTTTAAATGACTTCTACTTCAAAACTATGACAACTGTGCCTCAAGTTAAAAGTTTGGCTCGAAAATCAATCACTAATTCTTTACGTTCAATAGAGAAAAAAGGTATTTTAGCGTAATTTTATTATAATGCTCCGTTTAGCTCTACGCTTGCGGACAAAGGGAAGACCATCCATTTACAAAGTAATGCTTTGGCGAAATTGATTTTATCTGAAAGAGACTGAAAACAAAAGAGAACCGCAGAGTTCGCTTCGAATTCTACTCTGTAATTATTATTTTTTTTCGGCTCAACTGCTTTGAAAGATCGAGGAAAAAAATGAGAGTGTTTCAATTTATCCTTCCCAAGATCCGGTTTGGAAAGTGCTTATTTCATAAAACAACCCATGCATTTAATGAGTAATGTGCTTGAAATTAGAATGTTATCGTTATAAACCGAAATAATTCGAGGAAGGTTGGTTCTTCAAGGTTTGCGCGGTATCGTATTCAGGCCTCCATTCTTTACGCGAACTGAAAGTCAACCAGATTAAATAACGAGATCTTGGAGAATGCGATTAACGATTAAACGATCGACCTTGCTTGTTTTAGAGGGTGTTAATAGGAGAAATGTAAATATACGTATTTAAGGACCATGTTAAATTTAGTTGAAATCCGAAGTTCGTATGTACCTTATTAATAAATAAAGCTAACAATGCCGGCAAGTGAGGTGATATCGCTTGCGAGGAACTCAAAGTGAACGCATCCACCCTAATGTCCGTTCGTGCTTACAGTGCAAGGCTTAAAATAATTTCCCTACGCAACGCCCATAGTAATTAACCGTAAAGAATGAATCTGCTTACCATCTTTGTTCATGGTGACTTCGAAGCACTTTTTCAAACGGCAGGAACGACACTGGTTTCTATGGATTTTGTCCACGGGGCAGTTTCCCTTCCCGTTTGTCGCTCTGCAAGTATAGGAACGGTTCCTTCGAATGCTTCTCTTGAAAAATCCACTGCATCCGTCGCATGCGTAAATTCCGTAATGCTTTCCCGAGGATCGATCACCGCACACTTTGCAGGGAATATCTAACAGACGTCCTTGAAGGATCAAATGAAAATCGAAAGTGAATAAAGAAATGTTTCCGCTGAAAAGTTAGGGAACCAAGTCCTAGACACAAAACACTGCAAGGAAGGCGCCGAAAACTTCTTCTCCAAGAAAAAAGAAAGCGAATATAATTTACCGTTAGGTTTCGATTTGTCGTTCTTGTCAATTTCCATGTCTTCTAGATGAGGATCAGTATTCATGCCGAGTGGAAATGTCGTGTCGTTGTTCTTGGTCCACATCCGATTTGCTTGGCTAGTTGACGACGTTTTAGAAGAATTGTGCACCTTTCTGCGAGAGGCCAGATTAATAGCAAATGTCAGAAAGCTTTAGTTGAAGCGCGTCTCTGATTGGCCGAGGGCAGCCCATTACTGTTTCATTTTATATTTCTCACGAAACAACAAACACTGTGTTGATTGTGCCTGATTCGTGGAGAAATTCACGCCCATTGTAAGTCGGTGTTTGGGGAGATGCGTCGAATACCTCCGGGAAATAAACAGACATTATTCATTTTTTAAAACTACATGAACTATTCGACATCAGAGAAGCGATATCGACACAATCTGAACGTCGCTGACTTAGGAAAGTTACATTTCGCGCACAAAACCCTATGCACTTAACTTTGACGTGACTTTCATAACACTGTTTGATGCGTTGTTATATAAAATATTTAGCGGACGAATACAAACTGAATTATTTAGAAAAACGTCACCCTAAAATATCAATTTTTCAATCATTTGAAAGTATTTAATCAGCGATAACAACCAGCCAGACTGGCATAACTTATTTTTTCTCCTCCTTGTTTTTTCAAGGTTGTGGTGGGGAAATTTTTTTTTGGAGAATTAGTGAATGACAATTAACTTGACTCTTGGACGAAGCGGCGCTAAAAAGCATTTCAGATTTGAAAGAAAATAACCGGCTTTCCAAACTTAAAAAGAATGAAGCCATTTCAAAGGGTTGTGCCGGACACTTAGCTTAGTTCAACAAGCCAATCACATTCGAAGCTTGGTTGTGACTGACACGTGGGTTTTCAAAGAATATGAAATAGGAGTTTGTTGGTTGCCGATTAATGGCTTTTTATTCTTTCTCTTTTTCGCCATTCCACCCAGCTGTCAATAAAACAAGAATCGTTAGATGTCACCTGTCTTTATCACCGCTGGCCACCTGGCTATAGAATTATAATTATAGTAGGAAAAAAGAAAATTTCAAAAGTTTGTTGTTTGAGTCTTCGCTTCTTGCAGCTGAAGTAAGCTCACTCACTGTAGCTCCGGAACCCATTCAAAGTCGCCTTCTGTCCATTTCAATGTTCTCTCCCGTAGCGCCGATCGACCGTAAAATTTAACTATCTTCCTTCGTTGCTGAATTCGTTTTATCCTAAATTAAATCGTTTATAGTTTTTCCATTGTTCTGTGTACAGCAATTAGCAATGGCAAATAATTCAGCGCGTGGTTGTAATTATCACTTAAGCAGACGGAAAGCATACCGAAAAAAGTTGTAAATTAAAGCACAATCATTTGATGTGAATGCACGGAATTAAAACGGATGTTATTCCTCCCTAAAAGTACTTTAATGTTCCGTTTTTCTGACCCTGAGTTTTCTTCATAGAAGAAGCTGAAAAATCACATGCTCTCACACAAAAGTTGTTTTTCAACTTGTACTTGGGTGATATCTGCTTCGCGCCAAGTCAAAATGTGAAACATAAAAGCTGGCGGGTGATAAGTGATTTATTTCATTAGCAGTGAATAGTCTCTGAAGTGCCTTTAGCATTATTTTATGTACATTTCACCTTGACTTATCTTGTGTAAATATTTACTGCAATAAAACATCATGAGAAAGAGACGGCAAATGAAAATATGCCTCAAAAAAATACAAAAGAAGTAAAAAAAATCATTACCAAAGTGCCTCTTCGCATTCTGATCAAAATTGCCTTTGGCTCGTTTGCAGAATTGGTTTCTGTCCTGCGGTCTTTTAAGATGATTACTTCGTGTTAATTCTTTTAATCTCTGAACTTAAGCCAAACAGCAAAGAAAGAAAGCAAAATAAAACCGCGAAACACTTGCAAATTGTTCTGCTGTCGCCCCGTTTTAAAAACGCATGGGGGTAACTGATTCAGTAATATCAAATCAGATGTAAAAACGAAAAGTACGGATACATCCAATCTAGTTTCGCCTAAAGCCCGGCAGCGGGTATACAGTACGTTCCGTTCCAGCGCTTCATTAATGTCAGTTTTATTACCAAATCGACCTCAGCTATTCAATTACAAGTAAATCGGAAGGAACATTACTGGAAAAGTAGACTCCAACAGCCAGGATACCTTTTGGTTGTGTTTTGAATATGTCTATTTTGCTTTTTATCTCATAAAGGGGTTATGCTAAGCTATGTTGTGGTTTTGTCAAATAATATTCAATTTGAGAGCTGTTTTTGTCTGAAACGTCTGTAAGGGTTTGCAGAAATAATATGAGTTCTGTTTCGCAACCGTTACTAAAAAGTTCCGCTCAGACTCAGGAAAATATTCCTTAAGAAACTACATTGAAATTTTTGAACAATTACCACCGATATTTTACCCCAAGTTATTATTAATAGTAATAGAACGTTTTGAAACCAGTTTAAGGTATCACACTGGATTAACGATAGGTCAATAAAATCGAGTCAGTTATTTTTTAAATCTGACTAAAGTTTGAATCCGAGTCAGGGAGACTTCCCTTTGTTCATTGGTTTTAGAATATCACGGACTTAAATGAAAACTTTCTTCTTTTTTTTACATTTTTTCACTAACCTGTGAGAGATTTTAGGACGCAGAGACTTCTGAGCTCTGGCTCTAAAAGCCAAAGTTAACAGGTGATTGATAAAGAAAATTGATACCGAGACCAGTTTCGAAGAGAAAGAAAAAATACTGCTGAAGTATTCCGTATCGCTCCACACTATTAACCCAATTGACAACATTTTCTATTCTGATTAGGGGAACTAAATGTTGAAATGATTTTGAAAGATTCAATTTAGGCCTTAAAAACCCATTTTCGTACGTTGTAAATTCATCTCCTGAAGGTTGGTGTAAAGTTTTGCCCGAGGTTATATATTTGGGTGGGACAGTTTTTTTAACGTTGCGCGGATATATCTATATATGTAGCGATGGAACGATAAAACTTAGCACAACCTTACAGAAATATTAACCTCTGGATACCAAAAAGCGTAGAGGTACATTTTTTTTAATGTTTATGCCTTTTACAGCAAGAAACACTGAAAGCATGTCGAATCGGGAGGATGTATCGTCTAACGTTTCATTGTTTTGAATTTCCTTTTTCCAGCACTTAACTGAGGAAGTTAACTTTCCAGAATGTTGTTTACATAAATAGAGTGAATAATGTTTAAATAGCGGTTCTGTGTAATTGCAGTAAATAGCAATAACAAACAGCGAGTAAATCATGCTTTAAATGTTCGGGAAGATGTTTTATCTGCCGTTGATAATTTTTGGTCGGTATGTTTTGAAGATTCTGATAAAAGTGCTAATTATGATATATATACTGTTAAAAAATGTTTTCTGCATGATTAGTTACTTCTTTAGGCGAAAAGAAGCTGAAAAAAAGGAAAAGGATTATTGTTATCTTTTTTCAGTAAAAAAGAGGAATAATATCGCGTTGGTCAGGCCTATTTCTTAATTTGCACCGCTTTCAATAACACTGCTTTAAGGCTTCCTTTAGCAGAAGTGAAAAAAAAAAGAAAAAAAAAAAGAAAGAAAAAGGAAATCAATAAAAAAGAAATGACAGTTTAGGTTGAGCTATAGTGGAGAAGTTAAGCTGCCGGCATTTCACCGTCAAAATCACTGAATAGCTTTTCTCCTTTCTAACTTGGTTTTAGCTGTGAAAACTCACTCACAATCTAATGACTGGAAAACGTCTCTCGAAAATAAAAGAATGAAATATTAAAAAAAATGAAATGAAAAAGGTAATACTAATGAACATTGCCTGAAAAGAAAGTCAGTACCGAACTTTCTAGATGATGAACTCAACTTTAGTGTAGGTAACAGGTCCGTGAGAGTTTTTGAGGCGAAGAGACGAGCGTAACCAGAGGTCGCCTCAATTGATGGTTTCCACCATCTCTTGCGAATTTGGTATTGAGCGTCTAACTCATACAATCTCTATGATAATTTGTTCATGAGACTCCTTCTTCTCATTTCTTATTGATAATGGAGTAGCTTTGGGTCTTGGCTGAAAGGCAACTAATAGTTTACAAAACGAGACTGTGAAATGCTACACTAAAGACTCGGTTACAAAACGAGACTGGCGCGGTGAAATGCTACACTGAAGACCCGGTTACAAAACGAGACTGTGAAATGTTACACTGAAGACTCGGTCATTCAGACTAACCATTCAGTCCATCTATAATAACTCTACGAAAGAATCTTAACAGAGGACTTGATCTCCCGTAATAAAGGAAACCTTTGGCCTGAGGCAAGAAGGGGAAGGAAACTTATGTAACCGCAATACGACAGTGAAATTTCCCAGCGCCTAAATCAATCGACTACACTTATCAGTATAACAAACTCCGATGTCTTCCAACGGATGTCTCTCAGTCTCAGTGGTGGTCGTTTTCCAAGTTCCTTGTTCCTGTTGTTTAAATTAGTAAAGATCAAATGAGTGAATAAGCTGAAGCAATATTTTTTAAATTGATATCACGAAAAGAAGGAGAAATGTAGCATGAATGAAAAATAAGAAACTGGTTGAGAAGAAACGAGGGTATTAGCTCCGTAAAAAGCTCAAATTATAAGAAACTTATGTCTCATGTAGGCCGAGAGTATTCAAAAAAATATTTCATTGATTACACTACTACATCAGGTGGATGGCGCTCTGTAAACCCTTTATAAAGCTGCTGGGATTTCCATGCAAAGGACGAGAAAATTCCTGTCACCATGATGTCCATGTTACCGTGGAAAGTAAGTTTTATCAATCGAATCATAGATTTAGTTCAGCCGGTCACTTCACCTGGTTAAGCGTTTTCTTTATTCGTTACTGAGTAACAAGGGGATTTTAATTTTTTTAGTTTTTAAGCACTTCTCCCCAAAATTCGTTCACCAACTCAATAGCCCTCTAATTTAATAACATTAAACGATACCGCATGGAAACACCGTCGTAGAAACTCTCTTGCGTATGTTTCTACCTAACCTTTTGCGACGGACAAAACAGTATTTGTGTCTTAATCCTAGTTCAAACGCAAGTTTTGTTCTCTTTATCACATTCATAATTGTGCAACTTCCATTAAGTACAAAATGTTCATAATAGACTACATACGTTTATCTACAATACGAGTAACTTTTGTTGGTCGAGGAAGGATAAAAATTGTTTATCATATTTACCTCTTAGCCTTTTATCAACTTGTTTTCAAAGATATTCACCAACAAATTTTTCTCTTTAATTGAGGGTTGAAAAATGGTGATCTGCTGTGGGATTTTTCCCACAATCGTGACCTTAAATTGCGCTGGATAGTTAAACTAAAGTGTGCTATTCCCAGCTAACGCCTGTGCAATTTTATTGCAATCCGGTGAACAAGAGTTTCGCCACAAAGCAGGTAACTATATCAGTTTTTAGACCTTCTGTTATAAGAATCAACTTTACTCACCCACTTTTCCTCTACACCCATCTGTTTCACAAGTTGGTTATCG